GGGGAAGGGGTAATTTTTTAATGGACAGGACTCTCTATGAGGTCATGCAGGCCAGACACTGAAGCACATTTAATTCTGTGTTAATGCAAAAGGCCCTTGGACTTCTAGCTTTCACATGAGAACACCCTTTTCTTCATAAACTTCTTTTAAAATAGAGAGCATGAACTATCCTTTAAGAGTGTGGTGGCGCAGTGGTTAGAATGCAGTATTGCAGGCCAACTCTGCCCAAAAACTGGAGTTTGACCCTGACCAGCTTGAGCTTAACTCAGCCGTCTATCCTTCCGAGGTCGGTAAAATGAGGAGCCAGATTGTTGGGGGGCAATATGCTGACTCTGTAAACCGCTCAGTGAGGGCTGCAAAGCACTGTGAAGTGATATATAGCAAGTACTATTGCTATTGTTCATACTATTCTGGCAGGAAGATGTTCTTGAGCCTAACATCTCTGGAGGGAGTCAGATTGAGAAAGCTTTCTCTTGCAGCTGGTCAAGGTTCAGATTTTAAAGAAAAAGAAAAAGTGGGTTTGGGAAGGACAAGGTCATGGAACTGAGGGAAGGGATTAAATCAGGGGTGAAATGCTCCTGGTTTGGACCGGATCGCCTGATCCGGTAGCGATGGTGGCGGGTGGTTTGGAGAACCGGTAGCAAAAATCCCTGTGTGCCCCCCCCCATGCCCAGCTGAGCAGAGCTATCATCAGAGGCTTTTTTTTTTTACTTTTAAAAGCATTTTTTCTACAACCTCTTCGGCCAAAAAAATGCTTTTAAAAGTAAAAAAAAAAAAAGCCTCTGATGATCGTGCAGCTCAGCTGGGATCGTCAGAGGCTTTTCAAAGCAGTTTTTCTACAACTTCCTTGGCCGAAGAGGTTGTAGAAAAAATGCTTTTAAAAGCCTCTGATGATCCCAGCTGGGTTGCCTGATCGTCAGAGGCTTTTAAAAGCATTCTTTTCTACAACCTCTTTGGCTGAGGAAGTTGTAGAAAAAATGTTTTTAAAAGAAAAAAAGCCTCTGATAATCAGGCAACTCAGCTGGGATTGTCAGACCCTTTTAAAAGCATTTTTAACAACCTCTTCACACACACCCCACCAAGCCACGCCCACAGAACCGGTAATAACATTTAATTTTACATTTCACCATTGGATCAAATGATCAACAATCTGACCCCTGGTCTGCCAATTTTGTACTTGTGTTGTGACTGTCTTGTTTCATCCTCTTCTGAATAAACGAGATGGTGAATAGAGGATGCCTGTCAAAGTCACCGTGCACCATCACTCTATGGTTCTTCACAAGAAAATATCAGCCAATGGAAGAGGTAGACACTTTCTCCCAAAGCTTATTTCTGGGTATTGAGTTGAATATTGCCTCCACATTGTAGAAAGTTAGCACCCACTCCTCTCCTAAAAGAATGAAATATTTTGAGAAATATTAAAAAGGCAGAATATTATATTTCCCTGGATGAGAAATGGAGAAACATGCTCTTGGAAAGCAGCCCCCACCTTTCTTAATAGCCCTCAGTAGATGTCAGCATTTAAGAGATAAAGAGATAGCTAGCTCTATTCATAAGCAAATTCCCTGCAGCAAGGTTGGAACAAAGGTAGGATCAGGGCATGGGTGGGTTCTACTTACCTTTACTACCAGTTCGCAATGGGATCCAATGTGCAGATTGCCGATGACGACATCCGGGGTGGTGGGTTGGGCCTCCCGCCGGTTTTCCTACCGGTTCTTGCAAATTGGTCCAGACTGGGGGCAACCCACCACTGGATTAGCCCACAGCCACAATAGGAATTGCCTAACAAGGCCCTTCATTGCATCAGCCAAACTTCAACCAAACCTAGCTCAGACAAACTCCTAAGATTTGTATATGGCCCCTTGGGAGTCTGACAACAGCCAATAGAATACATGTTCTTGTACAGGAACAGGAAGCTCAAGTTCAAAGCCCAAGAGAAGGTATAAATACCCCCTCCCCTCTCAACTTCATGTTGTCAGCTGCACCAGAACCACAAACATGTGATCCTGTTCATCTTTCCAATCAGCCTCCAGCCTCCATTTTGTCTCCAGTGCCTTTCTCCTGGACTGGAACATTTTCCATTTTAGGGGAACTGATTTTTCATCTCAGGAACAATGCCTGGAGATTTACTAAAACTGGTAACTCTTTATATTCTGTAACTTTTATTCTTTTGTTATTCTTTTCCTATTCCTATTCTCCTCCCCTCTGGGTGCCTCTATAGGGCATTGCATGCCGAAACAACTAGACACAAAGACTGTCTAGACACAAAGACAGAACTAGATACAAAGACATGCCATCACTCTGCTAAACACCTAATTCCCAATTTAGGCAATGTCTTATGGCTAAAGATATCTACCCATATAGTAGGGTCGTATTGCTTTATCCTTTTCATTTTTCCTATTACCTTCTCCTATTGGTATCTTATGATCTGTCAGTTTGTTGTTTGTATGTACACTGAGAGCTTATCCACCAGAGACAAATTTCTTGTGTGTCCAATTACACTTGGCCAATAAAGAATATTCTATGTTTTATTAACTACACACTCTTGGTTAAAACAAGGGTTAGAGCTATACTTTAGTCAAGAGTTCTTATGAGTAGTTTAATTTATGTTAGTGATTGAAAATAGCCCAACATCATACTATTAAGCAGTCCTTTGCACACGGATTGTTTATTCCTAACGATGTTAAAAAAGGAGTGGGACTATATTTTTCACCCTTGCTTTTCCAGATAAGGATTATATGAAGCTTCTGTCACTGTATACTATTAGTGCAGGGAAAGCGCCTCAGAGGGAGACCACAGCTGCGATATAAGGATATCTGCAAGAGGGACCTAAAGGCCCTGGGAATGGACATTAACAATGGGAAACCTTGACCTCCGATCGTTCAGTTTGGAGGCTAAAGATGCAGCATGGCCTTCTCCAATTCGAAGAGTCACTTGCTCGGCAGGCTGAGGCAAAGTAGCAGTTCCGGAACCAGCGAAATCTGGGGGTTGGGCAGGGGACAGAATGTATCTGATATGAATTTTATAAGGGGTGTATGTTAGTTTTTTTAATTTTGTGGGCCAAATTTTTATATATTCAATTTTAAATTGTTTTTAAACTTTGTAAATTTATATGTGTTTTAATATGGCTGTACACCGCCCTGAGTCCTTCGGGAGAAGGGCGGTATAGAAATCTAATAAATCTAATCTAATCTAATCTGCCCTCAGTGTGGAAGGGATTGCCACTCTCGAATTGGCCTTTTTAGTCACACTAGATGCTGTTTTAGGACCTCTTTCCAGAGCACGATACCATAGTCTCTTGAGACTGAAGGATGCCAATGATGTCACTGTATAAATAGTCACTATTTGGGCAGCTACTAACTAAAAGGAAACTACACTGGAAGTCAGATAGATGAAACCATAAAATCCCAGCAGTGCTGGAACTAGACAAATAGTCATTTCAATCTTAGTAAACCAAACTTCCTCTGTATTTCTGTGTGTTCCAACATGTTATCACACTATTATCAGCTTTTTTAAAAAAATCCTTTAGTAATGCAATTTAGATTACACGGTTATTGGCTTCATACTGATTAAATGTTTAAAGAATGACATTATTGCACAACGTGTACCTTAGAGGGCTTCATTTAGTGATTGTTCAAAATTACAACGGCACTGAAAAAAATGACTTATGACCCTTTTTCAGTTACCACCTTTGTAGCATCCCCATGTTCATGTGATCAAAATCCAGACGCTTGGTAAGTGGTTCATACTTGTGACCATTGCTGTGTTCGAAGGTCATGTGATCACCTTTTGTGACCTTCTGAGAAGCAAAGTCAATGGGGAAGCCAGTTTCACTTAACAACAGTTGCAGCAATTCATTTAACAGCTGTGGCAAGAAAGGTCTAATTTTAAATATCAAAACTCACTTAACAAATTTCTCACTTCACAACAGAAAGTTTTTGCTCAATTGTGGTTGTAAATTGAGGGCTATGGTACCTGTATTTACCCTTTATATAGCCCAGCAGTCACCAACTGGTAGTCTGTGGACCACTGGTGGTCCGTGAGAAAATTTTGGTGGTCCCCAGAAAAATTATTTGCATTTTTTATATTGCACTAAATCAGGGGTCCTCAAACTACAGCCCCTGGGCTGGATATGTGCAATGAACGCTGCAGAGAGTTTACCCCTTTGGGGTCTTTTTATGCAGGTCGGAGGGGGGGGAATTCTGATTTGGGATCTGCTTCAGCCTCCTGCTTCAGCCTGCTGAGCCTCCAGGCACCGGTACCTGGCCTTGCACTTCCGCAAGTCTTCCCTCTGCTTGGAAAGCCTATGCTCCTAGTCCTCAGTGAGGTGCTTCTGCTGAGCCTCCTTCTCAGCCAGATCCAATTTGAAGTGAGCTGTTTTGCCAACTCTTTCTCGTGGTGGCTGCTTAGCTCCAGCAATTGCTTCCTGTTGGGGCCGTAAAAAGCCCGGGCGGGCAGGCAAAGAGTAGCGAATAGAGACTGGCAAGGTGCCCCTCAACGTGAGTGACATCGAGTTGGCCGTGCCCACCCAGTCACATGACCACTTTGCCATGCCCACCCAGCCGGTCATTAGGCAGATCATATTAGTGGTCCGTGGGATTTAAAATTATGGATTTAGTGGTCCCTGATTTTTGAAAGGTTGGTGACCCTTGATATAGTCTATTCACAGTACATATTACATATTGTTTCTATGAAGCCTCTCTACTTTCTTGCTTACATTCCTTTTCACTCTAGTTACCCATTGGCAGACATATACACTAACCCTCTTCCTCTTCCCTACGTCTATGCAACGCAGCACATAAACAATTTATCCACTTACTGTATCTTTTAACAAAATGGCTAATACAGCTTCCTCCTGGTTTTCTTACCTTCGCTTTTTGTAACTGGGGATGAACCCCTTCTATTGAGAGCACATTCTTTGCTATTCAGCTCCTGCCTAAAAGATGTGTGTGCATGAGTGCACATGTGCGCCCTCCCACACACACACACACAAAACAATATTCAGTTTCTTTCATTTATCATTTTGGTCCTTGTAAATATTTACATGCCATAAACAAATCTTACTTCCATGAGTTAAGCAAGTCACATCCGTCTTCTAATTTAAACAATTAGCAATGCTTTCATATTCAATTATGTTTCTTTTCTCTGGTTCATGCATGCTAAATTTATGTATTTATTAAGTATAAAGTGATTTTCTTGATTGCCTTAGGTCACTAATGAAAACATTTCAATATGTTTAAGTTGTTTAGACTGCATCTATATCTGTAATCCTGAAGTGTAGAATAAGGGCAGTGAAATTAAATATAAGAGGAAATATTTTCCAAAATTTCCCCAGAAGAAACTCTCATGGAACCTCACCATGTCTGAGTACTTTGTAACAGAGATCAGATCTAGAACCATAAATCTATTAAACCTAAATGTTCTATTTCCATAAGGAATGATGAGAATGTAATAACTAGTTCCAGCTTAGACAAAATATTTTTCAGAGAATCACTTCACTGTATGAATGGCAATTTTTGGTATCTCTAAAAATGGATATTAAAAGAAGAATAATGTCAAATAGTCCCTAAAGAAATAAAAACTAACAGAAACCAAATATAAACTGGAGAGGGTTGTGAGTGATTGCAGCTGTTGGTTGCAATCCAAGTTAAGTGTTTGTCTATAGCAGGACTGCCAAACTCACATCATCACGGTGGTATCATGTGACGTATTGGGAGTTTTTTCCCCTTTGTCAAACCAGGCATGGGTGTGGCCAGCACATGATTCATCCGGCCAGTGGGCCGGGAGTTTGACAGCCCTGGTCTATAGTTATTAAAATGTAGCTGTTCTGACCTTTTGTCCTTCTACTTCAAATTAGAATATGGGTAAATGTTCACTAAGGGGAAAACCCTTGTGGTTTTTTTTTCTTGGCGTTAGTTGTGTGTTTTGGTGATTACAAGCTGCAGATTCCCAAAAAACGTCAGGAGTCTGCTGTTTTTATTTTTGACTTTAGCTGCTAGCTTTACTACCGAATTTCAAAAAGGGAGACCAATGAATATTTGTTCTTTTCTACTTCCTAGCAAATTTTTGGTACAGGTTAATTAATGCTACTTTTGTACCAGACAGAATCCTTTTGAATGTCTGCCAAAAAAAAAAAAAAAAATTACACCATTTGAAGCCTGGTGCAGACATAGCCTAAACCAGGGGGTCGGAGAGACTTTGGACCCATTATTAACAGAAAAGAAAACACCGGGAGCCACAAAACTCTTCCTGTGCCTGACTATTTCCTGAGCGGCCACAAAACTAGCATATGTAGTTGAATTAAAGATTCTGTTTTCTTCTGAAACTTTTCTTTTCTTGGATTTATCCATGGTTGGCTTACCGGGGGTCGAAAAGCTCAATAAATTGTGTGCCGGCGAGTGTCACACACTGGCAGTTGTGACACATATTTTGAGCGACAGGGAGCCACAGCAAAGGGATGAAAGAGCCACATGCGGCTCCAGAGCCACGGGTTGCTGACCCCTGGCCTAAACAAAGGTCGCATTTTATATGCTCCTTAATATTCTTTTTTGGATTTTTAATCATGAACAACTCTTGGAAACTCAAAAGCTTGCAAACTATTTTGTGTACGTTGAAGATTGCTTTAATATAGCAAGTGTATTTTCAGGTGTATTTTTATATGTTTCAATTATCATCTTCTGTCCAAGAAAAATATCTTTGCCTAAGTTGGCATCTTTAGAGTTTTTCATGTTGTCTGCTTCAGTAAGCTCTTGGAACCTGGAGTTGCTTTTTCTTCATCTATGGAGGGACAGTCAGGATTGTCCTGTCCCCGTATTGCTAAGAATGAATATCTCAGCCCTCCTGCCATGCTAGAGGGGAAAAAAAAAAGACACAATAATAAAATCATGCCACTTGACACTATGACATGCTTTCAAAACTCCCTTACCTGATATTGAGTCCAATGAAGTTCAATATATTAAACATGTAATCTCCACCAAACAGCATGCCAATATAAGCAACAGACACATTCTATAAAGAAAAAGCAGTGTGTGTAATTGCTACAAATGCCCACTATGATAAACTATAAACTAAAGCATGGTTAGCATGAATACACCCACTGACTCCTCTTTTTTGAAGGGCTTAACTACTTAATAACAATTCTTCATTTCTTTGTTGTTCATGTCTGAACCTAGAATATTTGCTACTTCCATCTACCTTTAAACACAAAACACAGCTATGACTTGTTTATACCATCTTTCAATGCTTTGCTGTAGTTGGAAGCAGACTATCCTGCATCTGGGTAACACACTTGTAAACAAGCAACAGACACAGTAGGTGAATTGGTAGGGAAAAGGGCAGTAGACACATTGCTATCAACCAAGCCATACCATTTCATGCAAATCTTATTTCAGTATTTTAATGCCTTTAGACAAAGTATAAGGTAAGAACAGAGGTGGGTTTCAGCAGGTTCTGACCAGTTCTGGAGAACCGGTAGCGGAAATTTTGAATAGTTCAGAGAACCGGTAGTAAAAATTCTGACTGGCCCCGCCCCCATCTATTCTCTGCCTCCCAAGTCCCAGCTGATCGGGAGGAAATGGGGATTTTGCAGTAACCTTCCCATGGATTGGGGAGGGAATGGAGATTTTACAGTATCCTTCCCCTGCCACGCCCACAGAACCAGTAGTAAAAAAAATTTGGAACCCACCACTGGGTAAGAACTATGAAAAAACAATCCTGATCTTGCATGACTTCATGGGTAGTGAAAGATGGAAAATCTACTATTCGTCCTGAGCCCTCTTCAGTCATTTATCTGAATATCTGAGAACTTGAAAGTAAGTAGGTCAAGGACAGGTCGAGGACAGGACCAGGCAGGCAACCTAACTTCTGGGTATTGAGTCAAGAAGCTCATATTTCTTTGAATGCAAATATATCTCACTGTTTGCTCTGCTGCTGTATCCATACTGTCCTCTATCTAGTTTCAAACCCTTATGTCTTGAAGTAGGGCCTGACCTCCACTTGATAATCACTTGATAAAAATGACTTTGCAAGTAACATTGAGCTGAATATAATTGGATAAATTATTCCTGGCCTTTTTAGAAACGTAAGGACCTTCACATTTTTATATGTCCCCAGTACTCGTGTTAAGGAAAGTTCTACAAAAACTGCCACCAAGACATTCATACACATAGTCATATAGGTCAAAGTTGTAGTCAAGACACAGGACTATCTTTTGCAGGTGATTTTAATGGTGACTGGGTTCACACATTACATGTGTACTTCTTAACTATGGCTTATAGCTAGTTTATAGTTGTAGGTTAACACTCTTAGTAACCTAGTTCAGACCTAGTGCCAAATTATACACCTTGCTATACAACCCATAATAACTGGATTCATACGTTATGCTAAAGCCAAAGCAAACAATCTAGATTGACAGTGTAGTGTAATGTAGTGTATTCAGCTACTGTTATCTAATATCAATTCCTTTTGGTTACTTACTTTTATAGCACCAACTACTGCAGTTGTTAGAGCAGAATTATAATGGCTGCAGAGAACTGTAGAATACATCAGAAGAAACCTAGTGTTAAAAGCAAAAAACGACTGCATAACTTGGTTTCCTGCTTTTTGTCAAATAATCAAATGATACATACCATAATTCTACATTGATACTCACTACCCTATTTTATGCTGAGCTTCAGTATTTAAAATAGCCTAAGCATAATCTAAAACGTGTTGCATTTGAAGATCTAATATAAAATTAGACAAACTAAAAACTGAGCTTCTACAGACTCCATCATTTTTATACAGCACCAAGCATCCTCTGGAAACTTATCACCTGATTTGTAGGGTTTAAAAAGTTTTAAAATGTGCAACATTATCAAGGGACTCCTGCTCTAATTTAATTGATGTGGCCAATGAAAATGTCCCAAAGCAAGCTATACTGAAAAAGAATCAGAAAGCATGTGGAAATTATTTTTGCTCTTTAATAAAAGAGATAGTTCTTAAAATGTTGTGCAGCATGCTACAAAAGCTCAGTGGTGGATTGCTATCGGTTCGGCGAACCGGTAGCAGTGGTGGCAGGAGGCTCCGCCCAACCGCTTGGACATCATCAATTACGGTCTGCGCACATGAGCGAACCGGTAGCAAAGGTAAGTGAAACCCGCTCCTGCAAAAGCTGTACTATGAGAACACTGCAGGAATCAATTGGATCTCTCTCTCTTTAGCTTATCTTACTTTGCTAATTATGCAGAAGGATTGCCAAGATGCAAACTCATGCCAGTCATTACTTGATTAGTTGCCCAAGATCCCTTACCCCAGGACACAAGAAAGAAGAAACTGAAAGACAAATAAAACATTTGTCCACTGCTGGAAATTCATGGCCTGTACAAATAAAGAAGATAAGATTTTAGATATATTTAGAGAGAAAAAATTACCAATTATTTATTGAAAAATTCAATTGACAAGAATAATTGAATTTAAGAGGGGGTGGGGGAGAATCTGCTTGATATCACACCAAGTGTTGTTTTGCTGGCTTCCAACAGGATGGCTTCATATTACATATTTCCTTTTCATGTAAATCACTAACTATTGATTTTGAGGGTCTCTCTCTTCCCCTCCCTCCCCCCTCCCTCCCTCTCTCTCTCTCTGAATTGCCAAGATGCATGCATGCAGATTCCCACAGACTTCACACTTAGCCATTAAGAGCACATGGCATTGGAGGGTTAAGGTAATGTCCAACAATGTTACTTTAGCTAAGAAAAAGAAAGTATGGATCTTCCCTCCAAGAGCTCTCCATGCAGCCCCTACCCCAACTCCCAAATAGTTGGTAGCTATTTAATGGTAGCCATGCAATGTTTGAATGAACCAATTTGGTATAGTGTTAAGGTGCCAGACTAGAAACCAGGAGATTGTGAGTTCTAGTTCCACCTTGGACCAGCTACTTTCTATCAGCCTTAGGAAGGAGCATGGCATACTACTTCTGAAAAACCTTACCAAGGATACTGCAGGGATAATATGTCCAGGTAATTGCTGAGTATCAGACACAAATGAACAGAATAAAAAAATGTTTGAAGGTTTTGAGAGAAAAATAGTTCTTCTCAGTCAATACCAAATAACAGCCAAGATAACTTGAAAGGATGAATGGATAAAGTTTATGGAAAACTAATATTGCCTCTTAATCTTAAAAAGAAAGTCGCAGTGGCGCAGTGGTTAGAATGCAGTACTGCAGGCTACTTTTGCTGCCTGCCGGCTGCCTGCAATTTGGCAGTTCAAATCTCACTGGCTCAAGGTTGACTCAGCCTTCCATGCTTCCAAGGTCAGTAAAATGAGGACCCAGATTGTTGGGGGCAATATGTTGATAGTGTAAACTGCTTAAAGAGGGCTGTAAAGTACTCTGAAGCAGTATATAAGTCTAGGTGCTAGTGCTAATCTCCTGTTCTGTTCCTAGCTCGTCAAAATGAGGTTTCATATCTTATACTAAACCACTACTTGTAATGTTATAAAATCATAGAGGACAAAATCTTACATTTTTACTTCATGAGTAAAAGGATTCCAAGGATCATTCCAGAAATATACATTTAGGACCCAAGCCAATTAAAGTATTATTATACCTGAACCTGATTGGTTCCTAAATTCTACTTACCTCCTGGAAATCTCCAGTGAAAAAACTGATGAGAACTGTAGGAATTATCATAAAGCAGGCATTATAAAAAATTACTCCATATCTTCCCAGCTCCTATATAAGCAAATACATATGTTTAAAAAAATCTGATAGATGATTACTTAAGAGTTCCTGAAGGATTCAGTGCTGAGATATTTATGGTAGCATATCTAGAAGCCAGTAAATTAAATGAATCTTAAAAACTCTGTTTGAAAGGCATGTAAGCCTGGATAATATAAACTGTTTATCAAATAAGATTCTATGTGGGAAAATTTGGGGGGAATAATAGGATGGTAATGACTGAACTAATTATCCTTAACTAAAACAGAACAAAGAGCCAATAGCACAAATCTTTCCATATAAATGTCTAGTCAGATGGAAGCAATATGTATGGATAGAAATATGAGGTACAACTATCAGAGTCTGGAATAACAATTGGCTTAAACCAGGGTTGAAAAACCTTTTTCAAACCAATTATGGCATTTGATTGGCAGTCACATTCTGGAAGTTGGCTCAGGCAGGACAAAATTTAGTTAAATTTGCATTCAAATTTAGTTCAAATTACATTAATTAAATATAATTTCAAGAATCAAATACTTGAGTGTATTTACTATTTTTTCCCTTTAAAATGTCAATTTGTCAACTTTTTAAAGCCCTGAGACCATTGCTTATGTATTCCTTGCTTACATGAAGCATAGCAATCAGCTACATAACTATTTTTTTAGTTGACAAAACAGCAGTATTTAAGATATAAAAGTGAATGAAACTTTCACAAAGATATTACAGTGAAATATTTATAACCTTGTGAAAAGGCACTTATAAAAAGTGGCCTACAAATATTTTTTTAAAAAGTTATTCCAATATATCAGGCTTTTTGTGAGTATTAAGAAAACTATACAACATCTTAACTTTACGTTGACTTGATGGAGGCTCTTTATGAAAAACTATAGATAAAATTATAAAAAAGCCCATGGTTAAAAAAGGCAAAGAACAACACATAAAATCTCCGCACAATTACCTGAGGATCAATTTTTTGTTTGGTATAAACACCATTTGCTGCTGTGAAGACATCATTCAGCAAAACAGAAACATAGCCTTCCAAGTTGAAAGCTAAATCTGATCTGGAAAATAAAATATGGAAATATAGGCTAATTTAAACAGCATATATTTAAATAACAGTTTTCTTTGCAGGGAGGTATTCTGTCTGCTCTCCAAATTGTATCCATATTACAAACAAGAGATAATTGTAAAGTAAGAATTTGTAAAGGAAAAAAAAATCAGTCTAGTCTTGTTTGTATAATAAAGTAAATATATCGAGAAAATTCAAAGCTTAGATAAACATCACTTGATCATTTTGTAAAATATATTATGTACAAGCTGGTTTCTATTTAAAGTAGATTTAGAGTGTGAGAGTTTAAGCAGACAACAATTACACCAACAGTAAAATATTTGATGGAGATATTGAAATTACAGTGGGATAAGACATTAGTTAGACCTAACAGCGAAGGAATTACCATAGAATATTACTATATGAGCACAAACCATACACATGAACATCAAGAAATAATAATATTATAGCCTTTATAATATATAACAATAGCAATAGCATTTAGGCTTATATATCGTCCCACAGTGCTTTATAGCATTCTCTGGATGGTTTATAATGTAAGCATTATTTGCATATTGACGCCAACAATCTAGGTCCTCATTTTACCAACCTTGAAGCCCCATCAAACTCCAGGCTGTGGGCAGTTTGCCTGCAATAAAGCACTTTAACCACTGTGCCGCAGCAGGGCTATGTTTCATATTCAATTGCTTTGAAAATATATTTGTTTGGTTTGGCAGGAAAGTACTAGAAACTGAGTTCTCCTCTGTTATTATTATTCCCCAATCTACCAGGACACTTTTATCATATAGTATAAAGCATGATTTATTGTGAGATCTTCAGTATAATTAACTATGGACTCGGGCCATTGTGATTCTAACAATTAGTTACTCCATCGTCCTTCCTCTGTAAGCGACAGACTAGAATAATTTCCCCTGTTGACTTCCAAATTCTGAACTCTTGCGCAAGGGTCACATCAATTCATTTTGGATCATCTTTGTTTAAGAAAAGTTAATGGCATGTTAGTTCTTGTGTTTTGCAGCACAGTCAAGATCATCTGCAAATAATTTCCAGATCACTGTCATGGTTGATCTACAGCACCTATACCCATTTCATGGTTCTCGGAAAGTGCTATGATTACACCTCCTGGAACTCCCAGGCAATTGGGCAAGCTAGATGGGAATTCTGGGAGTTGAAACACCACCTATTTTCCCCACTAGTGTGGGGAAGATTCAGTGGTGGGATTCCAATAATTTAACAACCGGTTCTCTGCCCTAATAATTTCTTCCAACAACCAGTTCACCAAACTGCTCAGAAAGTTAATAACCGGTTCTCCCGAAGTGGTGCGAACTGGCTGGGAAGTTCCCACCACTGGGAAGACTGCTACAGAAACTGCACAAAACTGTACAAATATTTTACAGTATCTACTCATTAACAATGATCTACAAAGGAATATTATTTTTCACTGATGTTAAGAAACAAGTATGGAGTTCTAAAGGAAAATATAAAATCTTACCCTGCTGCTATTAAGGCCCCCAAAATGATTGCAAACACACTGATTATAATGCCCAACGGAAAGCGTTTCCTGTAAAAATAAATGATATCTCTCTAAATGTATATTCAGGAATTAAGACATTGAGATTCCAGGAGTATGACTTCTTTGTTTTATTTGATCCATAGGAGAACGAAATCACATTTTCATCCCAAAGGATTTGAAGCCTCTACATGTAGAAGGTAGAAATACAATTCTTGGTATATACAGAAAGAGTTTCAAACAATTCTTTGTTCCAAAAAAGGAATTCTTAATAAAGGACTATCATACAGAACTAGATGGCCCAATCTGATATATAAAAACTCCCCATAAATCATGGGATGCTTATAAATCCAGCCTCATTCACTAATTAAGTAGTCAATCAAAACCAGTGTTCACTTTTACAACTTTCTAGAGATTAAGCTGTACAGGTAGTCCTTGACTTATGACCACAATTGAGCCCAGAATTTATGTTACTGAGTTCAATAGAACTGATTCCCAGGAACTGAATCAAAAACTCAGTTAATCAGAGACAGCAGGCCCTAAATAGAAAATGCAACATAGTAATATCTGAACATTCTTGGGAGGATAAACTGTTTTTAATATTTTTGAGGCCTGTTTATAGGTGAACAGAATATCCATATAGTTACAGGGAAAGTACTGGAGTTTCTAAAATGCAGGACGAAGAAAAAGAGGAAGACAAGGAAGACCTTGTGTTCAAAAGAAGGAAGAGGAGCAGCTGCAGGATTACTAGATATTCCCTTCAGAAATATAAGGGAAAATATAACAGAAAACTCTTTGCTGCCCTCTAGGGGTCATATGAATTTTGGTAAGCCAGAACTGGTAGGATGAGGATAGGAAAGAGACAAGATAGCTAAAGAAGGAAAGAAAGAAGATAGCCAAACAGAAACCAGGAAAATGGTGGCTTAGAAGAAAAGGCAAAAGGAAGAAACAAGAAAAAGATTTGGGCTTGACCAAAGTATCACACTACAGTAGAAGAAAGGCACAAAGGAGAAGAGCTGCCTTGAACTGAAGCTACAACTGAAATCTTTGGCTCCAGATTTCTGGAAATTTCCTAGACTGGAAATTATTTGGCCAAATAATTTTAAGCAGTTCAAAATGTCTTCTCAAATTCTTATTAGTCAAGAAAATGCATTGGATCATTATGTGTGTCGATAAACCATTGTGGTATTTCAGAAATAAGAGGCAAATACTCACCCAAGAATAATAATTTCCAGCAGTAATGTAAGAGGAATGGAAAACTTCCTCAGGACTGTAAACATTGGCAAACTGTATTTAAAGAGAGAAAGAGAGAGAGTGTGTGACTAGTTCATGTCAGTAGCAAACTCCTTCATGACTGATTATCTATCTTTACTACTTTCATCCTCAGCTTCATCTGACATTAAGAATGCACCTAGATAAATGTTCAGTTGCAAAGCCAAATGTCAGTCTGACACCAAAGAAAGTTCAGACAGTAGAATAGTTGGAAATAAGCATTTTTTTTAAAAAAAATAAACTTGGCGTCAGTGTCATACAATTTGTTTCCAGTAATTTCCTTTTTTACTGAGTTAAAATTAGTTCTCAAGCAGTCAGTGATATGGTATTTTCCATGAATAGCTATCTAAATGCTGAGAATCGAGGCAACTATGGAAAAGATTTTGGTGAACTAGGTCAGAAACTAATAAATAGTCTTCTCTAACCTGGACTGGAAGCCCCCATGCTGGGAGGAACTCCTACATGATCACAGGTAGAGCTAAGGTAGAGCTGCCTAACCCTTTCCACATTAATACAGAAGAATGTCCCAATATTACTGTATTAGATTAACAGATAATTTGAAATCCATAGGGTGTCTAACTCAAATGCAAATTCCAAATACTTATTCCTAGTTATGAAAAACCCAAAATAATCACACATACTTATGAGTACACTAGTGTGCTTCTTTCAGCAGAGTGGGAAATGACCAGTGCATGCCCAAGAGAAAGGCTAGCAACCTTTCCAGATGTTTCCACACAGCTGCATACAGTGGTGCAGACATCCAACAAGTAACTGGCAAAGGCTTGTAAGATCAACAAATATGAGGATAGTGCATGCATTAGAATCCTAAATACCATGTTACTGAGCTACACTCAAGAGCTTTAGGTATGCTTCCTTGATGTACTGATGTAGATATCCAAACCTGTACACTGTGATTCAATTACAAATCTGTAAAGCCATTGGATGAGACTGGACTCAAAACTGTTACATGACATGCAATTATCTATTCAGGCAGCAGACTCCCCAAGCAATATATTCTAACTATCCCACCCAATTTTTCACATGATGAAAAAAGCCCATTGTCTGATCAACTTCCATTTTCAATGTCCACTTTCAGCAGTCAAAGATGAAGAACACATCAGCCACACCAAAAAGAGAGGAAGAAAATATCAAAACACAAGGATAGAAAGTAGAATGGCTAGTTGTAAGGTCTCTTTATAGGTATTAGTTTCTAAGCCCAACACTTACTTTGTAAACTAATTTTATACACTGGAATGTCCAAAGCAATGCTTTGGCAAGATGATGCTTTTGTGCAAAAATATAATCCATTTTTAACAGTCTTGGGAAAAAAGAAATTTGAAATTTACAAAGCATTAATTAAAAAGAAACTATCAGTTTAGGCTTACCACCTGGACTTTACTATACCTTAGCTTGCCTATGCTTGATAATCCACTTATATGATTTCCAATATAAATCAGAGGAAGTGGAAACAACTGTAATAAAATAAACACACCATTCAGATTATGCCATTTCACTCCACTCTGGAAGAAATCTGTTCAAATTAATTCATAAACCATAGGCTGTTTAAACGCCAATAGAAACAGACAAATTAGCAGGCTTTATAAACGAACATCACTTGTTAGTATTTGATTCTTTGCATGACCTTGCTCCTGCTTATATCAATAAAATCATATTTAACCTACCAAACAAAAATATTGGACCCATCATGATGACAATAAACGAAAGTACATGATGTTTTTCTCTAGGCATTTGCTACCAAATGTGCAGGTGAAGATTATCATTTAGAAGTACATCTATTTGCATTCACTTGGAATTAATAAATATAAAACCCGTTCAGATTCATGGAGACTATGGCTATATCCATGATGTTTACTTAGCAACAGTAGAGAAATAGTTTTCTACTTCCTTCATCCAGATTATTTTTCCCAATTCCCAGCCTTGTCAATAGCCTGGTGATCTGGTGATTCTTCATCTCAGCAGTAACAAGTCTGGTATTGTTATTTTATGAGATAAACCAAGTTTAGCTAAGTGCTGCCACCTACTGAGAACAATGGAATTTTCTAATAATTGCATGGTCACAAACATTTTGGTTGTGTAGATCTGATCTAGAATCAAAAGCCCAAGAGCCTGAATATTAGATTAGCAGAGGGTTCCCCCCCACACACCAATATATCTGGAGACCCCACTTGATCCCAAGCCCCAGAATCTGTGGGTTTGATCTTTATTCAGAAACAATTATCATTGTGCAATTCAAATACATGCATAAACTATAGCAACTGACTTGTATGTCACTGGGTTTATTTTTAAAAAGGAATGATGGAAAACAATAATAATCATGCATGGAAAGACTCTAGCAATTCTACCATGCAAATTCCCGCAAGGGTAAAATGAGCGGCAGTGACTCCTTAATGTAGAGAATGTGCAAGAGTCTGAAAGCAAATATTGGATCCACCCAAGGAGAAGGAAGATTGAGAGATTCACATTTGTCCTTTTAAGCTTTCAAGGACAAAGCTTTACAACAAATGCTGTCTCCTTTGAAGCTGCAGTCGGTCAAATAATTACATGAACTTTTAACAAATGGATAAGTATCTTTCAATAGGAATGCATGTCCTGTGGTCTCTCCCACCCTGACAGGCAAGTCTGGGACGGCAGCCTAGGCTGAGAAACTGTGGGCAATCCTTTCCCTTGGCAAGAGCTGGTTTCTTTGCTGTCCAGCTGGCATCCCTTTTGTAGGGAAGAGCCTTGTTCTGAGCCAAGGAAGGGAGCTGTTTCAAGGCCAGGCCTCTTTGAAGGGTCAGGGGAGTTTGGCAGGCATGAACAAAGAAGGCCCACAGCTGTTTCTTCCACCCTTTGTTTTGCCTCAGCTTGTGTTCATCTCTCCATCTTCCTTTTCCTCTCACTCCAAAAGGGCCCCCATCCCACTCTCAGACTTTAAAACCCTTACACTCTGCCTGCAAATACTTAGTCCTTGGCGAGGAAGGTTACTTTCCAAACATGCTAAGAGTTTTCCCTTCACCATAAAATGACCTCGCGTCTTTTTATATGTGTGCAATGTTTATGATGCGTGTTTAAAGGGGGTGGGGCTTTAACCCATTGATTGGGCCTGCCCCTTTATTCTCTCCCCCCCCAATTGGGAGCATTTTAAGGGACACAAACTTCTCTAATTTTGTTGCCTAAACCTCCTTAAACAGGTGTGAAAACTTCAGCTCTCCCACTTCAATGACATTGAGACTTACCCAGTCATGAGCCTTATGGCCCATGACATCACCACAAGGGAAAATAAAATCCCAGGCATGAGACAGGTTATTCAAAATGACTTGCTGAATGAACCTCAATTGCAAACAGAGTAAGCTATAATATGATTTATATGGCTTTGATTTAAAAAAAAATGTGCATAATCACATTGGCAGAGGTGAGGATGACTTTTCAGCGCTATTACCATAGATCCCAAACCTTGGATTTAGAGCAGAAATTAACAACTATTTAGTGTTTAATTTAGCTCTAATTTGGTGACTGAACACTAAAGGAAATGGACTGGCTGGAATTCAACTTAACAGGTAGAAAAATCAATATACTTAATTACTTTGCATATTTCAATAAGTATTATAAGGGAAATGCTGATGAACAACTTGAAGAAACACCGCGGACTTAGTTTGAGTAACTGAATTCTTTCTAACAAAGTAAATAACATTAGGAAAAATGCAGTACAGTTCTCCTTTATAGATACCACTTAGAGAATTAATGTCCTGACACTTTGGTTATATAAGCACAGAACTGAATCATGTGTATGCTCCAATAGAATTTAGGAATATTTTTTTTACTTGGCAATATTAAAACCCATTCAAAGAGTTATTCATTCTTACCTTTTTAGGGATGCTTTTGTCAAGATCAGGAAAATGAATGATTTTATTTAATTTTGACACATATAAGATGAGAATAGTGGTTACCATCTAAAAGGGAAAGAAAACAATCACACACAGCAACAAAATATCATTTCCATATGCAGCTGGGGTGGATTATAGATACTGCTGCTATGAAGACCTGTTTTGCTTTGTTTTTAATAATCCCACACGCTGTTCAGTTTGCAAACTACACCAATGGATACAGAACTCCAGTTTGAACTGCATGGGAGTTCTCATACATTTTTGTGCACTCCTTCAACTGTGAAGATTTCAAAAAAAAAAATAAAAAAAATTAGAGAATGCTTAAAAATGTTAATCCTAAAGCAGCATTGTTTACAAAAATAAAGAAAAATCCCCTCTCTCAAGGAAAATCTTGACCCTGTTCATTTTGTATCATGACACCTACTTTTCTCGGAGCCTCCAAAACGTTAACATAGTTTCAGTCACCAGAATATGACCCATCTGTTACAATTTTACTTTATAAAAAGTCTTGAGAGGGGTGTAAGCAAAGAGAACTCAAGAGGAAGCAAATCATCTGCATTTCATCCTTCCATCACTGGAAAACCTATATAGGTAAATGAAAATATTTACCATTTAATCACTTATCGATGAACATACCTGTCCTACTCCTAGAAACATTGGAGATGGGAATCTAGAAAGAAAATAGTGACATTTGTTTATGCATGCATGTATTTGTGTGTGATTTTATTGTATATTTCAGTTTAGAAAGAAAGAGCACATATATGCAAACATGCACGTATCAGAAGCTATCAAAATTTAAATTGTTAAATCTCTGCAACTTGTTTAAACAAAAAAAAATGGTTATCCAACGCAACAGTCACATATGGATTAGTTGTATGTAATGCAATCCACACAATATACACTTTGGAAGCAAATCAAGCCTATATTTCTAATTACACAAAATAATAGGGCAGGGCTATCCAACCTTGGCAACTTTAAGACTCGTGGACTGGGGAATCTTGAGAGTTGAAGTCCACAGGTCTTAAAAGTTGCCAGGATTCAACACCTCTGTTATAGAGAAACAAAATAATAAAGAGCATGTATTTAAAAAAAGCTGTGGATATCAAGGCTATACAAGACCGTACAATAAAAACTTCCAGGAAAATGCCAAGAATAGGAAACCTTCAAGTGACGTGTCAGACTATATAGAGGCAACTGTTACCTAACAACCAAGATAGATATCCAATAACATGAATATTTGCTGCTAATCAATTCCAAGAGTCTGTCCTGCAAAGAAGCTACTCTTCTCTGTTCTATGCATGTGCCATTTGATAGATCTGTTTCCTTATGCCAATCTGTTTCATTAAAGGCCTGCAGGCTCCATCTGCTGGGGCCAGAGTTAATATCACATTTCTTATCCAACAATCTTGCATAAGATCATGACTTGTCTGGAAACATGGCCTGGCTTGTAAGGGACTTGGTCTTTGGCCATATGGAGTTCTATTATCCAGTCTTCTCTGTTTGTTGCCAAACCTAAAATCCTTATTTGTCTGGGCTAGTTATTATCAGTTGTTGTTTTTTTGCTGAATCCTTGCTGCCAGTGCAGGGTTTAAACTCTTAATATGGATGATAAATTGGGTGGGGTGTGTCTGAAATGTATTTGTGGAATAATGTGAAATGTATTTGTGCAAAAAAGCCAGGTTTACACACCACAATAAATCATAAATCATGAATTACAACTGTCAACAATTACAGCAAATTCATGACTTGTGTTAAGTCTCTAAAATAGAAATTAGGGCCACAAGATCTGGACTGCAAGAATCAAATTAACTGCTAGAGGGCTGCAAAGAGTTAAGAATACTTCTGGAGCACATACATAGTTTGGTGTGATGCATCCATCTCAGCTGCAAAATTATGGCTCCAAAGATTTCTCTCTCTGCTAGCAAAAATGCTTCTTCTGCTTAGAGAAGACCTACTTTGTTTGTACATCGGGATTTTAATGGTCCACTAGCATTCAGCTTCTATAGCCTCAGTGTAGAAATTCTCAACTTTGTAATTAATTTTCAAATATGTGACACAAATTACTTTTCTCCTCCTGGTTGATCACAGGACTCTGGGCCTGCATCTGAGATCCAGAGCAAGTAATGGTAAACTGTAACCACTTTGAGATACATTTCCTGGAAAAGATCCTGCTACAATAATATTGTAGACTGGTAATAAAATGACTTAATGTTTAATTTATTGATCTAATGAAATAATTGTAAAAATAAAAGAAAACATTTGCTTGCATCACAAAAGCCCTTACTGTTGGTAAGGACTACAGGTTACAAAATTCCAGACAGCCACTAGAGGGCAAAAAGAATCCATTCACCATAAACCTATCTATTCACTACCATCAGCTAAAATATTACAAACTCAGATCTGGACAGTCAAGCCTTGGCTAAACAACTGTGATTGAAGAATGCATTCCCAATGTCCAAATTCTCCTTCCTCTCTGTCTGCTTCAAGCGTATTATGAGTTAAAGCAAGAACTTTGGACTCAGGCCTTCGGAACCAGAATCTTGTGTGACTGCAGCTCGTATTTTCTCGTGCCACCAATCAAAATCACCTTTTAAAAATGCACCGGGAAATTTGGGAAGAGGTGGAGACAATCCTAAAGAAGTATTTCTCTCTTCGAGGCTGGGCATAAAAATCCTCCAGAAAACGAGGAAGGAGCCCAAGACGCTTCCATAAAATAGGAAGCGGGAACCTGTTCTGAAGGCGGGAACACAAGACAACGCACCATTCCAATCCCGATCGCATTGCTAGAGGGTCCCAGCGTGGGAAAAGCCCCCTCCGCAGAGACCGGGACGAAGGGAAGGGCTTTGCCCAGTCGACAGTGGGCTGATTTGAAGCCCGACCGCCCCGCTCTCCAGCAGGTTCGCGGCAGCACCTTCCTCCTCTGATCTCACCTGTACACTGTCAGCACTGTCTTGTTTACGAGAACGATCACGAAAGAGCAGGTCCCATAGAAAAGGGCGGAGAGCAGCTTGGGCAGCGAGGACGGGGCAGGGGGAGATGCAACCGGCTCCTGGTCCGGCTTCTTGGCGGCTTTCATCGTTTCGCACCTGTGCAACAGGTATCCATCTGCCGGTCACACGAAATGACATCCCCGCCGGCCAGGCAAAGGGCGACTTCAGCCCTTCCTCGCTAAAGGAAACGAGGCAGAACAGGAAGAAGCTCCTACCCGGTTTGCCTGTCCCCACCCACCGCGGCTGCGGCACCCTCTTTCTTCCGTTAAAATGCCTCGGAGCCGGGCGGCCGCGCCCTGGAGCAAGTTTCGTTTCTTGAGCGACTTGTAGAGCTCAGAGGATCGGCGTGCGCTTTGCGCCGCTCTGGCTTTCCTGCCGCGTTTGAGCATGGAGGACAAGAGGGAGCCTTGTCGTCATAATAGGCTTGCCCGAGATCTGCCTTTTTTCCAGCCTGGTGTCCTCCAGCTATGCTGCTGCGCCTGAGAAAGCTGGAAGTTGTGGTCTCACCACAACGCGGAAGACAGAAAGCTGAAAAAGGTTGAGCTAGCCAAAATCAGTACGTTTTCTTTCAGAAGCAGCGCTTCTCTCCATTCTATCAGAGACACTTGTTATTTGAAAGGATGCTTGTCTCCCCTCCTAAAAGATGGTGAAAGTTGGGGTCACCCTTCTATTGTTAAGTGTGATGGTGATCTAGAACAACTGGGGGGAAGCAAATTGCTAAGTTGGTTGTTAGCAGCCATCTCATGGAAAAACAAAACCTTTTTCTACTATGTACCACCTTACAGTAAATTCAGTTTGAAAAAAAAAAAAAGGCAAATAAAAGCATTTTTGTCACAGCAACCTCATTAGTTTTGTTAGGTGACTGGAAGTGCAGCTATCCAGAAAAGTTTTTTTTTAAATAATCATTTTCTATCTTTTAATATATAAAGGAAAGAGGTCCCCCCCCAAATATAAATTAGCACAACAAAACAAGGAAGGTCATCTTATTACTAGCTACTGCTGCTAGGAAAGGTCATGACTGCACCTTCATCATCTCAGCATTTGTTAGAAATGTCAGAATGCTTTTCCCATTAGATAACCCATTGGTTCCACAATTCAAATTTGTTGCTCCTTCTCCACTTCAGCTGGATCACTGCCACAGTAATTATTTTCCTCTGAAAGGTTGTCAACCCTTTAAGGGAGGCCAAGCCAAAAAGCAGATACCATTGAGATTCCAGGAATGCTATATTATTCATCATTGTTGTAGACTGTCAGTCTTGAAGGCTTGGCCAAGTTTTTCTCTGTCCCATTTTATATCAAACAAAATCAAGACAGGAGTTTCTTTCTTATACTTCTATTTTGGTCTTCTCCAAGTCCTCCTGTTAATGTCTCGCTCTTTTCTTCTCCCTTTAATGGGTTTCTTAAAATATATCCTTACCAAATACACCTTTACATTCCTGCTATGGGATAAAGGAGTCATTGGTTAAATTTGATAATCCATAGTTTTAGTTTGCATGATCATGATTCACTGAATAAATAATAAATGTTGAAAACATTGTTTTGGGATAAAGTATGAATAAATATAGCTCCTATGATGGAGACCTGTTTGCTAAGGTAACTTGGGTTTTTATGTAAATAGATGGCTATAAATAATTTAAAATTCTGTACTTGTCATAATTAGAAAACTGGATCAATTCAGACTTTGAATGTAAATTGTTTATCTATTTAATATAAAAATTCTAGTTCAAATACAGATCAATTCTAAATTGACTGCAGTTTGGAAAAAAGTCCCATTAAAAAAACCTAAAACATCTATATTGTTATTATTGTAAAAAACACAAATGCGGCTAGAAATTAGGAAAATAATAAAGCACAAAGCATCAGAATCCCAGTTTATATTGATGGTATCAACATTTGGCATACTGAATTAAAAAAAAATTGGAATATGGTGAGATATGTCCAAAGCTTTCCACAATGAAAATTTAAACTGAAGGATTTATTTTCTTCAATCAAAAGTTATCAAATATTAAATTATCAAAATAACTGTTAAAAGAAATATGCAGGGACTTGTCCAGGAATTTGGGAGGAGTTTACGACATACCCAAAGATCTCTACATTGCAATGAGAATTCATGACATTACCATGAATACAGATGTAAAGTCCAGGCAACATTTTATTCAAAGCTTATTAGAATTACAGCATTTTAACTCATGCCAGAAGTACAGCTGAATCATACACAGCAGAGAATTCTTGAACTTCCATTTTTTAAAAATCCAACTTTTTACAAATGGTTATCTGGAGTTTTTTTTTTTTGTCCAAAGATGTATTTTATACATAATTGGTAAAGCAGCTTGACTTGCCTATAGCTAGGCAGAATGTGTTTTAAGTAAATACATATTTTCAATATGCATTCAGTGTAAATAAAATATTGAATTGGGAAGGAAATGTTTGTGCATCAACAAACTAGGCCTTACTTTCATAGCTGGGCAATATAATCATAAATTTACTCCTACAATGGCATCAACTGGATTCCATGAAGTGCAAATGCCTTTCTCTACTGCTAAATCAGATTCAGAGAAAGCATGAAAGTTTACATTGATTTTCTAAATGCTTTAATATAACTTTAAATGTAGCCCAAAGGTCAACGTTGAAGTGCTTTGTTTTAAGGATGAAGGTTTCAGAAAAATCTTAACAATCCCCAAAATAAAACTATGTCAAATGTATAAACTGCACTAACTTTCTGGTTTTATAGCCATTTGCCAACATTAATATGTAATTCTAGGATATCAAAGTATAGCTGGAACTAGGGGGAAAAAAACCATCTAGTACTAGCTTGGATCATTGAAAAAAGTTATTTTGATAAAATATCACTGATTTTATGTTCTTATGCCAGAAGCCTTGACTCTTCCTAAAATCAAAATTGTTAACCTATAATGCACTTGTATTCATTGTTTATACAGACCGTTAGCAAGGCACACATCTGGCATATGATAAATTACTTAAAACTATTTCTAATGTATACCACTAGAACTTTTGTTTTCCTTTAAGTGATCAAAAGCACTAAGTGCTGTACTACACCTTCACTTATGGAAAGAATATAGCCTAAACATCTCACACTTGTAACTACTGCTGAAAGCTACAATTAGTGAAAACAACTTGGCATTTAAATTTCAGGTAAAGTAATAAGGTGGCATCACGCAAAAAAACCCAAACCAAAACAAAACCCAACCCCTATCTGCGGGAAAATGTTCTGAAGCAACATTTTAGTGTTTGCTGGTGAAATTCTAAAATATACTTAAAAATCAATGCTACCCTGTAAATATCTCCATGAACAAAACACAAATGCCATTGTTGTGGGTTTAAGAGCTCTGACTGAAACCCATACTTGATGTTACTACAATGCCTAGAATTTGCAAGAGTAATCACTCGGTTATAGAAGAGTCCAACAATGTGCAAATATTCCCATATTTATAATGGGAACAATAAGTGCTGCTCAACCAAAAGACCTTTAAGGTATCTATCCATAAAAGCAAAGTCAGCCTCCATGTCAGCAGTCACAAAGAAGATTCTAAATGAAAATCTATCCAATTCATCTATTCTGCCATAAAATTAAGACATTCTAGCATCTGTCAGTAATATTAGATAAAATATCTTCAAAACAGCATGGGTACATCACTGATTACATCCAATTTAAAAAAATCTATTAATTTGCTTTGAATGTATGTACCATTATTCCCATACAGGTTCAGAAAGTGCTTCCTGTGAGAACTGAAATAAAGAATGACTGGCATCCCAACTTTAAACACTGTTTTTATGGAAGCAAATTTCACCGGTTGCAGTGACTTACTTCCATGCAACTGTGATTAAAAGCACCCTAACCTTGCAAATCTAGCTTTCTGTAAGATGATCATGTTACACAATGCATCATACAATCTCCTATTTACAAAATACTTTAAAAGCTTTACCATATAAAAAGTGCAATTCTTTTACCCCATTTTCTAGGGTAACAACATTCTTCATAAATTCTACATAATAGCAGCCTATGGAAGCCAATAAGGTGCTTAGCTTATGCCAGAAGCTAATTGGTTTAAATAACAAAATTCAGTACATTTTGTTAATCCACACTTCAGTTCTTCTATTACTGTCGCAGTGGGGCTCCGGCCAAGTTGGCAAGCTCAATGAGTGCCAGTGCCCCATGTAAGCGTTCACGCTGTTCTTGAAGGCGGCTACAAAGGGATGAATGAGCAGTATTTTTTTCTTCTTCTTCCTCATCTTCAGATTGAAGATATTCCATGGGATCTTGCTGCTCCTGGTCAGGCTTATGAATAGATTTATTTTTCAACACAGGAGTGCGTTGTTCTCTCATTTCCCAATACCTGTTAATAACAATAAAATTAAGCATTAGAAAACCATTACTGAAATATTATTGCCAACTAGTTCCAAATTAAGACAAAAAATTGTTTCAGTGTAAGCAACGCCCCTCTCCCATCTGATCCTTGAGGTAAACAAAGAATAGGAAGCTTTTATTAGCATCCTGGCCATGGTTAAACAAAATACAGAACTGTTGGTTAACAAGAGACTGTCCAATCTCTCTCAATTCTTAATGCTGCATTTTATGTAAATACATACTTTGTCAGCCATTCAGCAACAGCTTTGTTGTCTGCAGTTTGCTTTTTGTTCAGTTTATCTGTAGGTTCTTCTCGTCTTAATTTTGCATATGGATGCTTGGGACAATGGCGGTTTGCATGTGTGAATCTGCTTATACATCCTTAAGTGAAGAAAGTATCAGTCACAAATATAGTTAGACTAGACTCCCCCCCAAACAAAAACACATGAGGAATTTCTCTGTTCTTAGTTAATTTGATTTCTGAAGGAACACAGAAATGTGTGATTATCTTTGAAATCTGCCGCTTCCCAATTTATGTAGTAAGGTTTTTTTTAAACTATATTGCTTAGAGGCTATCACGTTTTTCCAAGCTATTCATGCCTAAACATAGGATACCTGATTCTAGTAAAATAAGATGAAAACTAGGAAATTTTGTTGGCTTATTTTCAAGACATTTATTCACTGCAGTTTGAATGAAAGCAATTTTCTCATGACTCACCATTTTCTGCACAGACAAAAGGCTTCTCTCCTGTATGGAGACGCTGATGTGTTTTAAGTTGCCCACTCTGAACAAAAGCTTTCCCACACTCTGGGTAATCACACAAATAAGGTCTTTCACCTAAGGGGGAAAAATTCCCTCTCTTGAGTTTCTTCCAGGAATTTCTTGCATAAAATAAACAAAGTCCTCATTTTGCTAAAATTTGCCAGAACCTGTCTGAGTTATGTTACAGATAGACTTCAACTTACAAACATTTAATGGCAGTTCAAAGTTATGACAGTGCTGAAAAAAAATCACCTATGACCTATTCTTGAAATTACAATTGGTGCACCATCTTTCCAATCACATGATCACAATTCAGGTACTTGGCAACCAGCTCATTTATGATGGTCACATGATCATGATCTAAAATCTCCCTCACTTCTGACAAACAGTCAATTGGTGAAGCCAGATTTGCTTAATGGTGTGTGCAATTCACTTAATGGGACTCTCTTAACATGATAAAAATTGCTGTAAAATTGAGTCCGGTCATGTGATGACTTGCTTACTGACCACACCACTTACTGACCAAAATTCTGGTCCCAACTGTGCCAAAGGCAACTGGATTTTGTTTTTCTTTGAAGACCTTCGCTTCTCCTCCAAGAAGCTTCTTCAGCTTTAATTGGATGGTGGGGAATGGAAGGATTTATATTCTTTGCAGACAGCTGCCATTTGCATTCTTTTATAGAGACAGAGGCCACCTGAAGGTTTATCTGTTTACTCAGAGTCACCTGAGTAGTGCAAATGGTTGTGGAGCCTTCTTGGAACTGCTGAAAGGACTGTGTTGTACAGGCCTGTCAAAACTGGTGGCCTGCAGGATGGATATGTCATGCACAGGCCATGCCCACCCCGGCTCTGCAAAGGCAAAAAAGTCTCGATACGGCACAATCTGGCCCATAATGCGATTGAGTTTGACATCTGTGGTGTTGTAGAATAGGGACAGATGTCATGTCCCTTCCCCTCTGTTGAGAGAGGGATGTTCAATTTTGACCCCTCTTTCAAACCAGCTGTCTTCTGTCCAAAATGTGGACTTTGCCGTCTTCAAAAGAGTGGCCTTTGTCTTTAAATATAGATTGTTGAGTCTTGTCCTGATGGGTTTGTTCAAGTTGAGGATTACTTTTATTATTTTTTAACTTTTCATTAGTTTGAAAGGATGCTAAAAATCTGAGACAGTCCAACTAAAGAGGTTTTTTTTTGCGCAAGTATGCTGTTAGTCCTTTTTCTAGACCATTTAAAGACATTTTTCCTTTAAAACAAACTATCACAGCCTCTTGAAAAAAAAGTTGCATTTATACACAAAGATTCTTCAGTAAGAGATAAAATTCCAAATTAAGCTTTAAGGAGTGAACAGAATAAATTTCATGAAAATTAAGCACATGCATTTTAGTTGAAAAATTATATATATATTAAATACAGCTTTATTCCTTATAATACTGTAGTATTTATAAGTATTTAGCTAGCTCTTTAATAGCTGAAAATTCTAAGGAACTAAGAAGACATTCATGGAATTATTGCTTCTCCCTATCAATAGAAAAACACAATCCACGACACCCTAATCCAAATTCACATTATTTCAAGGTGTAATAAAACATAACATGGACAATACAGATCTTAGTCTGTTGAAGTGAATAACTTCTCATCTATGATTGTTCACTGTAAAGTTCCATTTTATTCAAAATCTGAGGTTTAGAGCATGTCCAGAACTAAGTTGTTGCATGACAAATCATTCTAAAGTAGTGGGTCTAATATTGTTTATCCAGTCCACTTACCAGTATGAGTTCTTTTGTGTGCCTGCAAAGACTTCTCTCTTGGAAAAACTCTGTTGCAAACATTACAACGTATTCTGCTAGATGAATGCTCTCCCTCACTTATTAGATCTCGGACTGTCTCTGCTCTTGGTCGGCCTCTTCTAATCCCATCCTAGTAAATTAAAAAGTCTGTTAACAATCTAAAACAACGATCCCCCCCCCAAAAAGTACTATACTGTGTGTGTGAAAGAGAAGAAAAAATATTTCTTAAGCCATAAAGAGCTAGTTAGAGCATTATATGGGATGCAGTCCTAATTGGGGGGAAGAGAGGGGGGGGCTTTTATCTGTTGAAGGCGCTGTACATATAAACCTACTTTAGTTTTTGTGATGCTAAAGAACCTGCACCCCCCTTGACACAGCAATGGACATAGGATACTCTTAAGATAAAATTCAATTCAATTCAATTCTTTATTGTTAGTGCACAACATATGTACAATGAGATTGGTTGATATAAATAAATATAAATAAATAAAATAAAATGTAATAAAATAAAATAAAGGAACTCTGGTTGAGATGACACCGCTGCTTCTTGTTGTTTTTCCCTTCAGAGGGAACGTTCAGGGGGCGGCAACTTTTAAAACAGCCTGTCTCAACTACCGCACATTTTAGTTACCCTGTAAGAGAAAAGCGCATCCACCCAGAATTAAAAGAGCTCGTGTGAAACCGAGGGCAGATCAGGGGAAAGCGCGGGAGGGGTGGGAACCGAAGGGCGCGCGCAGCACGCGCGCCACCTGCCTCGCCGGAGCGTCTTGCGCGCGCTGGCGCTCGCGGCCGACATTTAAAGGATCTTTTGGCGCGCGGAGGTGTCGTCATCGGGAGGGCGAATCACCCGCGGAAATGACTTAACTGCAACCCCGCGAGACGCTCGGGAGCGAAGGGGCGGGGCCCCCGGGCTCCAAATAAGGTTCCTTTTAAACCGAAGCCCTTTTTTTCCTCAACCGTCGCTTCCCACGCTTCTCCTTCCCACAACCTCGCCCATCTCTCGGGCTCACTCACCCTCAAGTGCCCGTTGCTCCCAGTACCGCTGTCGGGGCTTCCCGCTTCTTCGTCTTCTCCTGCGGAGCGCTCCACGGCGCTCCGGAGCCCGCCGCCGTTGCCTCCTCCTCCCTCGCGGAGAGGCTGAGATGCGGCGGGCGGCGGGCTGAGGGTGACGTTGTGCGCGTTTTCCCCCCAGCGCCATGGGTAGACCATGAAGTCGCTGAAGCCCGGGCTGGTAGGGATGGGTGGCGGAGGCACGGGCACGCGGGCGGGATCCTCGCTGCTGGCGAGCGGCGGCTTGACTGGAGTGGTTTTGATGACCGACACCAAGACGCGCTTCGGGGAGCTTCCCGGACATACGATAACGGGCTGAGGGCCCGGCAGCTCAGACATGCTGCGTCGGTCCGAGATTCTTTTGCTTCTCGATCCGCGGGTCGCTGGTACCGCTTGTACCCCCGGGCGGGTGCTTCCCTTGGCTTTTCCTTTGGTGGCCGAAAAGGAACGCCTCAGGTGTGCATGACAGGAAGACTCCTCCGTGGAGATGCCAACCCCGTGCAGTCTCTGCCCGGCTGTCTGAAGCAATCGCGGCTTCTCACCATTCAGCAGCGGTAACCCCCGACCACCGCTACCGAGCCCTAGACTTTCCCGCGTTACATTTCGCGCCTGGGCGGAACCAATCGTCGAATCGGCTGCGCACGTCATTGGAGTGACAGCCCCTCCCAGCCAATAATTAAGGAAGGCAACACCCACCACCCTCCGTCCAAAGGCGGGCCGCTTAGAAAAAAGGCACGCTGGGCGTGGCTTCAGGGTATTCGAGTTTATCCATTGGCTGATGTTTTGTGACACTAGCCAACAGAATTCGAAAGTTGCCTGGGAGGGAGGGTCGCCGGTATTCATCAAAGCTGGCCTCCATCTTTCCCCCTGCGAGCGGTCTGATTATGAGCGGGAGGACTTGGCTGAAGGGAGCATCTCTTGATGGTGGTGAAAATATACCGCAAGCTTATTTTGCAGCAGACGTTTGGATCCAGACTTTGCCAAAGATCCCTCAAGCTCAACTTTCAAGGCGCGCTGTGCCGGGGTACCATGTGATCTCTTAATCACGTGATCTATTTAAAGAGCAGAGTGCGGGAACAGTAAACACGAATTGCAACTTCAGAAGCTGTTCGGTTTACGAGAACAGCCTGAACAAACGCGGGAGCGAAGTCTTCCGCGTAAACAGTACAAGTGTGCTCTGATCTTGAAACCTGCCCACGGGCCTATACGGTTATCCGGTCTTTGAAATGAGAGGCTTGACATCCTTTTGGCTCAGCTATTCACACTTACCCTTTCTCATCCAAGCATATTAAATGTTTTTGTCCGGAATCTGTCAATATCTGAAATAAGATCTAGCCGTGCTGACACATGCCCTGGTTATGTAAAAATTGGATTATTGGAATGTGTTCTATTTGGAGCAGCTTTTGAGGAACGTTTGGAAACTGCAACTGAGTCAGAATGAACACAGTTGAAAAACTGGTTGGGTGCTTGCAGAATCATATTAAAGTTTGCCTTGCCAATACTATGATGATTACTTACCTGCTTTGGAGCAACATCAGTTTTTATAATGATTTGAAGCCATAAGGAATTATTCCTGAACATTTTATTGATATATTTTCTCACATTAATCCTGCTTCTCTCTACTATTGGATGAAAAGGCTTTATTTTTTTCTAACGATAGAAAGATTAAAACTGCCTTGCTAGACCCATCTTATTCTACCATTTTATTTTTCATACTGGCCAATCATGCCTTAGGGTTGCTTGAAAGCAGGAGATGGAGACTTAGCCACCTGTTCTCCAATTGATTTTGAAAACATGCTGCAGAGATGTCTGCAGAGAAGTAAAAATGACAGTCACAACTCTATGGTTGTAATCTTGCCCCTTATCTGTGTGTATTCTAAACGGGGTAACAATGAGTCTTCAATAGTAATAGCATTCACTGTAAGGACTGCAACAGCCTGTATGTAGGACAATTAGGCAGAAGCCTAGCAGGCCGCATCTATGAATGCAAACCAGCAGCCAAAAGACATGAAAACACATGAACAGACATAACCATAGTTTCAAATGGGAAACAGTGAGCATCCTAAACCAAGCCAAGTCAAAAAACACTAGAGAATTCCTGTAAGCCTGGCACTCTGACAATTCATCCATCAACAGTACAAGGCCAACCAAGGAAACATCAAGATCACTCCCACCAACACTGACACGGCAAGCCATTAGTATATAAAATGGGAGCAAACCCCAATCCCTACTAGCATTGATTGTGTTACCTAGTTTGGTAATGAAATGGCTGCAAGAAAACAAGTTCAGATCATCAAGGACCCCAAACTAATAGATCTACAGGTCATCACAATGATGGAGAAATTATGTGCATGCAGTGACATCACAATGCAAATCTCGGTGTTTGTTTTTGTATATGATTTCAGATGCAGGTAGGTAGATCGTGTACTTTGTCTTGTCATACCAAAACACATATTTCCTCATTCTGCCCATGTCTCTGTTGATAATTTTTCAGCATGTACCTTTTGTTTAGGAAGGTGCATATATATGTGTGTATGTATAAGTATATACATACACATACTATATATATGTGTTTTTTTTTCCTTTTAAAAAACTCATTTTTATGATTTTACATTATGATTTTGGTTGCAGATAACTGCTGTGGCTTACATGCTAACCTCAGAAGGGCAGGATATAATTAATTATATAATAAAATCTTATATAATAAAAATATAATAAAATCTGTTTAACATATTACAATTTGTCATAGTTCAGGTGTAATGGACACATCCCAAATATTAAATTCCATCAACTAGCATTTTTAATGCTTCTGGGAAGATCAAGGGAATGAATGGGTGTGTCAGTGGGAAGATTAGAAGCAGTAAAGTAAGTGAAAAGGGTTGTGTTCATAGGTGCAGTCAGATATGCTGCTATGATATTGATGCAATAGCAGTTGCAAGGTGCTTTCCTTAATTCTCACAATTTAGCGAAATGACTTAGGCTTGATTTTGTAGTGTCTGAGAAATCTTTTCTGCTCCCTAAGAACAAGTAACTTGGTTCTTCCTGGTTGGTTTGGGGGAGCCAGGAAGCCTGATTCATATTTTTTACATTCATGCAAAATGACATATGGATTTAAGAAGTATGCACAAAAGTATCTTAAATGGAAACCCTTTCCTCTCAACAAGTTTTCAAATTGAGTTTTAACTGTATAAATTAATAAATCTCATCCAAACTGGTTGGCATAATAAAAGAAGATACTTAGTTTAAGTACCTAACTGATCTTGTCTGATCTCAAAAAGCTAAGGGAAGTTAGATCTGGTTAATAGTTAACATATGACTAAAATGTTAGTGTTGTACAATAAATTGGTATTTGTCAATTGATCAAACCTGAGAAAAGGGAATACAAGACTCTTCAATACTGCCAAGGAAAATACATGGACATGTGGACAGTATTCAGTTGCCATAACGTCTATATATATCGGGAAAGTTAAGCTCCCTATGTAAGTTTCCAGTATCATTAAAAAAAATCTTGTGGCTAAAAACATTATTGAACATTTCTTGCTAGATCCACAATGAAATAACCATGAAATGCTTTTGACTAGTTTGTGGGAATTTGCCAATGTAACAATAGAGAAGTCCTAAAGTAAAAACTTGAAACAGTATCAGCATCATAATTTAGTAAGATTCGCTTGACAATGAAATGGCATATAACCTTAATAAAATAATAAATTCTGGCACAGCTTGCATAACACTATATTTGAAATTAATCTTGCTCTAACTTTAACCCAATATTTGTATTTTTTTTTTGCCCTTCCCACTTGCACATTAATATGTCCATATGTGCATTGAGTCAGGGTGCAATGTAATTATTAAAGACGTTTAACTAAAACCAGAGACATTAAAGATCAATAGAAGAGAACATTTGTAGCTCAGGGTTGAAATGATATTACCTAGTTTGGGTAATAAAGGATCTGCAAAGAGGCTCACAGAATACCCGTCAAATTCAAGATAATCTTCAGCCATTGGGCCAATCACAGTTCTTCACTTAGAGTGATTCATTGATGTTTCAGTGTTAGATTCAGTGTAGCATAGTAGTCAAGCAGCACTCAAATCTTTCGTCCCCTACTAGACGGAACTTTGATAATACTATATTACAAAAAAAAAAAAATCCTAATAACTCAAGGCTCTAACACGTGACGCCACAGACGCTCTACGTCATCGACCAGCGGCGTGGGAAATTGTTGAGAGGTGGGGATCCCGTGTTTTCTTTGCTTGACTGAGGCAGAATTCCGGATGCTGATTGGTTAATGACTCTACACGTTTGTGAGGCTCATTATTGGGTAGGACGATAAAAAGCGGCGCTCTGGATTGGTTGCTCAGGCAGGGCTGGAGGCATTGCTGGCGCGTCGATTGGTAGCGCAGTCGGACGGGGCGGGCGAGTGGTCATGGCGTGGTTACTTGGGCCGTGCTGAGGGGAGCTTGCTTCTTTCTGTCGCATTCGGGAAGGGGTGGGTGCTGCTGCGGCGGCGGCGGCTGACGGCACCACGACAATGAAAGGCGCGCTGGCCAGCCCCGTGGCCGCCGCCACAACTATGCAGGAGAGCTTTGGCTGCGCCGTCGCCAACCGCTTCCACCAGCTGCTCGATGATGAATCCGACCCTTTCGACATCCTCCGGGAGGCAGAGCAGCGCAAGCAGCAGAGCAAGAAGCGCGAAGAAGCGGCTTTTTCAACCGGCAGAAAACCTGGCCCCGGAGGAGTCGCTGCCGCCACCGCTGTCAAAAGAGAATCCCAGAAGGAGCGGAAAGGCTCCCCGTTCTTGCAGTCGGAGAGCCCCACAGCACCCGGTATGGAGCGGGAGGGGGCTTGCGCGGACCAGGAACTGGGAGAAGCGGGAGATGGTGCCGGGAGTGGGAAAGCGGCCAGTGGTGCAGACCGAATCCGGCGGGCTTCCTTCTTGAAACAAGCCCGCTTTGATCGGCTCCCCTTTTTGCCCGTAGAGTCGGCGACTCGCATTGCAGCATTAGAAGCGCCTTGCCCCCTCCGGCAAATCTCATTCATTCCCACGAAACTCGCTCCTAGGTAAACGAGCGGCGACCCGCAGGCTTAACCCGGACAATTTGCTCCAAGGCGCACTTAAAATTGGGCGTTCGTTAGTTAAAGCAGTCCGCTCAAAGCCATGCGGGCAAGGAAGAGCTAGAACCGGTTTACGAGTTGTTTAAAAAAAAAAAAAAAAGTATCGGAGTCGGGCAAGTCCCCCTTTGGATCGAGGCGGAGGCGGAAGGTCTTTCGCCGGTCCTGGCCCTTTGCAGACCCCGGACGGACGCACGTGCGCTCTTCCCTCCCTTTTTCTGCCTTTCGGTCAGTCGTCGGCTCTTCTCGCCTGAAAATACCGCGAACCAAGCGAGGCGTCTTTCTGGCTCGGCGTGGAAGGGACGCGGGCGGAGCAGCCACCTGCTGGCCTTGCCCTAGCCTAGCTCGTGGTTCCTCTCTGCGCGGGTCGGGGCGGCTCATCCCAGGAAAGGCGCGAGCTATTGTGGCGTCTGGCCGAGATACATACACACACACACACATACATACATACATACATACATACATACATACATACATACATACATACTTGTTTTCCCAGTGGCGTTTACTGCAGGTGGTGCATGTGCTGAAAGCGAAGGGCGGCTCTAACTTGCCGTGGTGCTCGGCCTCCGCCTTCAGATGTAATTAACCGGGCTAGTCGGCGCCACCAGATAGCGAAACCTTCCCCGCCCATCGCTTCATCAGCGGAAAGGCGCTTTCCACCAAGCGGGGTTGTGGCTCTTTTTCAAGACGCGAGTACATATGACCTCGTTGGGGCTCCCCGCAGCCTTAAACCCAACCGGAAAAGTGATGTCATCTTAATTTAGTGGAAACAAATTTCACAATACTTTGATGTTTCGGTTTTTGTTTTGAAATGACATTCATGCAACTGAAGATTCGTTCGTTAATTGAATCCGAGTTTAAAACTCTCTTTGAGAGCCAGAGCCTTCCCTAACCTCCTCTCACTGGTCTCCTGGAGTCATTCGGTGTTCCAGTGGATTATCATTTTAAAAAAAAGTATGAATGAAACAGGTTAAAAGGAAACAAGTAGCAGGATGTGTGCCATGAGAAATATGCCAGAAATAATTTCGATACTACTTTTCTCTTCCATTGTTATTTTTATTTATTTATTTTATTTGTTTAAATTTCTATACCGCCCTTCTCCAATGTAGGACTCAGGGCGGTGAACAGCCAAAGTAAAAACAAGACATACATACAAACATACAAACATACAAAATCTAAAAACTGTTTAAAATAATTAAATAATTTTGGCCGTAATTAAAACATTCCAATTTAAAATCCATTTAAAATTTGACTCAAGCCAGCCCAGCTAGTTGGAATAAATGGGTTTTCAGGGCCCGACGAAAAATCCGGAGGTCTGTTATTGTACGTAGCTCTGGGGGGAGGTTGTTCCAGAGGGCGGGCGCCGCCACAGAGAAGGCTCTCCCCCTGGGGGTCGCCAGCCGACATTGTTGTTTATTAATGAAGCATAGTGCTATCTGGACCAATAAAATCGTATTTTTTATGTATCCAGATGCAACTGGCTTGAACCTGAACTAGTGGGAACTACTACTAGTGGGTACTAGTGGGAACCACAGTGTATAGTCTTAGTAATAGTGTTTTGAGTGCTTAGGAACCACAGAAATGAGTAGTATTTTTTATATAAAGGTAGTCCTTAATTCAAGACCACAATTGAGCCCAACATTTCTGTTAAGTGAGACATTTGTTCAGTGAGTTTTGCCCCATTTTCCGACTTTGCTTGCCACAGTTAAGTGAATCACTGCAGTTACTAAGTTAGTAACCCAGTTGTTAAGTGAATCTGGCTTCCCCATTAACTTTGCATGTGAGGTGGTTGCAAAAGGTGATCACATGACTCCAGGATACAGCAATGGTCATAAATACGAGCCAGTTGTCAATCATATGAAGTTTGATCACATGATCTTGGGGATGCTGCAAAGGTGGTAACTGAAAAATGATCACAAGTCACTTTTTTCAGTGCTGTTGTAACTTTGAAAGGTCACTAAATGTAAGTTGAGGACTACCTGTACTCACACAAACCCTTTGCGGTGGGTTAAGCTGAGAAAGATTGGCCGTAAGTCACCCAACCAGCTTTCATGGCTAAGGGAGGCCTAAAATCCTCAGTCACCTGGTTTCTAGGCCAGCACCTTAACCATCACACTAAACTGGCTGTATACAGTAGAGCAAATGACAGCTGCTTTAAGGAATTGCAAACAGATGAGACATCTGCACCCTCAAGCAATCCAAATAGCCTTTTATCCTTTGAATTTCAAGTTCTCCAAAGCTCTAGTAATTTTCATGACTGTGGAAATTAAATTGAGGTATATTAGTTAAAAGATATACCTGAACTGGCAGTTTTTGTTCTTGTATCTCCGGGTATTGAGCCAAAACTAAAACGAACAAGTAAGGAATAAGAACACAGGCTATCTTTTAAGATATGTGCACATTTTGGTCTAAACCGCAGTATCCCAAGTCAGCAGAACTGCATATTTTCCCCAGTCAGGGTCTGATCATCTTTTGAATAGCATATGGATAGTTAGCTCTGTAGGAAGAGAGTTTGTGGTTGCTACAACAAAGTGAAGGCTTCATTAAGCCTCTCCAGCATCACTTTTGTGGCTTTTAGAGTCTACAAAATTTATTATTTATTTATTTTATTTATTAATTTTATTTCTATACCGCCCTTCTCCCGAAGGACTCAGGGCAGTGTACAGCCTAATTAAAAACACAAAGACTGACAATATTTAAAAATAATTAAAATTATTAAATAATAGGCCCAATTTATAAAACCCCGAATTTAAAAACCCAATTTAAAACCAATTAAAATCTTTATATTGATAACCCAGCCTGGCAGAACAACAAAATGCACAAGACTAAAAGTTTAGAGCAGGGATGTCTAAGCTTGGCAACTTTTAAGACTTGTGGACTTCAACTGGCTGGCTGGGGAATTCTGGGCAACTCTTAAAAGTTGCCAAGACTGGACATTCCTGAATGTATGTGTGTTGGGGTAGTTGAAAGGGTTGAAATTGATGTTTTTAAGGCAGAAACTGGCTGAAGGTTGCTCAGCCAATCCTACAAAAGAGCTGATGGCTGATAAGCAGTAGCAACTCCCTTCCTATTTCATTCTTTATCTTTGAGAGCTAATTAGCCCATGTAAAAGTCTTATAAATGGCTTGATGAATTGTAATTATGTAGGTTTAATTTTGCATTCTTTAAATGTACAAGTTGATAACTTCCTGTACTGGAATCTATCATGTTGCTACAAAATCTTTTTCTAACGATTCTGTGTAGTGGCACGCAAAACTAATTGTTTTCATTTGGTAAAGTTTCTGCAATTGTAGTCTCAAGCCTGTATTTGGCAATTCATGAATTTTTCACAAAGTTTTGCAGGCAAGACAGTCTAAATAACACATCAAGCACTTAAATTTTTTTTTATTCTTTAAGAATTCTCAAATCCAAACCGGTATAAACTAGCTGCTTTCCTGTCACAAATTATCTTACTTTTTCCAGAGGTAATGTGAAAGTGGTGCATAAAGCCACTTTGTCTTTGAGCCATTTTGAGTTTATAAAAATGTACGCTATGTCACAATGAACATACAATTCCTTCATTTTTTAAAGTATAAGATGTCTTACTGCTCTTGGTTTCCAAATTGAAACCATCTATCAAAGTTGAGTTTCTTGTAGATAATAAAGAACATTAGTTGATTTGCTCTTATTTTTCCTTAGTTTGTAAAATTGCTTTTGGTACATCTGTTTTTTTCTCAGAAATTAACTTGAGGAAGGGGGGGGGGAAAGAAACTTGTGTGAAAACTTGAGATGAGATTGTTTTTATAGGAAAAGAAAAGATAATATTTTCTGAATGGACATTTTCATGAAGTTAGGTTTAAATTAATTTTATTTATTTATATATATTACACATGTATTATTATAAATAACTCAAGGCAGTGAACATACTTCCTCCTCCTCCTATTTTTTCTACACCAACAGCCCTTTGAGGTGAGGTTGGGATGAGAGACAGTAACTGGCCCAAAGTCACCCAGCTGGCTTTTATGACTAAGGCGAGATTTTAACTCAGTCTGCTGGTTTCTAGGGTTCCTAGGGTTTTATATTATTATTTGTAATTTAAAATTTACAGGGCTTATATTCCCAATACGTTGTTTTAATTTTATAGTAGATGCAAGGATGTTTTAATAAATATAAAAGATCCTTCATGGATTAGAAGTGTTAAATTTATATGCAAATGTTGATGATATTTTGCTATTTCATCATTCATGTAAATATTTGTTTATTACAAAACATATATCCCACCTCGTGATAGATTCAGTATGGATCAAAGTCATCAAAACAATATATTAAAATAACAACTATAGTGAACATCAGTATATAAATAGAATTCTTCAAAAAAAAGAAGCTAATGTTAAAACTAATAATTGTAAGTTTGCTTCTTATATTTAATACCAGCATATTTTATTAGAATTGATAACATACAATTCTGATGTGGTTGTACAATCATTTAATATTAAAATATATTGTTCATTCTGTAGCAAATGGTATGCTCAATATAATCATTAGTTCAGAATACAGCTGTGTTCATTGAAGCTAAAATGTAAATAAGATGAAAATTAACTATAGAATGCAAAAAGATTTGCAGAAGCAGACTTTGATTCAAGTATAACAAATTTATATGAGGATTAAAAATCCAAAGAATAAAAGTATAGAGTAGTAGCATTTGGCAGATCTATTTAAAAGTTATTGCATAACATAATTCCATATATTTATTCATTGAGATATTTTGTTTGTCAAGTTGTATAAAATACTGCAACCTTAATTAGAGCTCAATGGGTTATTGGCTAAGTGGATAAGATGCTGAGCTTGTCGATCGAAAGAGCGGCAGTTCAGTTTGAATCCCTAGTGCCGCATAAGTTCCCATTATTGTCCCAGCTTCTGCCAACCTAGCAGTTTGAAAGCACGTAAAAAATGCAAGTAGAAAAATAGGGACCACCTTTGGTGGGAAGGTAACAGTGTTCCATGTGCCTTTGGCGTTTAGTCATGCTGGCCACATGATCACGGAGACATTTTCAGACAGCGCTGGTTCTTCGGCTTTGAAACAGAGATGAGCACTGCCCCTTAGAGTCGGGAACGACTAGCACATATGTGCGAGGGGAACCTTTACCTAATGGGTTATTATTAAAAGTAATAATAAGAAATGGCCCAGCAGATGTATTTCAATCTATGGAACAGACTGTCTGATTACTTGATAAATATATGATAAATATTATTTAGCTTAATTGGGTAATTTCCAGATAGGTGGATTTCAACTCCTAGAATTCTCTGCCAAACCTACACTGACTAGGAATTTTAGTAGTTGAATTACATGCTTTTGGAGGTTCCCAACTCCGGAAAACAATTTTAGAGTTGAATTATGAAGAGTTTTATGTGGAAGTTACTGTAGATGATGCAATATTTGTATGATGTACTATAATTATCAGTGATTAAGAAAACCACTGAGAAGTGTGGGAGAATTAATAGGATCTTTTCCATGTTTCTTTCCTGCGATAGATCATTGCACGGAGCCACTAAGATACTGTAGTTCACATTATAAAATTAGAATTTTTAAATACATGAAACATAGTTTTTATTCGGAAATACTTCAGTCTGATTAGCAGATACAAACAATTTTCTTACTCTGAAATAATTTTTATAGTATAAACTTAATTTTGTTTACAAGAGATTTTTCCAGGTGTTGTGTGGCTATGAAATACAATATTCTTTAGAATGTCCCTTCATATCCTTTGTTTAGCATCGTTTAAGTGAAACCGTTTTGAATACTGTAAAATAGACTTTTCACACACACACACACATACACACACACACACACACGTATGTTTTAGGGCATTTAAACATGTGAAGTCTAATCCTTCTGAAGGATTTTTCTGCTGTTTATATGATAAGGAAAGTTGGATTGTTTATTTATTACTTTTAGGCATATGTAGTGCCTCAACAAACTTCTTCAGTGGACTGAAGTTGCCTTGATGGTTCAGAAGGCTAATCTCTTTACTTTAAAGCAGTATTAATTTCTTGTTGTCTTGTCTTCATATATGTGAAATTTGTTGTGAGGCTTCAGCCTTGTGAATTACATAAAACCCTATATAGCAGAAATGGATTATCTCTCCTTTTTATTGTTTCTACAGCAACAATATGCCTGTATATTCAGAAGGTATAATTCTGACACAGAATTATATAATTCTGACCTCATCTTTACTGTTTAGCAGAAACGCCCACTTGAAGTAAACTATCTATACAGATAGATTCAAAATTACGGAATAATTTATTAGGTTAAAGTTTTAAAATTGTAGTCAACATCCACTCGCTAAGGCAGAAGTGTACAGCTTGAGCTCTAAGATAAAAATTGCAATTTGGAATTGTTAGGAGGAGGTGATTATGAATATATGAGAACAGTCATAATGATATTCAATTTTAGCTCAATTTAAATGTAAATTAAATTTACTTCCAAAAATACTGCAAGTATTACATCCACTTCTGAGTTCTTCATTTGTTCTAAGGAAGTGACTTGATTGGTGTAGGAGTCTGTATACATACCTTGTATTGAAATATTCTATTTGGACCTCTGTTTAACTATTCTACTCTGAATAATAATAGCTGTCTGGAATCTCCACCAACATTTCTCGTAAATTGGATTTGTAAACTTCATGAAAGAAATGATTGACAAACTTTGGTCAGGTTATTTACCATGTGTTTCTGCCTTCATCCTTTCATTCAAAATGATGATTTTGCAAAGCTTCAAGCTTGGTGGTTTCATGCCAAAATTGAATTCTTCAATTAACCGAATTAAAAGGATCTCTAATAGTAATTTAATTTGAATAACACCTTGGAATATTTTCTAACTTCTGTGCAAATAAACTTTTTAGTGCAGTTCACTCTTGAGTTGGTTAATACAAGCAGAATTGATAAAAGGTTTTTGATAACTCTCAGGATGCAGTGGTGCTTTATTTTTAACACTTGGTTTGTTTACTTCTGCCCTTTAATTCCTTTTGCAAATATCTTCTCGTAATATCAGTCTTTTAAAGAAATTGTGATTTTGTTTGGGCATAACAATGTTTGCTTGTACCTTGGAAAAATACTTACTACCTTTGAATCTAACAGTGTGCATCAGAATTATGGAATCTTGGTATAAGTTAAAAGTATATAGTGTGATAATATGATTAGTATCAGCTGGGGCTGGGCAACCAGATTAAACTAAAATTTATAATGCAGAGTTACTCCTCCGATTAATTTTTTTCAGAAACAGCAGGTACTGTTGTAATAGTTGTATCCAGTCATGCTATGAGTGTTGGGCTAAAGTTGATTTGAGAGTTTTGTTTCATTGATCAGTCTAATTCGTGAGTATAATATGTCAGCACATTCAGAGATGTTCTTGAATGTCCCATAACTGTTCATGTGTTGCTTTAATGTAGCATGGTAAACTTCTTAGTTTCTGATCAAAGTTATTTTCTCTTCTATAAAAAAATAGCTCATAGGCCTGAAGCCTGCCCATTACACACGCGCGCGCACACACACACACACACACACACACACACACAGTACTCGATTAAATGACTAATCATTCAGTGACCTCTTGAAGTTATGACAGTGCTGAATGAGTGGTAGTTGCATATGGTCTTTGAAATTCTGGCCATCCCAGCATCTCCATGGTCACGTGATCATGATCTGGGCCCTTGGCAAATGGCTCATGTTTATGACAGTTGCAGTATACCATAGTCATGTGATCACCATTTGCTATCTTCCCTGCTGGCTTCCCAGAAACAAAGTCAATGGGGAAGTTGGAATCACTTGGTTAAGTCTCTCCCAGCAACTCTGCACTCATAGAGCATCTTGACAGTGCATCCATGCACTTGTGCCACCCTTGTGCACTCCTCACAAGCCTCACTGTGCTCCTGCCACACCTTCCCGCCTACTTGCACACCTCTATGCACCCTTTTCAAACAGGCCCCTCATGCACTTTGCATACCCACTCCAAGCCTTGCACCTGCGCCTTGCCTCCACAGCTACTTGCATACCCTGTATGCATTATTCACTGTGCTTGTGCTATGCCTCTTTTGCCACTTGCATACCCTCTTGCATCCTTCCTGAATCCTTCTCAACCCATGTCCCTGAGCTGCACATCCCCGCTGCTCCCTCTCCACTCAGCAGCAGCCATTTATCAGCCTACTGGCTTAGGCCCGGGGTACTTGCAGGACCATCTCCAGCCGCTCTCCCATCGTCCTGTGCGCTCTCACAGAGTGGGCCTCCTCAGGGTACCATCGGCCAAACAATGTCGGCTGAGGAGAGCGTTCTCTGTGAGAGCCCCGACCCTCTGGAATGGATTGCCCACCGAGCTCAGGACCGCCCCGGACCTCCTTTCCTTCCGTCATGAGCTGAAGATGTGACTCTTCCGTCAACTTAACTGATCCATTTGGGGGTACACTGTTATAATTTTAAATTGTTTTAATAGGGTTGCTGATTTTAATTTTTATTTTGTTGTGATTTGTATCAGAAATTGTCATTTTGTAAGCCGCCTTGAGTCCCCAGGGAGACAGGCGGCATATAAATCGCAATAATAAATAAATACTGGCCTGCTTGCGAGCTGCATGGGATTTGCAAATTTCTGCCGGTTTTCCCCAATGTCTTTGCTTGTTGGAAGTCAGTGGGAAGTTGCAAGAAAATCCATGCTTAACAACTCACAAACACAACTTAATGACAGCAGTAGGGACTGGAGGGATTGCTATTGATAAGAGAAGCAGCCATGCTTTATGAGTGCATCATTTAACAATAAAAAAATCCAGTCCCAGTTTTCATTGTTAAAGTGAGGACTACCTGTATAGTGAACTTAAAGTTATTTGATTCAGCAATAGATAGATAGCAGTGATTTTGTTGTTAAATATTGAAATTTCCAAGGAATTTCTCTATCACTTTGGAATATTTGCTGCTCTGAGTTGCCTTATGGGCTAAGATATTTTATTTGGGACAGAAAGAAAATAGCATCAAAAATAATAGGATTGGGTGATTATAGTAAACACGGGGCAATTACCCCTGTTTTAAATGTAACTAATGCCACTAATCTAAATATGTTGATTTTCCACAGGCCAAAAGCGAGCTCCAAAAAGAGGAGAACAACAGGGCTGGAATGAAAACCGAGGTACGGAGATAAAACAAGATAAAGCTGAATGGAAACCTTTCAGAGAATACTGTCCTCATGAAATGGAAAGACAAGCAGAGTTTACACTAGAAAGGTATGTGTTGTTGAAGGATTTATTTATACATTGTAAATTTGGAAAATGTAAAAATCAGTTAATAAGAAAAATTAAAACTTTTTAAAAATGATGTTAACATTTAATGGAGATAGTCCTTGGGTTATGAAAGCAATTGGGACCAGAACTTTTGTCGTGCGATGTCATGTGACCACATCACTTAGTGACAACAATCCCGTCAGTTGCCGTTGTAATTCCAGGACTTCACAGGTTGTTAAACAGGAAGAGGTTGGAATTCCAGACAAGGAGCGTGTGAGTGCTGCAGAGTGTGGGTGAGCGACACAGGCAGATATTAAGAGACAATGACTAGGAATCATGGATGGATGCTATGGAATGTAGGCGGGTCAGCAAGGGCTAGAGGTGCATGCTGTGGAGTGTGAGTTGGCAAGTGCTGTGGAGTATAAGATCTCTAATGGGCTTCCTTGGGGGCAACTTAAGGGAACAAGTTGTGACCTTTCCTGCCGGTTTCCTTATTGACTTTGCTTGTGGGAAACGGTCAGGGATGGTCGCAAATAGTGATCACATGAGCATGAGACTTTGCAACTGTCATAAGTACAAGCTGGTTAACCAAGTGCAAATATCACAATCATGACAACAAGATTATTACAACAGCTGGTATTTCAAGGACCGGTCATAAGTACTACTTGTTCAGTGCTGTCATGACTTTGAATGGTTGCTGAATGACTGGTATTAACTCCAGGATTATCTGTTAAAAAGACACGTAAAAAGTACATCAAGGTAAATACAAACCGTAAGATTACAAACTAAATACAAACTACAGTACAAACTAAACAAGGGATCTAATGTGTTAGGAAGATTACAGTTTTCTAATATATCATTAATTGCTTATGAAATTATAAAATGTATTATCACTTAAAGTTTTAAACCTCACTATTAAGCTTTAGGCTAAAATTAACATGTTTAGGAGCCATATTCACAGCATATAAATCACTGACTAAAATTATAAGATGTAATAAATTGAATACCATGAATCTAGTTTCCTGTAAAGTTGAAACATAAAGTCTATACATGGAAAATTTTACGTTTGAGATTGGTACAAATCTGAGATTCTGTACTAGGATTGAAAGCTTTAAAGCAGTGGTGAAATCTAAAATTTGTTACTACTGGTTCTGTGGGCGTGGCTTGGTGGGGGGGAATGTGACTGGGTGGGCGTGGCCAATTTTTTTTTATTTTTTTACTTTTAAAACCATTTTTTCTACAACCTCTTTGGCGAAGAGGTTGTAAAAAAATGTTTTCAAAAGGCTCTGATGATCCCAGCTGAGTTGTCTTTCTGACAAACAAAGTCAATCAGGAAACCAGATTCACTTAACATCTATGTTACTAATTTGACAGCTGCAGCGATTCACTTAACAAATGTGGCAAGGAAAGTCGTAAAATGGAGCAAAACTCACTTAATTTATTGATATTGTTTCCTGATTTCTTATTTGTACCCTATGACTTTTTTTTCTTTTAAATGCCTCTGCCTATCAGGCAACTCAGCTTGGATCGTCAGAGGCATTTAAAAGGAAAAAAGCCTCTGCCGATCAGGCAACTCTACAATTCTGAAGAGGTTGTAGAAAAAATGTTTTTAAAAGCCTCTGACGATCCCAGCTGAGCCGCGCGATCATCAGAGGGTTTTTTTTTTTTTTACTTTTAAAAGCATTTTTTTGGCCGAAGAGGTTGTAGAAAAAATGCTTTTAAAAGTAAAAAAAAAGCCTCTGATGATTGTGTGGCTCAGCTGGGTATGGGGGGGGGAAAGGATTTTTGCTACCGGTTCTCCGAACCACCATCTCCATCGGTACCGGATTGGGTGATCCAGTCCGAACCGGGAGCATTTCACCCCTGCTTTAAAGGTATTCTGAGCTGGGAGCTGCTTTGGAATTGGCATGATTAGTAGTTCAATTTTTATTTAAAATTGGCATCTATTTCTATTATTTTTATTATTATCTGTGGTTTAATGTGGGAGTAGGGGTGTTTATTACTTGCTCTTTACAAGTAGTCCTCGACTTACAACAGTTCATTTAGTGACCATTCAAAGCTACAACATCACTGAAAAAAGTGACTTATGACCATTTTTCACATTTATAACTGTTGTAGCATTCCCCATGGTCATGTGATTTACATTCGGATGCTTGACTCACATTTATGACAGTTGCAGTGTCCCGGAGTCATGTGATCCCTTTTTGTGACCTTTCTGACAAACAAAGTCAATCAGGAAACCAGATTCACTTAACATCTATGTTACTAATTTGACAGCTGCAGCGATTCACTTAACAAATGTGGCAAGGAAGGTCATAAAATGGAGCAAAACTCACTTAATTTATTTATATTGTTTCCTGATTTCTTATTTGTACCCTATGACTATCATTAAGTGTTGTACCTTATGATTCTTGATGAATGTATCTTTTCTTTTATGTACACTGAGAGCATATGCACCAAGACAAATTCCTTGAGTGTCCAATCACACTTGGCCAATAAAGAATTCTATTCTATTCTATTCTATTCTATTCTATTCTATTCTATTCTATTCTAACAAATTTCTCACTTAACATAAATTTGGGGCTCAATTGTGGCTGTAAATTGAGGACTACCTGTAAATGTACCATGGATGTTCTAGTGTTTAACCTGCAGAATTTCTCAAGCGCAGAATGAATGAATGAACTGAAATTAGAAACTTGTTCAGTGCTGCATTTGGAATATTGACAGAGCTTATTGAAAATGACTTCCATTATTCTAGATAATGACAACAGATTTAAGGACCAAGGTGTAACAATATATTACCTTTGATTTAGTAAACAATTGACGGATGATTCCTTTTGTTTTCAGACCAATAGAGCGCTTTGATCGGGAAAGGCCAATGAGAGGTCGTGGGGGAGGAAGGGCCGGATTGCAGGGCAGAGGCAGAGGTGGTGGTATGAACAGGACCTTCAATGGCTTTGATCAAAGAGGGAAGCGGGAATTTGACCGGCAGAGCGGGAGTGACAAAACGTAAGTGCTGCTTTGTATGTGCATTTGTCGTTTTTAAATCAATCTTTGAACTTATTGCTAAGAAATGTGAGGTTGGCTCCCTTGTGTATTATCCTTTTGTTTATATTCAGACAGGAATTTGGCATGAAAATTGGCTTTGCTGTTCTATGACTTGTAATTGATTAACTTTTTTTTTTTACATGTATTTGATTCATTAATGTGTAAAACTTTTTAATAACTGTTGGCTGCTGTCCTGGAATCAGCTGGTCCCAAAAGTGGGTTTTATATATATACAAAATAAGTAATAGCTTCATAATAAGGAGTCTTAAGTAAATGTGATGGGAATGCTGATACTTTTGTAAAATTTAATCGTTTGTAGCTCTGCTTCTTGGGGATGCTCTCCAGACATGGGGCTTCAGCTCTCAAAATTCTCAAATGTTGGCTGTGGAATTCTGAGAGTGGAATTTCATACACATGCTTGGGAAGTGATCTCAAACTGGTAAAAACCTGCATAGTTCTGTGAATATTTAATTTAATTTCTAAGACAAGTGAAATTTCTATCTACAGAGGAGTCCGTGCAGAAGATAAAAGAGGCGGAAGTGGACCACGTAACTGGGGAACTGCTAAGGATGATATGAGGTATGAGAAATGTGTTCATAATTTCCAGGGCATTGTTTCCACATCTCCATAACATTAAAGATACTTATTTTAACTATTGGATGCTGACTGAAGAGAAGTCCCTTTCCTATGGTTTTGAAAAGTTGTTTTCAGTGTACAACTGAATAATATGAAACGTATAGGGTGATTTGTAATGTAACACCCTGAGGGCCAGTGGGGAAGGAAAGGGTGCAAATTGCTATTTGTGAATTTCCTTAATTATCTCACCTTAGATCCAATTTGAGTTGTAGGCAGTTCCTCCTTTACTCTTGCCCTGCCCCCACCGTGTCTTGCCTCCTTTTTTATGTTGAAACACTTGTCTAGACTAATCTTGCTGCAGTAAACAGTGCAGAATTTATTTTTCCCCAAGGCCTCTTTTTCAAGGGGCTTTAGCAGGGCTGAGACACATCTGTCTCTTTTTTTGTCTTAGATCATAAGAACTGAGAAAGAAACTAACATTTGGATGCTTTCTTCAGCTTTAAACGTTTGGAAGCAGGATTTTGAACAGGAAGACATGTCGGGTCTTGCTCCACTGAAAAACCCGAAGTTCCTGTAATAAAAGGACGTAGCCTTGTGGTTACGTTTGTGTGTGTGGGTTCACATTAAATCTTCTTTCAAGCAAGAGTTGGAAAAAAAACCCTTTATCTCAATCTCTGAAGACAGATGGCTTTCTCAAATTCCAGCTTAGATCATTTTAAAGATAGTAATCCATGAAGGAAAAGTAAAGATTTGCATAGGCTTGTCTTTGTGGGAAAACGAAATGATTGAAATTTAAATAGAAAAATGACTGCTAGCTATATTCGTCAGTGGTGAATATCTTGGAAGATGATCAGGGACAGAAGCTAAATGCTTGTATCTCCTTGTTGGCTTTGTGCCAGAGGAATGGGTTAAGGAAGAAGCAGCATGGGCATGCATTTTCTGGGGTTTTATGTAATGAGATTTGGGTAGCCTCTGTTCAGTTAATGACATACTTCTACTGAGATTCATACAGTGCATAATGCAACATGCAACTTGCAGACGTTCATATTCTATGAGTCCACCTGTTGTGACCAAGGCCCAAGTAATGATTACCAAACACAATTCAGTCCTCAACAAACTTAGTTTATTAAAACAGCTGAGAATTAATTCATGCTCAGTCCAAAACAAAATTCCTAATAACCAGTCCGTTGGCCTTATCACCAACCTTTGATGTCTTTGGCAACCTGCCAAAGGCTTTACTTGGCAAAACCCCCACAAAGTTCAAGAGACGCTGACAAGAAGCACGGAAATCAACGTTGCTTTTCTACAAAGAACCCAACGGCTCGTTGCTGCTCTTTTAAGCCTTATGGGAGTGGCCAATCATCTTCTGGCCTTACTCCCGAGTTGTCCTTTTTTCTTCAGCTGCTCTTGCCTTCTGGCAGCTCTTCACATGCGTGCACTAGGAACAGGCTCCTCCTGTTCCTCTGCCTCTCTGCTGTCCGCCTCTGGAGGCTCCGGAGTCCACGCATCACTCCCAGATGGCCCTGGCCCCATCTCTGCCTCCGACGCAGAGCCCTCGTCTGGGCCTTCCCCTGACTCCAGGACTGGCCCATGTTCCTCCCCAGCCTCTTCATTGTCCAACTCCTCTGCCAGGTCCGCAGGCTGCTGGCGGACCACAACACCACCCCAAAGCTCTGAAGCAGCTTTCCCAGTCTGATGATGTAAGAGAGTGAGGAACTATGTTTTTGTTTAAGGCGTGTGAGGAATCCTGTCTAGTGTAGCTTTTGTATTTCACCCGTGCATTACTATTTCTACAGTGAGCTGGAACAGACTGCTCCTATGGAAGAGACTGCAGAAACAGAAGAGAGCCCAGGAGCACCCGACGGAGAACCTCCAATGAAGTATGGCCTGCTTTGGCAATCTGGCTTTTGTTGCTCCTTAAATCTCTGTCAGAAGATCTAGCCTTTCGCTTGGAAGTTTATTCCAACTGTGTGCCAAGCGGACCTGATCTCAGCACGGCCACTAGAAAATGGAATTGATCCTGGGGCATTATAACAATGCTTTAATGATTTCAGCCGATCTTTAGAAACTCTTGGAATTATTGAAATATATGTTGTGGTTTATCCAGGTGGTTAGTAACATGGTTTACATCAGGCTTTGCCCGCTGGTAATGACATGTTGTCAAACAACTAGTGGGCTATAATTTTCTTGGATAAACTGCAAAACCTAATATTTAGGTTAACCTAGATCAGAGGTCTTCAAATTCTCCAGCCAGCATAGCTGGCTGGAGAATTCTGGGAGTTGAAGTCCACAAGTCTTAAAGCTACCAAGTTTGAAGACCTTTGACCTAGATATTAGGGATGAGATTTTAAACAAATATTTCTTTGATTTTTTAAATCTCGTTCATTCTTTCATTGAAGTCTTTTTATTTTTGTTTTGATCTGTAAATTGCCTTTTTGCCGTCATTGAACTCTTTGTGGTAACAATATGGTTTTGAAAGAATATTTCAGAGAAGGAATAGCAAGAACCCTAGAAGAAAATTCTGCTCTCCCTATAAATTAATTTAGAACTGGATTGGCAACAGAACTGTTGCCATAGGGCAGTGATGGCTAACTTTTTTACCATCGCGTGCCAAAAGTGGGGGGAGTACGGGGCGGGTCGCACACGCATGTGCCCACACCCATAATTCAATTCCCCCCTGCGGCCCCCCCCACACATACGTGTGCTACCCCCCGCTTTGCACTCCCCTCACTTTTGGCACACGACGGCAAAAAAGTTACTGGTGGGCCCAGTAGGCCCATTTTTCACCCTCCCCAGGCTCCAGAGGCTTTCTTGGAGCCTGGGGAGGGCGGAAACGACCTTCCCCACCCGCCTGGAGGCCCTCTGGAGGCTGGAAACGGCCTGTTTCCCGAGTTCCAGTGGGCCCGGAAGGCCCAAAAATCAGTTGGCTGGCGTGCACATGCACGCTGGAGCTGAGCTAGGGCAACGCTTGCGTGCCCACAGATATGGCTCCGAGTGCCACCTGTGGCACGTGTGCCATAAGTTCGCCATCATGGCCATAGGGTGTAAAATGTCTGTACTTCTCATATTGTTTTAAATTTAGACTGTACATCACCCAGAGTCACTGTAGAGTTGTATAGTTCTTGCATATACTTTTCTAGAAAATGTACATACCCTATTTTTTGGAGTATAAGACACTTTCCCCCCTAAAAGGGGGTGAAAATTTGGGTGCGTTTTATACACCAAATGTAACCCCGCCCACCCACTGGCCCCCACCCTTTGGCCTCTGCCTCCCAGCAATTTACCTCCTTGTAGCAAGCAGCAAGAAGAAACAGACCATTTCAGCTTCAGCACAGCCTAATTAATTAGCACAAGTTGATTGTCCATTGCATCGGTCTCCCGAGTCTCAGCTGTTTGAGGCTGCAGGGACTGCCATTGCCTATTGCTGCGCGGGCCTCTGCTGCTTGCTGCAAGGAGGTAAATTGCTGGGAGCAGATGTTTTTTCTTGTGCTAATCAAGCTATGCTGAAAATGAAAGTAAAGCAGGCTGTTTGCTGCAATGAGGCAAAATTGCTGGGAGGCAGATTTCTTTTTCTTGTTTTCTTCATCAAGAAAGGTAGGTGCGTCTTATAGTCCGGAGCATTTTATATTCCGAAAAATATGGTATTTATCAGGATATATTGATCTCATACTTTGGAATAAAAATGGATTCTTTCTTCTTTTGTTTGACAATGTCTGACCTTGTTTATTCATGAGGTATGAGACAGGCAGGCAGGCTAATAAAATAGACTAACATTTTTTGGATTAATTTCAAGACAGGGATCTGTCTCTAGTGTGAGCTATCCCATTCATTAATAGAGACTAGTATTGATTCTATACCTTGAATTTTCTATAGTAAAATTAAGTAGCATGCAACTAACAACAACAAATGTATTGGAGACTTCCCAGTCTCTCAAACAGCTCCCCTGTGAAGTATATTAGTCTGAAAAAGAATGATTAGCTCAGAGTAACCAGTAAGTTTTGCAAGCAAGTGAAAATTTGAATCTGTGTTTCTCAAAATCATAGATGGATTTAGGTTGAGGAGTGGTGCCAGAGGAGTGTAATGGAAGACCTAAACATTTCAGCTTGCTAAATGAGGTAGATTATGCACCAGGGTTGCTACAATCAGTTTAGACTGAGCATATATTCAAACCATATTTGATCTCAGAAGACATGCAGGAAGCAGATAGCAAAACTGTAGTGTAATTTTTGATATACACCCAACAAAATATAAAGCAGATATCTGATCTAAACAGGTTTTCCTGGCCATCTGTATACGTTTCTTAACCAAATTTAAGACTTACATTTACTATCATTGATCAGTAACAGATTTTAGGTTTAGTACGAAACCACATTCTAGGTTGCAAACATTTATACGTGCTGTGCTATTTAAACTATAGGCAACATGATGTACTATGGATCTTTGTCAGCTCATCCCTCTACATTGCTTTCATTTCTTTTTTGAATGAATGAATGAATGAATCTGGTATGCTCCAGAGTAGTATCTGTTGCACCTTCTTCATCATCTTGGTCAGCCTGGTCTCCCTCTGGCTTCAACAACTACTTTGTTAGGAAATGTGTACAGCTGGCTAGGAAAACAGTTTAAGTCATGCTGTGTTAGGGGAATTTTGAGAGTTGATGCCCACAACTCGGTTGGACACCCTTGGTTTAAGTCAGGGGTCAGCAACCTGTGGCTCTGGAGCCGCATGTGGCTCTTTCACCCCTCTGCTGCAGCTCCTTGTCACTCAAAATATGCGTCACAACCGCCAATGTGCAACACCCACCAGCACGCAATTTATTGAACTTTTCAACCCCCGGTAGGCCAACCATGGATAAATTCAAGAAAATAAAAGTTTCAGAAGAAAACAGAACGTTTAATTCAACTACATATGCTAGTTTTGTGGCCGCTCAAGAAATAATCAGGCACTGGAAGGGTTTTGTGGCTCCCAGTGTTTTCTGTGGGAAACAGGTCCAAATGGCTCTTCAAGTGTTTAAGGTTGCAGACCCCTGGTTTAAGTGATGTGTTCTTAGGAGGAAGGGGAGTAAACCAATTCCTTTACTTTCTATGTCTAGCTATGTCTACAAAACCAACCAATGTTTGAATCAGCAAGCCCTCATTCCATGGCAATTATGAGTTCCCACATGCTTTCAAAAACTTAAACCAGAATTTAGTTTGCAGCATACTGTGTTCAAAGTGCTTATTTTCCTTTTAATATAATAGAAGTGAAGTCCTTATAGCTTTATTATCAAGAGTTTGTTGAGAAAAAAAACGTATTTAGAAAAGACCTAAAAATATGAAAATGGGGGATAGAAGGAAGCATCTTACTGAAGAAAAGTTTTGTCTCCCAACCCTACCAAAATAGCTGATGCAGACTGATCATATGGTGAACTACAAGTACTGAATATCTGGTTTGGAGTGGATAGGAACTAGAATACGTTAGAAGAGAGCAGACCTGATTGATTGGAGCATTGAATAGAAGCTCTCCAAGCTATAGCATTTCTACAAGCTTGGTAACCCATCATTTGGAAACAAGGAACCATTTAATGTTCTATAAAAATTCAAGTAGCTGTTTTCATTTAAGTTGTATTCAACCTTTCTCTCACTGGCATTTCACAGGCTAGTTGTTTTTACTTTACAACTTAAACCCTTAGAATTGCTGAAGGAGAGCCAGTGGATGAAGTAGTTCAAGAGATGACATTGGATGAATGGAAAAATCTTCAAGAGCAAAATCGACCAAAGCCCGAATTCAACATCCGGAAGCCCGAAACCACTGTTCCTTCGAAAGCAGTGGTAATTCATAAGTCAAAATATAGAGATGATGTAAGCATTACCTTAGAATTTAGAACATTCTCCCTTTCAACTCTGTTAACATGTCTAGGTTATACTAAATTGAAATTTTTAGCTAGGGACTGAATAGATTGAAAAACACTACTAGAATTTATGTCAACCCCAGACCATTTTAAAACAATGTCAGGAACAGTCTTAATGTTTCTTTTTTCCGTAATTCATTTATATATTTATATAAATATATATATTTATATATATAAAAAAGAATTTTTGCTGCTGGTTTTCTCATTTGTGGGTTTTCCAACATTACTTGTTCAGTTTAAGTTTCTAGTTTACAATCTACTGCTGAGTATGTTCTTTCATTTAGCAGGATGTTCACTAGAGAAAGGGAGAATAAACAATGGATTTTACTCAGACTGCCTTATGTTCACATGAAAGAATGAAGTCGTGTGCATATATTAACTGCACAGAGCTGCATTTATGTAGCATGATTCCATAAATGCTGGAATGAATTGAACCTCTCTCTTTCCCACTCTGGTGAATTTGTGAAGAATCCTCTAGATATGTTTTCCGTTCACTTACACATACTTACATATATGCACAAGCATTTGCAAGGTTACTAGAGAAATAGCCATATTTTTCAAATTTTGCTGGCTGGTGTAGTTGTGTTTCAGCACTTAAAAGTCAACTAATGAGAGTAATGAGTGGACATGTACCAACCAGCAGCTGCTTTCTTAGCTTACCAAAGAGCTTTTTTTATTTTTTTATTTTAAGAAAGTGTCTGTGGAGAATTGCCATCTCTTGAGACTGGTTTTTGTGTTGTTTCACTCTATTGTGAGATGAGTCATAGAGGGAGCCCAGTTTCTCTGGGGGGTTCTATTCTCTTTAGAATGTCTCTGTAGTGTCCTTTATTTTTCCAGGGCAATTCTTTTTTAAATTTAAAGACGTCATTTGGTTCTTGATGCACTGTTTCTAGTTGAAGATGTATTAGGTTTAACCATAAAAAACGTTGATGCATTTTATTATAGGTGCTGAAGGAAGATTTTGAGGATGATTCTCACTTTTCCCGAAAAGCAGCAAATGACATCACTTCTCAACTGGACATTAACTTTGGGAATCTGCCTCGTCCTGGAAGAGGAGCCAGAGGAGCACGAGGAGGTCGTGGGCGTGTCCGAAGAGTTGAAAACTCATGGCCAAGGCCAGGAATGATGGTAATTACTATGTGCTAATTCTAATCCCTGGCTACTTCATTGCTGTAATTCAAATTATACAGCTGCCTAATCGAAATGGCATTGTCCCTGGGCAAAATGAAGGCAACAGAAATCACAGGATGTGTAGATGTACCGAAAAATCTGCATTTTTAAAATATTTCTTCAGAACCTACTCCTACCCAAGAAATTACTTGGATCCATTGAACATAATTTCTGAGTCCCTGATTTTTAAAAGCTTGGATTGAATAAATAAAGCTAGGAAAAGAAACTTTAATATTAATAAAATGTATAAAAGTTCCTGAAAAAGCTTGCTACCATCCTAGCTGAGCCTTTGTGTACAATTTTTGATGTCTCATTTCGAACTAGTTCTCTGTCTGATATATGGTCATCAGCTATAGTTATATCAATCTTTAAAAAGGGTGACCTTAGTTCAGACGAAAATTATAGACCAATTTTGTGCTCTGTTACATGCAAAGTTATGAATCAATTATAAACCAATCCATTGTTCACCACTTAGAGACAAACAACTTGCTATCTGACAAAGGACCAGGATTTCTGGACCTTTGCACAAGTGGATTGCTGCTTTCCTGTCTAATAGACTGCAGAAAGTCAAAATAGGGAACTCACTGTCCAATCCTGCATCAGTTAGCAGTGGTGTTCCCCAAGGCAGCATTTTAGGTCCCACGCTTTTCTTGCTCTATATCAACGATTTATGTGATCAACTTAAAAGCAATTGTGTCCTTTTTGCTGATGACATAAAATTATTCAATACTACAGATAATTCTGTTGTTTTGAAAAGTGATCTCTATTACCTGTCTGAATGGTCATCTATTTGGCAACTTCAAATTTCGATTAATAAATGCTCTGTCTTACAGATTGGTAAACATAATCAGAATGTCAAGTATAAGCTAGGTGGCATTGATCTAGCAGATGACCCTCACTTTGTCAAGGACCTAGATGTATTTATCTCTTGACGACCTATGCTCCAAAGCTCACTGTAACAGCGTTGCTAAAAAAGCATTAAGAGTTGTAAATTTAGTTTTGCGAAGCTTTTTTTCTGGAAACATTGTATTGCTAATTAGAGCTTATAAAACTTATGCTAGACCAATCTTAGAGTATTGTTCAACTGTTTGGAATCCCCACCATATATCTGACAAGTATTTCACGAGAAAAGTCTTGTACTCTTCTGTACATAATAGAATTCCCTATGCTACTAGGCTCAAAATTCTTGGTTTGGATAACTTAGAACTGCATTGCTTGCGGTCAGACCTAGGTATTGCATACAAAATAATACATACTAATGCTTTACCTGTAAATGACTTTTTCTGTTTTAATCACAATAATATGTGTGTGAACAACCACTTTAAACCCAATGTAAATCGTTCTAAACTTGACTGTAAAAAATATGATTTCAGTAATAGAGCTGTCAAAGTCTGGAATGCTCTACCTGATTCAGTTGTCTCAGCTACAAATTTTCAGTTTCAGTCACAAATCAACTTCCATGGACCCTACTTCATACTTAAGTGGTCAGTAGAGGGGGTGTGCACTAATGTGCCTATCGTTCCTGTCATTGTATTTTTTTCTTTTATTTTTGTTCTCATTTTGACAAATTCTAATAAAGTATAGTTTAAAACATTTAGGATAAACCTACGGATAAACAGTAAATAGTACTTGGACTATTGCAGCGATTTAATGAACAAAGTCAAACTTATGTGTATCTTAGTAAACAAATATGTAGCTCTTATCCAACTGATCTAATTTTGCTTTTTCTTTTAGATGCATACTGCTGCTCCAAACCCAGATGACCCTGAGGATTTTCCCGCTTTGTCTTGAAAAAACTTAGTGACACCTCCAAAAATAGCTGTGGAAATACTATGTTGCTGTAGAAGAGAACACCGAAGTCTACAGAGAGAAATGACTTTTGTGTGTGAATTTTGCACTACTATGTGTTAAGACATACCCTGTGGGTTTGAAGGCGAGTTCCAGTAACACTGGTTTTGGATTAGTTGTATGAAGGCTTATGGTATCATATGTGAGGAATTTCAAATAAAAATTCAGGATGATGGTGTCAAACAGGTACAGATGGATGAGTCTTTGTCCCTTTTATTACAAACGTAAACCATATTAGATGGTTTGGGGACAACATGTTTGGACAACTTGTTTTCCAGTTTCACTAAGTGTGCATTTGCCATACTTAAATTACAATTTTCAGAAGTTGGGAAACACTCACTGGTTGAGGTCAGGGGTGCTATTTTTACATCTTATCATTTAATATCGAAAGCTCCAAACTAGATTTTAAAGTTACAATTTGGAAATTAAAATTTGAAGAATGAGGGGCAACATGCAAATAAATCCTAGAATAAATAGTGTTTTGGAAGAAAGGGTGGTAAACTATGGAACAGCTTTGTTTCTAACTAGTTGATTTTCATACACATGGAAAACTACCTATCTGGGAGACTTGATTAGAATAGCATTCTTCATAGAGGAGCATTAAATAAGATCACTTTAGGGACACCATAAACCTGATACGTATCTCCCACCTGCCAAATCAACTTCAGTTGCATTCTTCATTTATCATTGTAGAATCCTTTTAATAAGTTGGTTGGAGCTCTTAATTTTGCTTATGGTTGATTTTTGATAAGACAAGGCTGCTTTTCAGCAAAATAAGAACATTAGAAGCATGTATCTCACAAAGAATGAATGGGTTGAGTCAAGTTTTGGTTGAAAGAGTATTCCCCCATAACATCTGGTCTGTAAGGTCACGAACATGTTCTGTAGTTATATAGCAAGTTGGGGAACTGTACATAAGGGGTTGGCAACTTCTTAAAATGATAAACCTGATACGTTATCTCCCACCTGCCACACCAACTTCAGTTTCTTGGGATTGTACATTACTGACTAAATAATTCATGGAAAAGACAGCAGCTTTTGGTTTAAGGAGTTGCTGAAAGGTTTACCCATATATATGCACCCATATACAAGCTGAAATAACTTTCATTAGAATCCAGTGCAATACCCCCCCCCTTCCCCCATTAAGTCTTTTCCACATTTGGGTAATCTCACATAAACAATAGATTTTATTTGTACACTTTTCTCTTACACGTTACTCAAGATTTATATAAGTCAATTACACTGATGAAAAAATACATACTATCAAATTAAAATTTAAACAGTCAAGTTAACCCTGAAATACATTAACAAAATAATTTGATCTGAGGAATATTGATTATACCACATAGTTTGAACAAATTGTACAAGTTTTGAAGACAATACATTAAAAAAATCCCCTAAAGTTTGTAATTGGGACCTACAAGTAGCAACTCTGAAGGTTTTAAGCTTTTACGCAGCATAGCTGTCAACATAGCAATGAATATTTGGATATAACTTTAAAGCGATAGAAAATAAATTGTGCTAACCAATATGGAATCGTAATAGTTCCACATGAGAATGTAAATTTATCTTTCAGACTATTTAGTTTGCTTAATCATAACAAAGATAACTTAAAAACTGGGAGCCTTCTTTGGTTTTCAAGCCTAAAAGAATTAAACCTATCTTTTGACTACGTAAGACACCTAAATATGGAGTATTTTTTCTGGTCAGATACTAGTACTGCTTCTAGTACCGTTTCTACCGTGTTTCCCTAAAAATAAGACCCTGTCTTATATTTTTTTGAACCCTGAAATAAGCGCTTGGTCTTATTGCCATGTGCTCAAAAGCCCGATTGGGCTTATTATCAGGGGATGTCTTATTTTGGGAGAAACAGGGTAGTACCTAGTACTAAATCTAAAAAAGATGATTTAAGCTATTTAACTTTATACTATGCCTTTCTACGAAAAAATGATATTCTATGGAGACTGGCTCAACATGATTGTGACCATTTAAAAGTGGCTTTCCATGGTTGATTTGTGTTTATAGCATTAATAACACAGTCAGTGGTTCCACAGTCAAGGAATCTTAGTTCTCATGTCTAAAATAGCAGTGTTGCACTTTTGTGCACAAGTAACAAGTACTTTCCGTTGATATTAATTAGTAAAGCTTCTGAATCAAAATATCTAAGCAAAGATTTCCTCCATGCTAATTAGGGCATTCTGAGTTGCTTGACGCTTATGTAACCAAAATCAAGGGAGGTAGAAACATGTACATATACTCCCAAGTAATAAGTATATTTTATCAAGAACCTTTTAATCTTAATCTAAGGTTCAAGCATAATCCTATCAGGAATAAGATGGTAAATGGCACTTAGCAGGTAATCACAAATCTCTGGCAACCGAAATATTTTCTATACGGACTATAAAGCTGCATGATTTTATGAGATGGCTAGAAATAATCAGGTTACAAAATTAGGAATGGGTGTTGGCTATTAAGGGGAAGACTTAATGAATAACTGGGATATAGGTAAGTGATCCTTTTGTCTGTCATGAAACAAACTAGTGGTAGAATTAGTTTACCAGCACTAATGAAAGCGACAGCCACCTCAGTTAATGTACGAAATGTCTGTTTAAACTTTATCAGGCACACAAAATATGCAGTGCTCTGATTTTTGAAGCTTGAATGTTAGGATGCAGGACAAATAAAAAATGGGATTTCAAATGTTGAACAATGAGGCTAATTCGATATTGAAAATAGTAGTACATAGATGGGAGCTATTTTTAGTAATGTGTGGTTAAAAATATTACACGGGTTTGTTAACTAATTTAGCTGATTTAAATCACTCCACCTTGAAAATTCTCCTACAGATACAGGAAACATTCTAAGGTAGGATATATTATAGAGAATAAAGCCAGTAGCTACATTATTAGTTAAAATAACATGAATACAGAAATACATCTGACAATATTGGTATCAGCTTGATCTTAGAACGTGTTGATTGCAATTTATAAAGCTAATCAAAACTAATTGCTAAGAGAATATGTGAGCAAGTCCTTCAGTATATAGTCCTTGACATACAACTGTAATGGAGACAGCCCATTATAATCGCAAGTCCTGATGGTTGTTGAGTGAGGCCCCCATGTGACTGCTTTGCTCAACAACTGTTATCCTGGCTCTCCCAGCCAGCCTTTAGAAACACTGAATTTGCTGGCCTTCTGGCTAGAAAGCCAGCAAATGTGTTATTTCTGAAAGGGGAGAAGGGCTTTTTCCAACCATCTTTGAGAGTATTTTCACAGGAGGGTCTTGAAGCATGAACTGTTGGGAACCCCTGTTGGTTTTTGCCATGGATCTTTCCAGCCTCAGAGCAGAACTGCTTTGCCGAGGGGCTCCGCCTCACTGGGAGCAAAATCAATCTGGCCGATGGCCCTTCTACTATTTCCATTGGAGAATGGAAATGGGCTGCCCCAAAGTGGGTGCTCATGGACCTTTTTCAGTCACCCCCCCTAGGAAGCAGAGTGAGTCCTGTGGCAGCAACCTTCCCTGCCAGTTTCCTTGTTGACTTTCTGAGGAAGCTGGGATGGAAGACTGCAAATGGCAATCACATGATCACAGAAAGTTTGGCAATCTTAAACGGATTACAAAAGTTCAGATCACAACTACATGATGCTGCAGTGGTATAAGTTCAGACAGGAGGTTGTCCATTTAACGCCATCATACTTTTATAAACAGTCACTGAATGAACAGTTGTAAATCAAAAACTACCTGTAACCCATGTGGCATTCAGTTTCATGGTGGATAAAGTAGAGCAGAAGATTAAACCAATCGAAAACTGTTCATATTCCAATAAATATAAATGAAGAACTCTTTGTCTATAATACAACTGCTAAGTAAATGGTGAACTATTCAACTGAATGGCAAAAGCTGAGGTGTAAGCAACATAAATCCTTAAAAAATAAACACAAAATATTGAAGTAATTTCATATGAGAATGCACAGAATTATCTAACTTTGCTTATTAAAAAGTGTTATGAGCAATATTGATTTGTGTTGGGATTCTTTTTTAAAAAAATCAGCAAAGAAAGCAAATAAATAACTATAGCCCATAAAAAATACAATGAGTTCATAATGAGGTTTTAAGTTCACCTGAATGTCAAACTGAAACTAAGCAGTTTGTATACAGCTCATTTATTTTGGGGAGAGTTAGGCAACAACAAAGTCAATCAGTTTCCCCACCATTAAGGAGGAATACCTAATACAGCAGGACTGTATAGTTTAGAACACTGAAATTAATAAGAAAAATATATTATTTGTGCCTATCTAATTAACATCTTCAAGCTAACACATTTTTCCAATAATCAAAACAATGCCGGTTTACATGGACATTATCAGATGAAGTACCTAGAAATCAATTTGACTAAGTTACTAGTGCAAGATGGTGGAAGAGCCAAGTGAGAATAGCAAAATCATGGTCAGGATATCTATGGAACTGATAACAAGCAGCTCATGTGCAAGTTTCCAGTCAAGCTAAAGTGGAAGAAAACTGACCAGTTTCCACAATACAATCTTGAGCATATACTCACCATTTTCAAGATCATCAGAATTGCTTTGAAGTTTTGAACCTCATTGATAAGGCACCAGAGGGAAGTTGTTAAGAATGAATGTGAAAAGAGACTGTCAAAAATCATAAAATAGAAGAAACTATACCGGATGTCAGAACAAATAGCAGAAACTGCCAAGAGAAAAAACCAAAAATAGAAAACTCAGGAAGAACTAAACAAATTTCGGACAGCTGTTAGAAGAGACAAGCAATATTATAACAATAGACACAGACAAGGAAAAGCAAGGAGATCTTCCAAAAGATCTCTTAATTCAAAAGGAAGATCCAATCTGGGATGCTAAAAGATGCCAAGGGATAGTAATTAATATAAAAAAAGATCATAGAAAGCTGGAAGTAGTATACTGAAATTCTGTACAGTATGTATGTATGTATGTATGTATGTATGTATGTATGTATGTATGTATGTATTTATTTATTTATTTTATTAGATTTTTATACTGCCCTTCTCCCACAGGACTCAGGGTGGTGAACAGCCAAGAATAAAAACATCGCATACAAAATTTAAATTTTTTTAAATAATTAAACAAATTTTGGCCCAATAATTTAAAACACCTCAACTAAAATCAAATTAACAATTAAAAATATCTAAGGGGGGGTGTCAAACCAGCCCGGCTTGATGAAATAAAGTTTTAAGGGCACGGCGAAAAGCACGGAGATCTGGGATCCTACGTATCTCCAGGGTTGTTCCAGAGGACAGGTGCTGCCACAGAGAAGGCCCTTCCCCTGGGGGTTGCCAGCCGACATTGTCTGGCCGACGGCACCCTGAGGAGTCCCTCTCTGTGGGAGCGTACTGGCCAGTGGGAGCTATCGGTGGCAGAAAGTGGTCCCGTAAGTACCGAGGCCCTAAGCCATGGAGCGCTTTAAATGTGGTAACCAACACCTTGAAGCGCACCCGGAAGACCACCGGGAGCCAATGCAGCTTGCACAGGAGGGGTATCACATAATCCAGTAGAGATGATATCCATGATACTTTAGAGACATATCTTATTTACAAAAATCAGATGAAGTTAGATTAACATTCCAGACACTATTAAGTTGGAAGGCTACCAGAACTGATGGAATATTTATAGAAGTAAGGTAAGCAATAGAAGAATAAATCAAGATTCTAATCAAACTGTGCCACAAATTTGGAGAATGACATTATTGGGCAACAGATTGGTCATGAGTAGACTTAACAGAGTCTACAAACCTGTCATACAGTATTGTTAGGACCTTCCAGCACAAATTACAACTCTATGTGGAGAGAGAAATAACAGATGTTCAAGTGGATTTTAGAAAAATCTAAAAACCAAAGGACATTGTTGTCGGTATCCTCAAGGTAATTCAGAAACTTATAGAACATAAAAATGTTAATATACATTTCATTGATTATAAAAAGTTCTTCAATTGTGTCAACCATCTTAACATATAGAATGGTCTTAGTAAATAGGGAATCCTAGAATACCTCAATGTTCTTGTATGAAGCATATACAACAGTTCATTTAGTGACCATTCAAAGTTACAACAGCACTGAAAAAAGTGACTTATATAACCATTTTTCACACTTGAAACCATTGCAGCATCCCCGTGGTCATGTGATCAAAATTCAAATACTTGGCAACTGGTTTATATTTATGGCGGTTGCAATGTCCTGGGGTCATGTGATCCCCTTTTGCGACCTTCTGAAACGCAGAGTCAATGGGGGAAGCCAGAATCACTTAACAGTCATGTTACTAACTTAACAAATGCAATGATTCACTTAACAACCATAGCAAGAAAAGTCATAAAATGGGGCAAATTCACTAATAAATGTTTCACTTAGCAATATAAATTTTGGCTCAATTGTGGTCATACCTCGAGGACTATCTGTTCATGGAATAGGAAGCCAAGTATGAAATAATATGATGAAACCGGAAATAATATGATGAAACCGGCTGGTACTAGAGTCAGACAAAGGTGTGTACTCTCTTCTCATTTATTCAACCCACAAGTTGAATAAGGGAGGCTGGATTGGAAAAAGATGAGTGTGGTTTTAAAACTGGAAAAAGAAATGCCAATAACTTGCCCTCTGCTGAAAATGCAAATGATCTGAGAATTCTAGTAATGAAACTTAATGAGCACAGTGGAAAGGTATAAGACTAAAGAAGACTAAACTAATGACAACAGATGGAACAAACAGCCTTAACTTGACAATGAATATAGGCAATGAAATGGTGAATAGCTTTTGCTTTTTAGGATAGACAATAATAAGGGAACAAACTGTTGAGAAATACATCGCACACAGTACTTGGTAGAGTAACAATGAAGTCCTTATGAAAAACAGATGCTGTGTCTACGCTTACAAAGCTCAGATCATGTAGGCCTTGACACTCTATGGAAGCAGACATTGGACCTTGAAAAAAAACAGGATAAAAAGGGCACTGATCCTTGTGAATTTTGGTGGTGGAAAATTCCTGAGAATGTCCTAGATAGTCAAGAAAACAAATAAATGGTTCATAGAGAAAATAAATCCAGAAATTTCAATTGAAGCAGAAGTGACTACACTTAAATCATATTTTGGATACATTATGCTAAGACTTTGTCATCTTGAGAAGTTTATAATGCTGGGGAAAGAGAAAAGGACAACAATCATCAGAAAAATAGATAAAGGGTCTTCTTCAATGGAAATGAATGGCTCAATAAAATTTCTGAAGAGCCAAGTTGTAGACAAATCATCATGAAGTGGCTGTTGGATTCAATAAGAGACTTAAGAATATAAATCTGTTAAAGTAGCCTTGAATATCAAAATGACTAATCAGCCTAAAACATGACGCAGGTCTCTTTAATACTAATGCTATGAGATTTTTTTAAGCAAAGCCACGTTCCTAAAATTTAACCTTACTCCTACAAGGCAGCTGTTCAAGACAGACTCCCAACATTCTTACTGGTATGATTAGCTACAGATATTTTGAGCTTCAGGTCCAGAAAGCATTTTTTAAAAAACGTATTATTCTTTACTAGAGAAATATAGAGTAGGTTACAGTACAGCAAAGCCTCTGTACCGGAGATAGGCACCCCTTATCCTTACAGATATTGGACAACAAATCTTAACTTCAATCATGTTGGCTAGGGCTAACAAGAGTCACAACCCAACATCAGGATGACCTGCATTATCCATAACTAATTTTTCCTTGCAAGGACTTTGAAGTCCAAATGAGACAAGAGAATAGTTATAACAATTATTGCTTAGCTTTTGAAGACGAACAATGTTAATAATTATAGTCCACTGTCTTTCTTTAGATTTCAGTACAGATCTACTGCTGCTTCTGCACTGAAAGGTGAATACAGGTAGTCCTCAATTTACAACCATTTAGTGACCATTCAAACTTACGACGACACTGAAAAAAGTGATTTATGACCATTGCCACATCCCCATGGTTACTTGATCAAAATTTGGCCAGTTGGCAACTGGTTCATATTTATGATGGTTGCAGTGTCCCATGGTCATGTGTGACCACCTTTTGTGACCTTCTGATAAGCGAAGTCAATGGGGAAGCCAGATTCATTTAACAATCATGGCAAGAAAAGTCGTACAATGGGGCAAAACTCACTTAACAATAGTTTCACTTAGCAACAGAAAATTTGGGCTGAATTGTGGTCGTAAATCGAGACTATCTGTAATTATAAACTTTGAATTTTAATGACATGGAGAAATGGCAAATTAAACTCTTTTCCTATCCAATCTATTGACATGTCATTGGAATCACAACATTGATATGCCACTAATTTTGCATACAGAACAAATTCAACCACCTATTTCTGCAGACTGAGCAAAAATGAATGCACGACTATTAGTAGAATCACTACCATGTAATATTTAATGCTAGAAAGGAATGGTGTCTGAGAACAGGATCTCAGGGTAAGGAGAGCCAATTTGTAAGCAGTGTTAGCATTCCTTTTAATGAGAAAGGGATAAATGTAAAACTACATAGAGAACATTTGAAAAGCCATATTTTTCTAGTGCATTTTGTCCAATTATAATCTGAAGTAACTGTACAACAGGTTTTAATTCATTAGCAGTTCAACAATTAAAACTGTGATATTCCAACAGCACATAATTTGTTACAATTCTTCCCAGCTGTTTCTGTTAATTAAAAGTAGTAAGTAACACTTTAGGCAGTGGTATAATTTGCAAGACTAGGAACTAAATCTATGAAAATAAAGCACTCTTTGGTGGATAGTAATTTAGAAATATATGATAAAAGTCCTAATACAATTAGGATAGGTAATGTATGCAAAGAGCAATCATATTATTGGGGGAATGAAAGGAAGAAGAGTACGCTTTCCCAATTTCTCCGTTTCCATCATAAGAGAAAACCATTTTTGGATGAAAATTTATACATTGAACAAATAATATATGCACTCCCCCTATCAGTTGTTGGACAGATTAAATGATTGCCATCACATTTTATCCCTAAGCATTGTACAAAAAAAAGTTCTCTTGATAAAAGAGATATTAGACAAAAGGCTAAAATTTACAGGCCATTATTAAAGCAGTAAAAAAATCATTGTTGTAGTGATAATAAATTAACACTCTTGTATAAGAGCTAAAATAGACTTTTTAAAAGAAAAAAATCAATCTTCAATGTTTTAATTGAAAACAATGTCTCTTTTTCTCTCTCTGCATTCTTTTGAATTTTCATTGTTCAACGCAGCACACTTCTCGTCCTTGGCTTAGGGGTAGTGCTGAAATGATAAAGAGATATATGGGAGATAAGATATATAAGATACGTATATAAATACCAGTTAAAAATGAATGATTTAACCATCATAACAACCAGTTAAGACTAAGCCAGCAAATAAACCAAAAACATCTTAGAGGAGGGAAGGGGTGATTGAAAGGCTAAATTTCTGAAAATAATATAACCTCAACAACAAAGGTCAGTCACTCAGGTTACATTGTTAGAAAACAAGCTCAGATTCGTGAAGAAAAATCAGTGGGATAAAAGTACCATAAGCGTATTTGTTGTAAAGCATCCCCTTTCCTTCTTTCCCTCTGAGGCATGAGACTGTGGGAAAAGTAGAAAAAAAGTAAAGAAAAAAAAATATTTTAAGTGGTTAGGATTAAATAGATGATGCTCTGTCACTTCATTCATTTTCCAATTTAAATCTGGAAGTCAAGCGCAACTGACATTGTTAGAAGCAAGTGGTGGCCTTTGAAAGGTTAAAAAAAAATTAAAACACCTTTTTAAACCCGTTACTTTAAAAATACTAGAATAAGTGAAAAAACAGCTCTATATGAATAATAGGGTTAACACTTACTGTTTTCGCTCCTATTCTTCAAGTCTCTTAAAATCCATCCTCTCTCCACTCATCGTCTCAACATAATATCTCGTTCCCTAAAGTGCTAACTGAAGCAACAAGGGATGACTCTTTCATTTGTAGTATAGGGTTCCAGCCAATTTCAAGAGAAAGAGGGGAGGGAGTTATTTAAATACTCTTGAAAATTATGTTCCATGAGCTTAAGATTCCAGTTTTAAAGCCGACTGATATATCTATATACATCTGAGAGCTTTGTCTTACATTAGTACTATTTATGAATAACCCCCTACAGCAATCATACTGTATCTATAAAGTGCTTTATTACATTAATCTATCTCTAATGATAATAGAATATCTAGGTTGACATCAACCAGACTATCTTATCCTAACACAGCATTTCCCTTTCAAAAAGGGTGACCTCTTTTCCTAAGCATTGGAAAACATTCAAGATTATCCATGAATAAACTGATAAATTAGTTTGGGCAGGAGAGAAGGCAACTATCTGCTTTGAAAGAAATGCACCAGGTTTTTCTAGGGACTTTAGTGTTGCTTGACACAGTGCTCAATCAATAATATATGGAATGTCTTTGTGATGATACCCATTCAGTGCCTATGTTTCCATGCTTTATCCATTTTTATCTGCTTTATGGGAATCTACACGAATAATTTCAGAATGCCTAGATGCTTTGGATTATCACAGCTTTTTGCACTAGCATGATATAAGCACATACATTTATAAACTATATTTTAAAATGAGGAGGGCTATTCTTTCTCATTTCTAGATAGAATGAAATGGTAATCTTTAGTTTTAAATGAGAGAGAGAATACCAGTAAGGGGTAGATGAAATGAAGAGAAGCCTCAAAAAATAATTACTTTTCAACAGTTTTCCAAACACAAAGTTACTTGCTTTTGTGCTAGTTCTCAACTCCTTTATATTTAAAACAGTGTTCTGTAAACCCATTTAAAACCATGGTTGACTGCTGCTTACTTGATTTGGTATTCCAGGTAAACTATTGCTAGAAAAAATATGGCAATGTCCAAGTCTGTAACCTAGTGTACTATTTAAAAGTCTGTTTAAATAATAAAATGGGTGAAATGGTGCATCATATACGGCAAAATGTTTTCAAGCACGATAGCTTAAATGAGCTAAGTTACAGAATGTGTCTGAAACCCACGACCCAGGACTCCCATGGGATTGAAATTTGGCAAATTTTATAAAATGTTTTATGAGATAAAATTATGATAATCTTTTCATAATATAATAGAAATTTCATAAAACTTCCACTGTGGTCAACTCCTGGAAGTTTGAGTACGTTATATAGTTCAACATGGGTCATTTTCAAGACAGATACATCTCTAAATAGCTTCCTGAAAAAAATTAAGAATTTTTCAAATTCATTAGAAACTCTGCTATTGTTGAAGGCACTGAGGAAATCTGTCTGGAAGGATGATCTAAGGGGCATAGAACATTTCTAACTGGCCAAAACAGAGGTAAAGTACACAATCCAATCTCCATTATACCTTCTAAGAGTAAAGGAAACTGTTCTTGGCATCTGGGCGGCAATAGTGGTTTTCTGTATAATGGAATCAGCTGAGATGATTACACAGAAGAAAAACAACCTGTATAAAAGGTCCAGGATGACCCCCCTCCTCCTCCTACAGAGAGCTTTGCCTATTCAGAAACATTCTTGTAACGCTATGGGAAAAACTTCTGCATTCCAAAAAGAAGTATTGTGAAACCAGATCTGCCTATTTTCAATCAGTTGTCCACAGCAGGAGTGCTTTCTCTCTCCAAAGAAGATTGGAAGCCAAACTGCAGCTGCTGGTCTTGGATGTGGTAGCACTGTCTCAGATGGACCTGGTGCACAATCTGGGGGTCCTCTTGGGTTCAGCTCCTATTGGAAGAGGAGTGGTAGCTGTGGCAAAGACAGCCTTTGCACATCTTCAAAGTGTGTGCCAGTTCTACACATTCCTGGACCAAGGCTCTACTCACTGCTCCCAATTGGACTATTGCAACACTGTCTACATCGAACTGCCTTTGAGGAGTAATCAGAGGCTTCAACTGGGATTGTAAATGATGATGGGTATTTTGCACATGTAACACTAGGCTGCATTGGTCCCCAATGTTTCCAAGTCCAATTTAAGATACTGTTTTTCACCTTTTAAAAACCTTCATGGCTTGGGACTGGGTTTCCTGAGCGGTTGTCTTTTCCCAGTTGTTTCTACCCATCCAATCCAGTCTGGCAGATTAGGCATATTCCTGGTTCCCATCAGCCAAGGAATTTTGGCTGGTAGGGAATGGAAGGCATGCCTTTTCTGCTGTAGCCCCTGCACTCTGGAACATCCTACTCCCTCCAGAGATTAGGATGGCCCTGACCCTGCTAGCCTTTCAGAAAGTCTTGAAGTGTGCCCAGGCATAGCGTTCGTTCTAAGTGTGTGAAGGGTAGCATTTCTCTTGGCTGCTACTTTTATCTAAATTCTTGTGTGTAACTAAATTCACAAAGACACACAGCAAATACACATACATACTGAACATTCAAAGAAAAATAAAAAAACAACAAAAAGTCATATAGAATAAAGAAAAAGAAAAAACAGAAAAGTGCAGAAAGAAAAGAAATAGAAAGAAGGTCCTGATTTTTCCTGCAGCAAAACGTATACATGATTAAACTTATCTTACTCTAGAATTACAAAAAGCTCACTTTTTTTCTATTACCCAATTTTTTTTCCTAATCATCAAAACCACAAGTCATTAGTGCATTTTTTCCTGTTTCATATAAAAAGTCTATAAGGGGTTTCCAGTCAACCATAAATGTAGAAGCTGTTTTTCCTCTAATCAAAAAAGTCAATGTAGCTATCTCTGCAAGTTCCATCATCTTCAACAACCATTCCTCTATTATGGGTAATGTCAAACCTTACTACTACTTAGTTAATTTTCCATTATACTGACAGCTATTACAGTCAGAACAAATTACGGTAGGATATAAACCTACTGGAAACAGTCAAAAGAAGAATATATGTATACAATGCAACTTACATGATGTATCTGAAGCAGTCCACAGAGAAAAAGTCGAATTAAACAAATTTAATGCATTTGCATGGCAAATTTAGTGTATATTGAAAGTAGAAAAAACTGTATCACAGATATATAGCCTAAATGTGTATAGATGCTGTCAGCAACCAAAAGCTTAGGATGAACTAAGGCTAGCAACGGGTGCTAAGAACCAAGAATGTTAGGGGTTTTTTTTGGTGTGGGGGAGGGGGAGGTTCAAAATGGAAAAGTATCTTTGCTCCACAAAGGAAGGCAAAAACATTAGCACATAGAGTAGCAATAATAAAAGACAAAGCCTTTTTAACTCGTTTTGCTTCAGGCTTAAGTAATAGCAAAGTAACTTTTCATTCTGCCAGGAAACTGTGAACATTTAAATATGCAGGGTCTGATGAATTACATCCTAGATTGTGGAGGAGCAAGATGAAGGTTCTGGTAGAACCTCATGTATTATCTTTGTTATATTTTGGACAATTGGCAGATGAGTGGAACTGCGTAAATGTCCTTATTATCTCCATAAAGAGTAAAAGAAGGATTCAACCAATCACGAACAAGTGAGTCTGACATTGACTTCTGTTAAGGCACTTAATCAAAAACATAAGTTAATGACCATTTGTAAAAACAATACAGGTAGTCCTCGATTTACAACAGTTCATTTAGTGATTGCTCAAAGTTACAACGGCACTGAAAAAAGTGACTTATGACCATTTTTCACACTTATGGCTGTTGCAGCATCCCATGGTCATATGATTTACATTTGGATGTTTGACAACTGGTACATATGGTTGCTGGTTCAAAAGGTCACACCTTTTGTGACCTTTTGACAAGCAAAGCCAGATTCACTTAACTGGGTTACTAATTTAACAACTGCAATTATTCACTTAACAAATGTGGCAAGAAAAGTTGTAAAATGGGGCAAAACTCACAACAAATTTCTCACTTAGCAACATAAGTCTCAATTGTGGTTGTAAATCGAGGACTACCTATATGTTAATTTTCAGATGTCAGAATCTTATTTTTTTTAACCTGTAACAGATTATGCTGCAGATATTATATACCATTGTTTCAGCACAGCATTTGATAACATGCCATGCTATGCATGATACAAGAATTAATTTGATGCTTAACTGGCTTAAAAATTGTACTCAGAAAAAGCTGATCACTGGTTCTGCATCAGATAAATGAAACTTCAGTATTTTCACTAGTTATTTGAGTGATAAGCTGGATAGTATGCTTAGCAAATTTGCAGATGATACAAAATTGAGTGGGATAGTTAATACCCTAGAAGACAGAAATAAAATCTGAGAATATTTTTTGTAGAAAAGAACTGCTTGGAGAAAAGGTAATAGACTGAAACTTAACAGACTCAAGTGCAATAAAATAAATATGGACTAGCAGTGGCTCCATAATTATTTTATTATATTCTGTTATGGTTAAGTACTGTATCATGTTCTGGCCACCACACTTCAATGATTCATTGAAAATTGAAAAGGTTCAAAGAAAGACAATGAAAACAACAAATTCAAAGACTCCAGGAGACTAGAAATGAAGCCCTATGAAGAATGATTTAAGTAGCTGCATATATATAATCTTCAGAATGGACAATTGAGGGTGACCCTATAGTGCTGTTCAAATATTGGAAGGTTATCATCAAAATATCAATGCTTATTTTTCCCTTTATAATTCAAAAGGTAGAACTATGGATTTAGGTTACAAGAGATAAAAATATTAAAAATAGAAGTGGTTCAGCAACAGAATAAATTATAAAGACACGAGTCCCTTTTCATTGGATGTATATCTACATAATAATCTGCCTGGGATATTTAATTTATATTCCTGCACTGAGCAGGAGGTTGGATTTGATGGCCAAAATACCTTCCTCTACCTGTGTAGTTTTAAAATGCTATTTAAAAAAGGCAAAAAATGTGAGAACTGACAATTCTGTGTAGTTGAAATTATAATGGAAATGAAACAAATAATATTAAAGTGCAAAGAATTCCACACACTGAAGCCTCAATGGTAATAGGAAAGCATTCAGAAAGATTACCAGAAATGTCTGGCAATCTTCTGATTAAGTGGTAACATGATCTATGATAATGGATTATGAATTTGAAATGCAGTTAGGCAAGATTTTTTGAAATAATAATAAATTCCATGAATATAGACATTTTTACCAAACCTGTTTCATGATTAAGAAAATTTGATGTCTTAGCACCATGGGAAGTGCCAGCCGAGTAAAGTAATAGAAGTAAAATCCTTTCTCACTTAGTAACAGATAATATCTGGGTTAAGAATGAGATCTGTTCCTAAGTCTGTTTTTAACTCTGATTTGTATGTAAATTGGAACTTGTAATTATGAACAGGTTGCCCGTTACTAAAGATGGTGGAATATGTTCTTCTTTCTTGAGTTATGAAGCCACACAATGTTTTCATGAACCACTCAAAACCACTGAAAAAAGGTGCATATTAAAAACCCATGGTTTTCCCCCCCAACTAACTCTATTCTCAAAACCTCTGAATATGGTGAGAGACTAAACTCCTTTTGCACGAATATTTTATCACAAAGCAGTGGAAATACTTCTTTATAAGGAATTATGACACTCATTCAAAATATCCAACTATACACACACACACACACACACACACACACACACACACACTTAATGCTGAGTCTATGTAATCTGAAAAGGGAATTACTTCATTTTCTAGGCTGCTCCTTGAAAAAATATTTTCTAATTCCTTTTTTATTGGACTTGCTCTTGTAATTGAGGATGATAATCTACAAATTATTACAAATCTGGATAACTTCAAGGTGTTCATCTCTAAAGGAAGACAACTATATCCCCTTAACTAAGAAAATAAAACAACATTTGGATAGATGGAAGAAAATACAATTGTCACTTCTAGGCAAAATAGCCTCGATTAAGATGAACATCCTCCCAAAATTATTGTATTTGTATCAAACAATACCTGTAAATCTGGATAAGAAATTCTTTTTAGATCTTAACAAAAACATTAGGAAATTTATATGGGGTGGGAAAAGACCAAGGATTTCACTTAAAATCTTACAAGGAAAACGGGATTTAGGAGGATTTGGACTCCCGGATTTGGAAAGATATTACAGGGCAGCCAAGCTAATATGGATAAGGGAGTGGGCCACTCTGGAAAATGAAAGGATTCTAATGTTGGAAGGTCACGACCTACAGAGTGAGAAAGGGTGGCACGCATATTTATGGGACACAGAGAAGAAAAAGAAAACATATTTTCATAGGCATAAAATTAGATACACTTTAATACAAACATGGACCACAATTAAACAGCGATATTATAAAAAAGTCCCAAAATGGCTCTCCACGATGGAGGCCCTGATTTATCCTAATAGATGGGGAATGAAGAAAATGTGTAGATAAAAAGACATACTAGATGAAGGAGGAAACCTTAAGTCTAACGATGCCTTGAGAGATCAAGGTATCAATTTAGACTGATGGACTTATCTACAAATAAAGTCTAGATACCAGAAAGGCAAGGAAGAATGCGGCTTAGAACTAGGATCTAGTGGCTTCGATAAGGGAATCCTTGATGGGAACAAAAAAAAAAAAGATTTTAGCCAAACTATATAACTACCTACTAGATGAAGATAGAACAGAGGACACAATTAAAAACCAAATGGGAGCATGGGAGAAGAATATTGGACGCAGTATAAATTTTAACGAGTGGGAAGAGGCATGGAATAGGAATTATAAATTGACCAGAGCAGTGACTTATAAGGAAAACCAGTATAAAATGTTACACAGGTGGCATCTAGCCCCTGCTAGGCTAGCAAAGATGTATCCAAATATTAACCCAAACTGTTGGAAATGTGGTCATGGGCAGGGCACCTTCTTCTACATGTGGTGGACATGCCCTGATGCGAAAAGGTATTGGAGCAAGATTTGGAGATGGTTACAAGAAATAATTGGAGAAGATATTGAATTGACATCTGAAATATTTCTCCTGGGAATAGTAAAGAGGAATTATGGAAAGAAAAAGATTTATTTAATTATACTATCACCACTGCTGCGAGACTGGCATACGCACAATACTGGAAAGAGAAAGATCTGCCAACAGAAGAACATATAATTAGGAAAATACTGGAGTGTGCAGAGATGAGCAAACTAACACATGAAATAAATGAGGATGAAAACTCAGAATACCATACTGTTTGGGGAAGGTGGTATGAATGGATGAACGATAAAATAAAAAAAGGAGAAAAAGATGTGCCTAATAAAAGGAATAAGTAGCTTAAGAAATACCAGGTGCATATCTTGTGTATATGTATATATGTATAAACACTGCACTTCCGATGTAAATAGAAATGATACTTAATGTATTTTACAAACTTAATATAATACTTAAAAAAAAAGATAATCTACAAATTTCACAAAACATGAGACAGAAATTCCAAATTAATTTCAGATTGTTCAGATATTAATTCAGTTTTCAATCACATGCAAAGAATGTGCTGAACTGATTCAGAGATAACATTAAACCATACTCTAGCTTTGCATTCATACCAGCAATCGTATGCCTACCAATTATTTCTTTTTTGTACTCAACATGAAATGTGAAAGGTTGTGGTTCCTTTTTACCAGTCTAAATTATGGTTTACCACCACAGCCAAAAAAAAAAAAAAAATGATTTTAAATGAATCATGAAAATATAAAAATTCAGCCTTCATTAACTGATAGGTTCTGGAATTCAGGACAGTAATTCTCACCTTTTAAAACTGCTTTTTCTTGCAGTAGACCTGGTAGTTCTTTTAGAAAGGCCTGCACTGTCAGAAATGCTAGGTTCAGACTGTTTACTTTTCTGAACACTGGATTGCAGAATTACTCTGAAAAGAGTGGGAAAAAGATATTATATCAAACAAGCTGAAAACATATAATGCACAATAAGAGTGATATGTTATGTGGTTTCCAGATCTGAAAATTGGGATAATGTGGACAGATTTATTTAGTCTTCACGTTTTAAGTTTTTATAGGTTTCAGTGAAAATGTTAGTATTTCCACCTTTTTTTCTGGTTTAGGGCTTCTCAGAGAGAGAAATAAGATTTTTTTTTAAAAAAAATGTGTCAAAAAAGATTACAGAAGATCAAGAATCAGCTACATGCATATCCATATACTCCTTCAACTATCAAAATGAACTGATGAACAGAAAAAACTCTTAGAATCTTAGTAGTATGCCAGAAGGCAAATATATCCAAATATTAATTGTACACTTATGTATTTTACAGAAAAGACAAAATGAGCTGCTGTACTGTACTCTTGAAAGTTGCAAAGCTATGAGGGTACTGTTTATATTCCCCCCCCAAAAAAAATTCCCTCCCCTCCCCCAAACATCAGTGGAAAGTAGGATAATCAACCATTTATCTGAAATGGTATAGGGTTGAGGAGGTTGGATTAGAAGACCTCCAAGGTCCCTTCCAACTGTGTTTATTCTGTTGTATCAAAAAAAGAAAAAAAATCACTGATATGTATTTGACTTCTAGATTCTGATAATCTCTTCAAAAATATGGAAATATCTCTAAATTTGTTTTTTTTAAATAGTCAGATTTCAGTAAGCATAGTTTAAATCATGGATGCCCAACCTTTTGGTTTGCCTGAGGAAACAAAGAGGAATTGTCTTGGGCCATATATAAAGTATATAATACAGTTAATGTATATAAATATCTCTAACGTCACATAATGTCAAAAGTTAACAATCTTGTGGGTCGCATTACTAGCTGTCCAGGGTTGCATGTGACCAGCCATGGCTTGGACACACCTGCCTTAGATATTAGACTTTCCTCCACAAAGTAACAAAAATCTCACTTGGAAGGGAAATTGGAGATGGTAACAGTTTTCGTCCAACAATGAACTACAATTTTTTATCCCACAAATTCTGCTAATTTTTAAATGAGCAACATCTACTCATGACTACCACTGTAATGAAAATTGTAAAGAATAGTTAATGATTAAATGACTCATCCTCTTGGTAACGTGCTGCCATCCAATAACTTATCTCACTGAGTTGGAGTGAATATTTCATTATTGGTATAGTTAAAAATGAAAAATGGAATTAATCATCCCCAGGAAACCTGGCATTAATGTTTCAAACACCTTACACAATATATACAGTAAAAATGTCACATATTTTGCAATTTTAAAAATAAAAATACAAAGTGTGCTATCTTTCAGTAATAATAATTCAAATAAAACGAGCAGTTTTCTCAAGATGAATATAATCTGGTTATGCATTATAGCATATTATCAGTTAGAATCAGAAAAACAGAAGAATTCTGAGCTAAATACTACAACAAAAGAGAAGGTGGTCAATACAAGATTCTAAGACAAGTATAGAAAAACGTGAAATATTCCAAAGAATTATTAGGAGGCACAATGTCCAATAATTAATATGCCTAAATGTAATTCAAATAATTTTACTGTACTGTTAATCATATTTCATTACTATCCAAATAAGAAAATAAGAGCAAAGAACAAACAATATTAGGAAGAGAGAGAAATGGGGGGCCACATTTAGAAGGTCACATGTGGCTCTTGTCCCCCTAAGTAGCTGAAAAATTAAACTATCAGATTATCAAATTATCTGCCACAGGACACTGCAGAAGGAAAGGGTATGCTTGTGACAACAATGTGGAAAGCTGGAAAGATATAGATGGAGAAAAATAAGGTCTGACTGAATCTTAGCCAAGAATGAGGGGTTATGTATTTGATGACTTGAAAGATTATAATACTAGATTAGGTTCCGCTGCCATGAACAGATTTGGCTGACAATCTGGGAATTGTCCTGGATTCACTGCTACAGTTAAAATAGCACCTAGAGGCTGTGGATAGCAGGTTCTTTCTTCAATTGCACCCTGTGCATTAAATGCAGCCATTTCTGGATCAAGGAATTTTGCACACAGTCAATCATCTTATAGATGGACTACTGCAATTTCATCTGCTTGGTCTGTCTTAGAAGAACATTCAAAAAGTTCAACTAGTATAGCATGCATCTCCTTGTATAGTTGTGGGTGCATCAAAATTTGCCCCTGTGACAGCATGACAGTACTTCAGCAGGTGCAACATGTATCAATTAGCTTTTCATTGCTATTCAAGATTCTATTTTTCAACTTTAAAACCTTTATGGCTCAGACATGGATACTTATGAGACCACATTCTCCGGACTGAACATCCAATGAAATCAGGTAATTCTAGCTTTCTGAAGACCCCTTCAGATGCTATTGACTTTGGGGTTAAACTTTTTCAGTGATGACCCCTTTGGAACAGTTTACCTGTCCTCCTCCCAATACTGGGCTTCCAAAAGGCTATGAAGATCTGGATCTTTAGGAAGATATTTGGGAATGTGGAGATTTTGCCAAACATCATGGGATGGCATTTTACCTGTTGTTTTCCGGGGTTCTTATATATTTGATTTTTTTTTTATTCGTAACATTTGTTTTGGTGGTTTGTAAACTTCTTACAGCCTATGGGAATTTGGCAGCAGAGAAAAGTCAGTCAGTCAGTCAAACAAGAAATAAATATGAATAGAGTTGTGAACTTGACCCCTCTCTTAATATTCTATTCAGTATTCTTAGGTCTTAAAACACTGCTCCCACTGATGGTCTAAAATAACAACAATCTAAAAAATGTTAACCTTTTTTATTAATTGAATTACTTTGTGTACAACCACATACTATGTTGACTAATTGGAATGCTCCAATTACTTCAAAGCATTCATGGAGACAGGAGAGGAAGGAAAAGGGCATACACCCATTCCTTGTTTAGCAACCATTTGCAAATACTACTGTAATAAATCATTCATTTTCTGACCAATGCATGCATTTATCACCAAATTTCATGTGCAACAATGCATGCCAGTAAGAGTAATGCTGGCAGAGCTGCAAGAGAGAACTTAGTTGAATGAGACGGAAACAACCTATGACTTTCATCTCCTTCCCTCCCTCTCTCTCTTTCAGTCACCTATTTAAATTAGTGATCATTTCACTTAACAATTTGGTCACTGGAAATGAACTTGGTCACTAAATGAGGAGCGGGTATATAACAGATCTATAGCACTGAATGCCTAGACTACGGGCTTATTTGTTTACAGCTCTTCACACTTATGGAGTGAAAACACAAGTCAGCAGGTCCAACCCCAAAGGATTCCAGGAAGAGACTAAATTCCTTGTACATGCAGATAAAAGGAAGCAATCTCATCATACAATAAAAACAGCACCACACATATATACGTTTTCTGCACAAAATATCTGGACCAGCACACAGACAAGAAGAGACTTCCAGCTCAAAAGAAAATTCTAAGGCAGATACGGTAAATCACCCCTTGTACTACATCCCTTTTTGCTTCTAAAAGTACCTAGAGAAGTTAAATAAAGGAGGGGCAGGGGGGAGATGGTAATAAAAGCTAGATGCAATGCGCTTATGATTAAGGCAAGAAAATGAGCTACTGAAGAGAATGTAATAGGGACACTTACACAGTGGCTCTCCCAAGGGAGGTTCTGATGGACCTATGTTCTTAAACCATCTAGACAGAATAGCAGGTTGGGAAGAAGGGAGCCACACACAATCCACCAGATGACAATGCTACTCAGAGCAGAGGCCAGTATAGCTAGGAGACATCTAAAAAGGAGTGAGGGTGGGGAGGAAGAGATGAACATGAAGTCAAAAGGGGGTGGGAAAATCAAGAACTTTGCAGATGAGTGGTACATTTCATCTAAAAGAAATGTCCATTAATTTTCACTATGGAAAATGTTTTCCATTCACTGGGCAAAGGTTAGCTGTTTTTTAAGGAGTACCTTTGCCATTATTCTGCAACTCACTTTCATCTTAAAGTATGAATTATTCCTAGACTGGTTCAAGTACTGTTGTTGTTGTTGTTGTTGTTGTTGTTGTTGTTGTTGTTTGTTTAAAAAAATGCCAAACCACTCCCTTATTTACAAAATGACCTCCCAATATCGCATGCACTCTGTGGATGATTAACAGATTAAAGCTGTTCTATGTAAATTATATTTTACCTATACTGTACACACAAAATGTAGCACTGAGGAAACTGTTGTTTTTCAATATTTAAATATGTATCTTAAAAACATGGCAATTTTAATCAATTATGCTTCTTTTCCTAACCTTAATAAAAGCAAACTTACCGTACACATTTAAAGATATAGCACAACCCATCCCAGCACAAGGAATGACAACAGCTTCCTAAGCAAAAGTCCCTAAAAACAAGATTATTCTGACCAAAACAATGAGTCTGACCTTTCATTCAGGAGTCATTTTCAATACTGCTGACGTTGATAGCAAAATGTAAAAATGCTTTGAGATGTTGGTGTAACATTCAGTTTAAAAAAGCATTTGAGAAAGGTTACATGAACTTAGTGACAGACCAAAGAATTTGGTGATAATAAAATAAAATCACGAGCAGGCTTGTAAGTGATTCAATCACAAAGAATTACAACAAGCTTTTTAAAATAACATGGAACATAACCAAATCAAATTTCAAAGAAAAAAGTGTTTGTATTTACAAAATCAAAATAAAGTTAAACTTACGTTAATGGAACTGAATATGCTTTTGCCTGCCTTTTACTTTTAAGGGCACGGAGCTTGTCCCCTTGTGTTACTGTGTGTGTTTCTTCTTCATCACTGTACTGCAAATAAATGGTAAGCCATTAAAGTTATTTATAACAAAGCTTCCAAGTCCTACTACTGAAGATTCATATTTACCACAGTACTAGATAGGAGTGATTGTTTAACCCAGTTCCAATAGTTCTTATGAAAAGTGTTCTGAGCATTTTATTTTAGTTTTTGTGGAGGTCAAATCAGTAAGACAAAAGGTAAACTCCAAGCAACAGAAAGGTATTTTGGCAAAAAGTACTATTATGCCCATACTTGTCTTGCAGAATGTCCTGTTCATTATTTTCTCTATTTTTTGGAATGCTTGATAGGAACAGAAATACAGAACAGCCATACAAATGAATACAATCACTTTTGCTTTATTATACCCACATAAAAAAAACAAAACAACAAAAACCAGTCCTAAGGTTTCCAACAGCACACCATGCGGATGATTACCGGTTCAGAATCTTTTCTGCTGGCATTCTGATTTTTTGAATCGTTAATTGAAATGTCATCTACTCCTGAAAGGATTTTTGTCACTGCAAGCTTTTGAGTCTTCTTTAGCTTTGAACGATAAACATCACCTTCCAGCCAAAGTTCTGGCTGTTTCCTATAATAGAAAGAAGCTAAGTTAGAAACCAGCTCATTTCAATGTATGACCATATTTATAATTAAAATGAAGTTGTTTCAGTATCAGACATTAATCGTTGCAAGGACACATCTATAACATCAGTTCTAGTTCTAGCATCGTATGTTTCCTAGAAATTATACAATGCCACTATTGAATTGCATGCAACTATTTCTGTCTTCCATCTGGTTCCATCCATTTTGCTCTAACAGAATGTCTGCTAATGGAAAAGGCCATAACTGTCACTCAATCTTCTTCCCCGCATTGTTCTCTGTGCCTCTTCCAAAATGTTGAGCTACTGGGACAGTTTGAAAGGCAGCCTGGCGAGATGCAGAGGCTCAGCAAAAGCCATCTTCATCCCTAAACAGTAGAAGCTTGGCTTTTTTGAGTATAAAGACCTACCAGAAAAGACAGTCAGATCTGATGAAATGTGATTTTGAAAATGGAGGCTAAACTTTATTTTTCAGCGTTAATGGAATGATTGTCAAAGAACATATTTAATAAGCAAAACTGACCATATGGAATGATACACTTGCAATCATAGTTATAGTTTAGGACAATACCCTGATTAATCCATTGTTATGCAAGATTTGTTAATTAATTATAAAGTCATTTTCCACATTGGACTGCTATAAATCATAATTTTAAAAAAACAATGACTGGATTCATATAATTTGTTAAACCAAATACATAAACAGTATTTTAGGTTAAAAGGCCTGAACCTAGTATTTTATCCTAATGTGGTAAACACACTTAGCCACTGAATAGACGTGGATAATTCTGACCAAACAGTGGCAATTGCAGGTTGTTCATAATGCAGTGTCTTATCCCATTCAGAACCTAAAGTAATGACCAGTTCCTTAAAAAGCAAATAACTAGTAACTCTCTATATGGCTATATGGTTCAAATATCCAATGATAACTGCAACATATGCAGGTTGTCCTTGTTTAGTGACCATTTGCAGTTACAACACTGATGAAAAATAAACTTTACAATCAATCCCTGTTGACGACCTGTTTATGATCGCTTCATTTAGTGATCAAGTTGCTGTTCCCAACTGTAGTCACTAAACTAGGACTACCTGTATGTGAGTACATCAACACCTATTTCGTATGTATGTATGTATATATGTATGTATGTATGTATGTATATGTATTGAAAAAAGAACAACTATTATACATTTAAGTGTAGCTTTCTTTAAAATTGGTACTTTCCAGACATGAATGGACGGTCATCAATGGCCAGGCTAGATAACATATCTGAAGGACACCAGATTAAAGAGGTCCAATTTGGTACTAAAAACAATTATTATATTTAACACTTAATCATCCTGGAATTGCCTACAGACATAAATACAGGCATAACTTTTTAAATGTTTACATACTCCAACAAGAAATGTTGTTGAGTTCCAATCACAGAGCCAGGTCTACAAATTCTAATCCAGGCAATAGTTTCAGCAGCAGTCATCCTGTAATGCTTCATAATGTAACATGCTATAAGTGTACCAGTTCTGCCAAGTCCAGCTGAATAAAAACATAAGGAAATTTACTTTATTTGGGTTTGAAGAAATTGAAGAACCTTCAATTTAAAGTTTTAAGAATAGGAAAATCTTGAAAGCTGTTTTTCAAAAACCTAAGGCGGTTGAATTTGCTATTAGGAAAAAAAAATCCTAAAAACTTTATTACACCAATTCAAGGATAACAAAACCAATAATACAACCTTTGAGGGGGTTTGAAGTTTTGTATAAATAGTATCCTGGATCTACTCTACACTATTACTCATTTGTGCAAATAATTTTGATTGAAAATACTTGGAACAATTACATGCATCTACTGTAAGATCGGGCTTTTAGCAGAAGACATTAACATTTCGTAACTTGCGTTTCAAGCATATTAGATTAGCATGCTTCCATACAGATAATGGCAAAGACAGAGTCATTAGATTTGTAGCAAGAGGCCACAATAGTTTAGCCTAAGACAAAATAACCTCTTATCTTCTTTAAGAATGAGAAAAAAAGAGTATGTTCTGCTATGATTAATTTCAACTTTTTGAGTGAAATGATCTAATTTTGATCAAACTCATTAAAAATACATCCTGAGGCAGAGCCAAGTCTGATGAGTTCTGCAGGGGGTGGTAAGGCATGTTATGAACACAATTATAAGCAATGAGACATTAATGATCTGAATTCATCACTTTTAATACCTTTGCAATGAACTGCTATAGCACCTTCAGCGTTCTCACAAATATTCAGAAATGCTTTGATGATAGCATCATTGGGTATGCTTCCATCAGCAAAGAAGAGATCATAATGGTCAAACCCTGAATCTTTAAATCTTCTAGAGTCATACATCTTCTTATTCAGGCGGATTACAGTGGTAACATTATGTCTTCTGAAGTATGGAAAATAGGCTTCGGGAGCATGATGTGGATACCCTTGAAGGAAAAAAACAAATGCAGAAAAATATGTCAGATACAACCCATTGGTAAAAGAGCATCCAAATCTATACAAAGGTGTTTTTCGCCACATTCAATCTGATAAGGGAATATTCTGCCGTAAATATGAAGCAGCTGCAACTACCAGATTGACCATCAGTCTGATTCTGTATCTGGTAGTTTCCTATGGAATGTCATAAAATTCTTTATAATTTAATACATACCATTTTCAATTCTACTTCTTGAGTGAGGTCCACTGAAGGCCATGATTTTTTGGGGTATTATCCAGTTGAAGTCTCCATTTTCTGCCCTCTGTTAAGAAATAACACATTTTTAAAACTTCATTTCTGATATATAGCATTCAAATCTAGTCGTTTTAGTGAACGAAACAAAGGAGACAAGGATTGTTAATGTAAAGGTCTTGTTGTATATAAGAATATATACTCTCAATTTTATCTGGGATCATAGCCCACATGCTATCACACTTTTAATCTTACTTGAGAAGCCACCTCACATGGTGATGTGACAATTTTAAGTTTAATTTGGTTACTTATTTTTTCCACCTCGTTTAAATTTATTTTCAAAAATTCAAGAGATGTAAATAATAGGTGCCAATTTTATGCAAATATAGTCTCAACAGTAACTAAGTAATTACTAGAAAAGTGAATGATACTTACTTCATAATGCTCATATTCATTTACATCAAATGTATTAAAATCAAGGAAGCCATACTGCAATGCCTATAATCCATAAGAAATAAATTTAACATGTAGAAATCCAGTAGAGTTGATGATAAACATTCTTTCTAAACACTTTATTTACCAATCATCAGAAACCTTCCAAACTAGCTGCACAACTTCTGTAAACTACCAGACATGGTAAATTCAAATCCAACGTATCAAAGTTGGAGACTTTGAATACTTAAAAAGTGCCACATAACAGGTATTACTGCTTAAATGCTATTTAGCTTTATAATGAAGCTTTCATCGCTCAAGTTAACATAGACAAGCAGCCAATCTTGAAAGTCAGAATGCATGAATAGTATAACATAGAAAGGCAACCATAGAATTCTTGAGAGTCTTCTTGCATACTCACTCCTGGAACCATCTCAGAATTTGTTTTAACTTATTTCTCTGGTTTATCTAATTTCAGAGATTAAATTTCCCTAGGATTCCAACAAGTTTAAATAAACAACAATCATCATATATTACATGAACATACTAACCTTATTTATGGCATGGAAACAGTCAAGCAAAGTTAGATGAAAAGTGCAGGTACCAAATGCAGCATCCCTGTGAGGAATACATATATGAGCTCAAATTCAGTTTGCAAGACAAAATAGCTGATGTTTCTCATTTTCCTATATTTCTGTATACCCATTTTCACTACATCAGCACTAAGTGGTCTAGTAAGGACTGAAAACCCACCAGATGTTCTCCAGTTCTTTAGCATCTTTTTATTGCTTTTCCAGACCCTATTTACACCAACATATTATGCTAGTGAGGGCTTATAAATAAAGTTGTTAAACAGATAAAATCTGACACATCAAATAGCCACAGCAGTGAAACAGAGCACACGATGGACATAATCTCTATCGCATGGCATTTTAAAGGCTGCTGATCCAAAAACAAGAAATAAATTCCATTCCACCAAGATGTGGGGGAGAGAGAGAGAAAATAGACACCATCTATCATCTTGACAAGCAGTCCCATCAGTCTTTTCCATTATCCAAACCAATTTCACCAGCAAGAGAACAGATTTAATAGCCTCAATAGTAATATTAAGAATAGATATCTACTCCTCTTTTCCTTTTCCTACCCCATTCCCTTCTCTGAGAACAGAGAATCTCTCTTTTTATGGATCTGAGTTCGGGTATTACATCGTCACAATGTATTTGATATGTTTTAAATTTAATATGAGGTACTGAGAGGGTTGCCAAATCATTACTTGTTTTATAGCAATAAGTCGTTTTGAAATAATGGCTTACATTTTCCTCATTCATTATGCTAACCCACCATTGCAAACTGCAATTAGGAACACTGATTATTTATGATTCTCTTTCTTGTCCTTGATATTCACTTTAATTCCTTGCCAAATTCACACACACACACACACACACACACACACACACACACACACACAATAACAACCATAACAAACACCTCCCACCACACACAAAGTAAGAATTAACCACAAATAAGGTATAAATACTATTCTCATCTGCAAGGCTGCATATTTTATGAATCAGTTACTACTCAATTACAGAATAAGAAATGTAGCCATTATACAGAAAACCTTGATACAATATATGGACTTTAACTCCCTAATCCTAACATAGCTAGGGGTAAGTATAAGAGGAGTTGGGAGTCCACTTATTTCAAAATTGCCAAAGTGGAAAATACCAATTTACATATTCCAAAGGGTTAGAGATCAGTGTAATGTCTTTTTTTAAAAGTAGACACTGTTCAATTGCATGCTTTTATTTACCTGAATGGAAGATATGAAACATTCCCAAATAGTAAATGCCTGTACACACTTTCTGGAGATTCTCTCAGGTATATTATCTGTTTCAAGAAAGAAAGGGAAAAACATTCTTATGGAAGTTTTAAGAAATTCATTATTAAATTATCTAGTATTTTTACCTGCTAAATAAATGAGACACACAGTTTGAGAATGGAACTGAAAAATGAAAAATACTAGCCAACATGAAATCAGTAATAAGGTAAGTGAAACTGAACAAAAAGTCATACAAATGTGAGTACTTTTCAAGTTCCATATAGAGCCACTGTAGGAAATCTACAATTCAAAATTAATTATGCGTTCATTGTAACATTTGCTTCATAACATAAGCCATATAATATGATTCAAAAGGTCATTTATTTCATACATGAGTAAGAATTGTTAAATCAATGTTTAAAGCAGCACAACATTATTCTGTTCTGTGTTGTAGTTATACAGTTACTATTAATATAACCATTTGGGAACTATTTTAGACAAATTGCTTTTACCAATACCTCAATATTCGAGGAACTGCATCATACTCATACTGCATCATTTTAGCACAATGGTGACACAGAACTCCCACCAGTCCTAAAAACATTGGGTCCATTAATTCTATCTCTATTGTTTATTTAATAGAACAATAAACTGAGGATTTCTGGCAACATCTTAAATACTTAACATTGTACTGTGATTTAATTGCTCCTCATCAAGCCAGTTATTCAGATCACCCATTTAATTTTAACTGTTAACAGTAATAACTAATAAAATAGATACCTACTCTGATCATTAAAAAATGAAAGCAAGAAAAAGACCCCTCAATGATTAGCAATTTCTAATAAATTTCAACCCCAGTTTTAGACTAAAAACATTCTAAAAACGAAATAACACAAAATTTCTGTCTCCCAAACTGGCAATGTTCTCCTAGGAGATGAAGTAAAGACTAAAATTATAGGTGAAACATAATTCTATGGCTGCAACTCTTTATTATCCAATTAGCATCCCCAAGACAATATAGCTGTACACAAAGTAATTATCCTTTACACAGATTAAAATTGCAGGTCCTGTTTCAAGAACACCCAAATCTCTTGATGAATAGACGCTACATTCTCATGAGCAGAACTAGCTATTACCATAAACCTTGAAGAGGAAATTCACAGGCCATGTTAATTAATGTAGTTAATGTAAGCTTCAAAAAAAAAAAAAAAACACCTTAATTAGGAACTGCTGTGAAAAGTCATACTGACAATAACTACAAAATGTTAAGTTTGAACTTCAAATATGAGGAAGATATACATTAAGTAAAACACTTTGTACAAGCAGAAGTGCATTCATATAAAATGGGGAAATGTTTATAAAATAACATTTAGCACCATTTCTAAACACCCAATTTCAAAACTAATAGTTTCATTTGACCTCCTGGCTAGGAGATTCAAGGACTAGATTAAGGCTGTCCTAAGATGAAAAGAAAATATACCTTCCATTCCAACTGTACTTTACAGGTGGTCCTCATTTAATGACCAATCATTCAACAACCATTCAAACTTGAGATAGCACTGAGCAAGTAGTACTCTTGATCAGTCTTCAAAGTTCTGTCAAACTGCCCTTGTGGTCATGTGACTATGATAAGGGTGCCTGGCAGCTGGCCTGGATTTCTGATTACTGCAACATCCCACAGGCACAATTTGTGACCTTCCCTGCTGGCTTCCCACAAGCAAAGTCAACGGGGAAGCAGCAGGAAGCCAGAAATTGCTATCATAGGAAATCCTGAGTTAATGACAGTAACCCGGCAGTGTTAAATGGTATGATCATGTGATGTTGCACTTTATGACTGCATTGCTTAATGACAGAAATTCCAGTTTCAATTAGTGTCATTAAGCAAGGACATATTTCCTGACTTTGCATATAGCCCAGAAATGATATGTTCCCCTGCTCTAACCAAAGCTACTTGATAATCGTTTTAATTCTGTTAGAATTAGTGGTTTTAATGTTGGATCCAGCGGGAGCATAAATGAAGAATTAGTATGGTGTAATAGTTAAAGTGCTGCACTAGAAATGGGAAAATAACTTCATCTGGAGCAGCTCATTGGGTGACTTTGAGCCAGTCACATTCCTTGGCCTATCCTATACACTGGGGGAAAAGATGCAGGAAGCACTATGTACAGTATATCACTTGAATTCTTGAAAAAAGGTGGAATTTAAATTTAACAAATTTCTAAGAAAAAGTGTTGATTTCTAAGATGGCGGTGTTTATAATTGCCTTATCCCCTGAAGTAGGTTCATTGCAACACATTCTACAACAGGAGTGGGGAACGATGGCCCATTTATGACTTGTGGACTTGAACTCCCAGAATTCTTGCTGACTCAGGAACTCTGGGAGTTGAAGTCCACAAGTCATAAAGAGGCCATCGTTCTTTACCTCTGTTCTATGTCTGCTCTAGAAAATTTATACAAAGCCATTAATTTATAGTGCATGGGTGTCAAAACGTTTGGCTTACCTGGGCAGAATTGCATGAAGAGGAATTATCTTTGGTCAATATAGTTAATGTATATAAATATCACTAAAAATCATACTATTTTTTTAAATTTACAATCTTGTGGGGCTGCATTACTAGCTGTCCAAAGCCATGGGTTGGACATGCCTGCTACAGTGCTTAATTCTGTTTTCTTCAGAATGTTGTATTTTTCGTAAGAAATATAACTTGTATGGAGTATCATTTTCACACTTTTGGTCTTTCTAACTCCTATACTTCACAATGAATTTTGAGTGATCTGTACACAGGAAGAATGTGAATGCACATATTCACATATAACAGGCTGTAATGGAATTATGTTTGCTGTTCCTTTTCCTGCCAGGCGCAAAATAGACAAAGATGCTGCTCAATCTTGCCATATTTACCATGCTGGATGAACGCAATTAACTTGCAAAATGCAGGCTTATGCTTTTTTCCCTTAGAGACAAGAAAAGCTGTACCAAGCGGTACTATATTGTACACTTAGGCAAATACCATGGATGCAATTAAGAAAATTTGTTCCCTGGATTTTACTTTAAAAAAACAGTAAAAACTAATTTTAAACAGACAGAAGTAGAAAGGCAGCAAGCAAAAAACTCTCATCTTAGTTCTGCAAGGAGAATTATAATTTCTGAGAGGAAGACAGAGAATATTTACTGTTAAGAAAGTATGAGAGAATAGTACAGTACATTAAGGGAGTCTTCAATTTTTGACTACAATTGGGACTGGGATTGCCATCGCTAAGCAATACGGTCTTAAATGTGGGTGGGTAGAGAAGGCCCTGAGACCCAGTGCAGACAGTGCATGGGTTGAGAAATTGGTGGTATGGTGTGAGTGGCTCGAGCTCAAGAAGCCTGGGAAGGAAGACACTACATGTGTAGCTGTGGTGGCGCACTGGTTAGAATGCAGTACTGCAGGCTAACTCTGCATTCCACTGCCACTGTTGATCCTGACCAACTCAAGGTTGACTCAGCCTTCCATCCTTCTGAGATCGGTAAAATGAGGAGCCAGATTGTTGAGGGCAGTATGCCGAGTCTGTCAACTGCTTAGAGCAGGGATGTCAAACTGGCAGCCTGTCACTGAATAAATTACTGTAACCCAAGGTCTACCTATAAATCCAGAAAGACATGTATTATAACTGAAATACCTTTGCTTTTCAACAATTAACTTCTTTGAAATGTTTTAGATTTTTTAAAAAAAATAACCATTATTTTATATCTTTTATAACTCTGGTTTAAAACTAAATATTTACTAATAAATAAATATTAGTAAACTAATATTTACTATGAAGAAGTTATTCTATCCCTATAGTCTCAGTCTCCTTCCTAGAAACTGATTAGTTCATATTTATTTAATTGTAACAATGCTTTAGAGGAACTGATTCCACCAAATTAATCATTGACAGCTAGGTGTTAAGAGTATCAATTTGCAGAATACATTTTGCGATAACAGAACTGGATTAACCTGCAACACAAATCTATATATATTTGCAATTCTCATTGAGTAGTAGAGTCCTTATTTTCTTCTGACATTTATTCAAAGATTCAATAAAGGCACAATAGAGCTGGCTGCAATCATGTTGGGAAAAAAAAATTAAGGTCATGGATTTCATTTTCTCTTCCCCAACCTAGGAGTGAATTCTTCTAGTTCAATTACTTTTAATATTGATGGAGATGTTAACACTGAATTATTGTGAAGGAAGGTTCCTGAACTCAAATAAAGGAAAGAAGGAAACATTCTTAACTAGGTTAACAGTTGGGAAACAGCATGTCTGCAGCATCGAAAGTAACTTATTTATAGAACGCATACAAAACTGTTACTCATATTTTCTAGTTGAAAACATGCAATGAAGTTGAATCAAAGTTAAAACAGCTGTCACGAAGTTTGGAAGAGAGGGAGACCTGTAAGGTTAAGCACATTTTTAGAAAAAAACAAATGGTCTTAGGATAGTTTCAAGTCTCCAGCAGTTTATATCTTTTATTTAAAAGGTATCTTTTCATAAAGTTAAAAAAAAAAAGTCTATCCCTACAAAATCATAATCCTAAACCAGTACATAAATAAAACTTATGAATTGACAATGCAAAAATAAAAGCAGAAGAAATTTCTTAAACCTTTGTACAGTGGAAAGTAAACCTTGACATCTAATATAGGATAAAGATAAGGTAGTATATCATCTCTTGGATAAAATACACACAAGAGTTCTGTATGAAGTACACACTCAAAGAGAAGGAGAGCATTATACAAAGCAAAAAGAAAAATACCAGCAGCCACATAAAATCTGAAGAACACTTTTAAAAAAAATAAAATAAGGAAATGCCTATGAAAATCTACACACTGAACATGAAACATACTTCTGGCATTACGTTTTATGCATTAACCTAGAAATTAAAACTGATTTTACTGGCATATATTTAATTTCATCTAGTTTCAAACTACTAATGGGAAAGAAGTTACATGTTTGAAAGCTACATCAGAGATGATGTGTCTGCTTCAACAGCGGCATCTAAAACAGGGTTACAACTAGAAATGTTGAAACCTAGGAAGGATTTTTAGAAAAAAAAAGGAGGGGGAGCACAAGAGGTGAAGGAAACTGCTTACCCTGAAGGAAGAAGATGAGAAAATAAAGTACACAGAGATGAGTCCTGGAGAAGATCACCTGAATTACAGCAATTCTTGGGGGGTAGGACCCAAGAACGGTAGCCCTCCAAACATAATTAGTGCCAAGCCTGAGAAAAAGAAACACTGTTACTAAGTTAATGCAGGGTTGGGAAGGAAGAAGTGAGATGGAGGCAGAAGACAAAGAAAGGAGGACAAGACATATAGAAGCTATTTCTAAATTAAGACACATGAAGGAAACAGAAGAAAGGACATTCTGTGTTAATCCTTGTAATATTAGTAGACTGAAAGCATCTACTGCAGAAGTTTAGTGTGATAACATGAATATGTTTCTTCCCACACAGTGCTCCCTTTTAAGACAAAATTGGCATATTAATCTTTAGTTAAGCAAAGCAAAAACAACGGCATCTTATTTCTAATTGCTATTTCATTTCCTCAGCATTTCCTACATGCTTCTCCAACAGCACAAGTCCACGGTTATACATTCTAATTACTTCAATACTGCTTGGCATATAAGAAGTGAAATAAGAAGCCATATAGAGATGAGAAATTATTACAAAAGACTAAAAACTAGATTACTAAGAATATATATAGGGTCTTAAGGAATTTTGCAATCTTTTTGTTATTTCAAACCCCTCTTTCTTCTGCTGCAGAACTTTACATAGCTAATCATTCTGTGGGTTTGAAATTCTTACTGAATATGGTAGGAAAGTAAAGGACCTGACAGGATTTAACAACAACAAAAATAGGTATATCACCAGATGAAAAACATCCATAAAGAGAAAAATCTGTTCTTACAACGTTTCGTAACCTTGATGGAGCAGAAGAAGCAAGCAGCAATCTCTTGATTCAGTGTACAGTACACATTTTCAGAAAGTGTTACTGATAAAGTTATGAAAAAGAACATTTTAGGCTCCCTCTTCTTTGCTTAAGCTTGCACATGACATTCTGAACTGGGTCCCAGAACCAATTAAGCACATAAGAGTCACTGACCTGAAAGCTTTTCTAACTTTCTCTGAATTGTGTTACATAGGACGACTTTGTAAATAACTTTATTTCTAAGATTGAAAATATATTTCAGAATTGCAATGCACTGTAAAATTTGAAAATATTTTATCAGTTATATTTTGAGGAATACAATAACCATTAGAAAAACGCATTTACTGTAATACATTAGAAATGCTTGAAAATATTAACATTCTGATAACTAGATACATTAAATTCTAAGCTATAGTAACCCAGTTAATTAACACAAGAACTTGCATTGTAATAATGATTAAGAATTGTCACATCAAGTAGAAAGTTATTATAACTCTTCATATTTAATATGCCTTCAAATCTTACTAAATATTTTTAACATGTCCTCTAGAAACATCTAATACAACTTCAAACCCTAGTAGAGACCAGAACAGAAAGGCTATTAACAAGTTCTTTGAAAAAGGAATTTAGCATTGAGCAATATAAATCTCTCTATCTTAAATACAACTACTTTCATCCTTAAGGGCACGAGCCAATTCAAAAATAAAATATAATGCAGACTATTCATTCTTATCCTGTGTAATCTGCTCAAGGCATTTGGGGTTTCAACTTGAAAAGACCAGATCAATTGAGCTCTCTCTCTCTCTCTCCCTCTCTCCCCCCTCTCTCTCCCTCCCTCCCTCCCTCTCTCTCTCACTCACACACACATATCATAGAGGGGAATAAATCTGTTGAAACATCTTAAAGAAGAAGAAATTCCTATTAGATTGAAAGACATTATACATCATAATTTTGATATAAGCAAGAAAATCATGTTTTTAATTATATTCTCAATCTTCTAAACAAACATGAAGATATTTTATATGAATAAAACCACTGGTTTTCAGTAAATGTATTTTGTTTACGATTACATACATGGGTAACATTGTATTTCTTATAATACATATATTACACATCCTAATAAAGGCATTTCATTGTGTGCACAAAAGTAGAAAAGTCTCTAAGATAACTACAGCTGAAGTTTTCATGTTAACAACTATCCAATTAATTTATATCAATAATTAATTTGATTAAACTATATTATTTTTTGATTAAGTAATTGCGCAAACTAAATATTTAAATTCCTTCTAGAATATTAATTTAGATAAATCTGCAGTAAAGATACATTTGGAATTGGAATGAAAACAGATCAGGCTATACTTGTGTTAAAATAAAAATGATTTTACCCACATTCTTTTGCTATAACAACAGAAAGATAAATCAAGTTTGACAATGTTGAATGCTGTAAATTGGAGATGACAAGTAGTGGCACATTGGCTGCATGCCGCTGTCACTAACGAAGCCCCAGAGCATTCCCAGATCATGTAAAAAATACTGTTTTATGATAGTGTAGTTTCTGCTATTTAAATCTTACAATCCACCCAAATCAGTCAAAACTAGCCCCTTGGGTGATATTATGTCACAGATCAAGCACTGAGGCCAAAAATAATTAATAATAAATGGATTATGCCTTCCTTCCCAGTTGCTAGCAGTAACTGAATTGGATTAAAAGAATGTGTACCTCAGCACAATTAAATAAGCAAGTGTGAACAGTGTGATTCTCTGAATAAAAACTCTAGTGTTACACTGCACAATGATAAACTGTTAGTTGAACAAAGCACATCGACCATATGGCTCTCAGGCGTAGTCTTCAAAGCCATGACACTCATCCACCCTCATGCATAGGAGAAAATAATTATGACTACTATCCTGGATCTTACTTAAAAGATCTTACTTTAAGAATGACTTAAAACAGATTTTTGTGCACTATTAACAAATACAGGAATAACACAATGATTTTATGAAAAATATTAAATCACAATTCCAAATGCTATTAAGAATAGGAAGGACTGTCACTTTCAACAGGACTCTTATTCTTGGATAATCAGATCAGAATCAGTGGATCATGCCACTTACTCTTCATAAAGCAAGCATACTTTAATATGTACAGGTAACATGCGAAAGGATAATCTTCCATGTCAGGAGCCCATTCACTTTTCCACCCTGTCCTCATTGGTTCATTCCTTCATTACATGAATGAAAGCACCTGTTGGATGCTTATCCTACGGTTGGGTAGGTAATATACAGAAAACTATGTTCTGTAACTTTAACTGCTACAAGATGACTAATTGGCTGTGCTAAGCAGACATAAAAGAAGGCAGGAAGTTCATTCACTTCTGCTCCTGCTATTAGAAGGTTGAACTGCTGAAAGGAACTGTGTCTGTGTTACTGAAGAGAACTGGAATTGTAAGCAAACTATGTTTTGTGTTGAACCGTGATTATTTGAAGAAGTGTTATCTTTGTTTTGAGAAGCCAAGTTTTTTCTACTACAAGTAAAGACTGTTTATTTTTCTTTAAACATTCAGAGTCTGTGAGTATCTGTGTGTTTTGCTAAGCAACGTATCTATTTGCTCTCTGGTCCATTGCAGCACTTTGCAGAGGGCAGTTTTACCCTCAACAGCACCTTTTACATAAAAATTATAAGTACACCCTATCCTCAGGTAGCATTCTAGTGACTTTGCCATTAAGTGAAATGGTTGCTAAGCAAACTCATGACTGAGAAAGAGAGCAAAGATCACTGGTTACTACTGGCTTCTTTCAGTTTCTCCTACAGTGACCTGTACTTGACCCATTCCCACTTTTCTTTGCCTCTATGGGGTGGAGAGATGGCTTAACAAGCTATCTCTTCCTGAGCTGCTTTTCTCTGCAGCACAGTATTTCCTTAAAAAGTGCTAACCACAGGTCAAGAAGCTCTGTTCTGTGACCTTAAGTAGTGATTAGAACCCTTCCACTGGCTCATCTGTGGCTTGAAACTGAAACTAATCAGACCTTAATCAGTCTCACACTGAAAACGTTCCTTGTCAGGCATAGGAAAATTGATTCTAAATGTCTGCATTGGTCAAAAGAATAAATTTTTGTTGTAATTTATTATCAATGTATTTGCAAATGATTGCTAACTGACATAGTGGCTAAATAAGGAGTGGGTATAATTAATAAAGATGGAAATTAAAGCTGCAATCACAAACTTACGAACTTCAAAGCTATCAAAATCAGCAGGAGTCATGTTTGCAGAAACTACATCTAAGATAAAAGTACTGATACAAAGTATGTCATTTTTTAAAACAATGAATGTTATAAAGTAGTGAGCCATGAAACCAAATGGATCATTTTCTCCCACTTTTTCTAGCCCCTGGGATGCTTACTATAATGGAGCTTAGCTTTGTTTGTTTAGGGCAGAAGTCTTCAAACTTGGCAGCTTTGAAACTTGTGGGCTTCTGGCTGGAGAATTCTTGGAGTTGAAGTCAAAAAGTCTTAAAGCTGCCAAGTTTGAGGACTTCTGGTTTAGGGCCACTTTTTGGACTCTACCCTTGTTTTCAAACAAGCCTTTCCCCTCCTTCTTTACTATCTGTCACTCAAATTGAGTCCACTTTGTGATTGCCATTTCAAAGTGTTCTGTTTTTCAACTTAATTTTTGTTTTACTTAAATAAGTTCTGTGTGACATCTAGAGAATTTATACTGAAGTGCTCTTAATGAAAGAAAATGCATCACAAAACTCTTTAATCTTTAAACACAGAAGAATATGTTTCTACTCATATACTATGTAAAAAAGCAAATAAGCTGAAAGTTATTTCCAATTCTGACACTGAATAGAAGTCAAATTTGTGAACCTTGCCAGTTTAAAATGTTAAAATACTTACTGTGTAACAGCCTATGAGGAAGGCTGCATTGGCTTGCTTTTTCTGATCCGAACCACAATAATGAACAATCTTCTTCCTTAACATGGTAAAAGACTATCAAGAAATGAACAGAATTATAATTGTAATCCTTGGATTTTAAATATAATAATGAATGTAAATATTCAAAATACAATTTAAATAGTCAAATGCAGAGATGCTACATTTAAGTAGTAGTTCCATGACAACATCCACTATAAAAACAGAATGTGGCATATCTAATATCTAATGCATTTATTATTTTTTTTACATAATTCCATATGATTCCAAATAGTCTTCAAATGTATCAATTTTATTTTTAATATGGCAAATATTAATAAATATAATCCATACAAACATTATTTCATTCATAATTTTTAAAATTGGGAAGGTGTCCTGAGAGAAAAAAAATATAAGAAACAAAATTTTAAACAACCACTAGCTTAATGAAATAATTTAGAAGGTTCCAGCATGCTTCAGTGGTGGGTTTGTTCAATATTTTTGACTCAATTATAGAATGAAGTTACTATAGAGCAATGTTTCTCAGCTTTGCTGATTTAATAAGTCCAACTAATTTACAAAGTGATTTAAGATGCATTAATTACTTTCCTGCCTGTGAGAAATCATTATTCATTTACAGCAGAAAAGGGACAGACACATACTGACATAACCTAGAACATACAGAGATTATATCCTTAAAGATGTGTATCTATAAAAAGGCCAGTTCTTAATAATACTAGATCACTGAAAGCATAATTATCATGAAACCAAATTTTGCAGAGTAATTTGAATAAGAGAATTCAAGAATTAGGCCACCACATATTTTGAATTCCATAGTAACTCATCCGCTGAAAATCTTAAAACTACAGCTATATGTTGAATAAAAGATTTTCATATTTCAATGGAATTTCAAAAACTGAATTAAAATATACTGTTACACAATAATACGAAGTACTTTTGATATTTTTAATATAAATTATATTTTAATAGATTAATAGTAAGTAATTGGATGCTGCATAAAACATCTGGAAAATAGTTTGAATTATGTTTTGTTGATTTTAGAAGTTCCAGTGGTTTTTACAATGCCACATATTGCAATAGTGTCAATTATTACTGACACTATGGATACCACTTTCACATATGAAAATAACTGGCTAGTTACCATGCAGCTCTGTCAGCTGTTGCATGTGACTATTTACAATGAAAAAAGAGAGATAAATTACAAGCTATTTATTTGTACTATGACACAACTGATGAAAACAAACATAGTAACTAAAAATTATTTCATTTTCAGAGGGATCATGAAACGGGAAACAGATTTCATTCCTGTGATTTATTTATACATTAAAGTACATTCCCATAAAATATAAGAACTGTATTTTCAGTATTATGCTTTATATAAAGTTGACTAAAATATTCAAGAATGTGAATAACTATGAATAAGCATAAGTTGTTAAAAATATACTAAAGAAATTTCCTTCTGTAACTAAAAGCCAGATATTGATAACCAACCACTCCAATGTATTCCAGGGAAGAGACCCAACAGTTTCTCAATAATTTCTTCTGCTCCTGATTACTAGGACTTCAAGTTTTATAAGTTTACGTTTCTGCCTTTAATCATTAGCCACATTATGAATTCAAAATTATTTATACTCTGAAATAAAAATCTAAAACTGATCGTGTATTTTCCCACTCTTCTGGCATATTCTCCTGCACTAGAGTAACTACAGTGCCTAAATAAATCTTGATTTTATTATTTCTTCTGGGCGGGGAGTATGCAATAATAAAAAAGTGCAAACAAGACAAATAGAAAAGAATGTTCACTCCCTGTAACATTTTATAAAGAAACTGAGAATGACCAAACTATTAGATGTTACCTTTAATTTTTTATTTAGCTTGCAACAGTATCTGTAAATCATTGCCAGATTGAGAGGGCCAAAATCTGCATAGAAGCTTGGAAAAAGGGGAGGGGGAAGGAGAAGACAAGGACAGGGAGGAGGAAAAAAAAGACCTTATTGAAATGTCTGTTTTAAAAAATCCCACATTCTCTCCACACACTCCCACTGCAGCGTCTTAAATTTTTATAAATAGACATTATAACTGTCACATTCCCCTCATCTCTTTCAAGATAACCACTGAAACACAATTTAATTAATGGAGGGGGGGGAATCTTGTAAGCTTTACATATATTGTCAAGTAAGTCAGCAATAGCTCCTAGATTATGAAGTCAATAAATGGTGAGACCATTTTAGAATAGGCAATACAATATTTTGTAGGCATATCTTAGATTAAAATGTAAACGTGCCTAATTCAACAGAACAAGTAACATGCTGCAAATAGATTACACTACTAAGGATACTTGTAAGCCTGAATTATCAACCCACAAAGAGAGCTAATTGACTCAACTCTGCGTGATTCATTGATTTGAGCTTGCCTCTCTGTATATGCCAATAGGCTTGGTGTTTTAACTGACCCACTTCTTCACTGTATGTAACTGATAAAGGACCTACAGATGCAGAAATCCGAATGTTCGTCATGGCTAAATAGGGAAAATACTATTTTAGAGGATCTTATGGCAGGTTATACTGACAGAGAGGCACCAAAGAAATAACTAGTATGACAGTACTAAAAGTGTGATTATAAAGGCAGGTCATCATTTGTACCATCCTGATCTCCAGGAGAATACAAAGAAACATATCCATGAGTCATGCACAGTATACATATCCCAAATGATATGTATCAATTTATGGATGAACGATGCGTAAGTGTAGATTTTCTTTCCAGAATTCCGCAATCAACTCAGTCACATAAGATAGTTGGGAACAAAGCCAGTCCAAACAAGCTACCTAAATTCAAACTATTTTGCTTCGCATCCATGATGGATATACTGTATCTTCTGTGAATAATATGCAAGAGATAACATGAAAATTCTTAGTCAACTAGTGATATCTAGGGCAAAACATTTCACAACTGAGAAAATCCTAAAGCTAGAATAGAATTTTCCATTGTATTCCTTCAGATGTGTTGAGTTCAATTTCCAAATAACTGGAGGGAACTAGAATAGGGATAGTGTCCTAGACTAGAGGAAGACAAATCAGCATCTAAACATTTCAGGCATATAGATGGCAATTTCTCTGACAGCTTGAAAACTGAACAAGCATAGCATAGCTTAGCATAGTGAAATGTTATGAGAAAGCCACTTAGACAGGTCTCATCTGCATAAAATTGACACCTAGAATTATTTTCTATCAATTTTTCTGGACTGCAGGCCTTTTCTAATACAATTCAACTGATTCATATTATTAAAATGAATTGAAGTCTCTAGCTTTAACACAGTCAATAATTTCAACCATCTCGGGGTAAATACAAACTTTTTGATCTCTGTAAAAATAACTCTCCTTAAAGGGATGGTGAGATACCATGGAAAGTTAGGAAATATTTTTTAGTCTATCCAGAAAAATAACACTGCAACTCCATTTTCATTTGTAATAAATGCAATAAACAATGCTATACATTCCCATATTCAGTGCTTTGGATTAATATTTGTAATTTCTGGAGGCCAATAATGAGAATACTGTATTCCAACATAAGATCTTCTCTTTCTTTCAACTGCTTTTCATTCAAGGATACACCATCCAAGCCACAATTCCCTACTCAGGACTCTCCAGATGTACTGGATATCCACTGCCATTAGTATTAACTTTTATCTGGAGGTAAGAATTCTAGAATATGCCACAAGTTTCCCAGTGTAAATTTATGAAACATAGATCTTTCAAGTATTTTAGTCACAATAACTAATCAAGGAAGCATGTTTAGCCTCTGTAGTAGAAAATGTATTTCCAACTGACCTTTCTGGTTTTGGAAACAAAGAAGGGCTGGATCTGATTAATACTTGGATGGGATACCATTAAGTTATAAGCTAGACTGGGAAGTCAAAAAAACATCCTAAAAGAATGCAGTGGCAAATTATTTCCATTCTGTTGTTAAGAAAGCTACATGGAAAAGTTTATGAAGTTACCAGAAGTAAAAGCTCAACTCAATGGAGACTCTGTGGAGATGGATATTTACCATTATTCTTCAATTTAACATGAAACTTGATTCTTCAACATAAATCATACTTCCGATCAGTTAACAAATACAACAATAATTTTAAAACATCGCAATATTTATAGAGTTAAAGAAACAAATGTATCAATTTGCTTCCAGGTTTACACCTTAGAAAAAATCTTAACCATTCTTAAACTCTTTGAAATTCTTCTCTCTTTTTTTGCCTAGTATTCTAGGAAGGACATAATTAAGTTAAAAACCTACAACTTAAAATGCTCTTTCCCACTTCTGGCATTCCATTTTTCAGTTCTTGGACAACACTGCCAGATTCTTACTCTACAATAACGAGTTCTGTTTCAAATAAGCCTTCTTGACTGCTATATAATGTTCATTTAGAAAAACAATATGCATACAGTACTACAAAAGCTTTAAACAAGCTTCAAGCAATCTCACCATAAAAATTAAATAATATTTGCACAATAAAGTTGTACAAATACTTAGTATTAGTACCAATATTTAGTACTCAATGGTTCCTTTTATTTATTCTCAAAGAAATAAAGCAAAAATACATTTCCTTATTTATTAACATCTTTTCTTCTTCCCTTTCCACTGCCACTAATTTGAGCTGCTAATTGTTCCAACTGCATTTTATAAAAGTACTTCTTCTGAACTACATGATTCACTATGGCACTCCCTAAGTATTTGCCAAGTCCTTCTGACCTTTGCTTTTTAATTTAAAAATTGGGAAAAGAAATAAATATGCTGGATGTTCTGTTTTTCAGAAATTCAATCAGCTTAAAGTTATTTTTGCAGTAAGCACATTACTATATTTTGAGACAGAAAGTATACTCATACTGTCTTCCTATATTATCCCCTCATTCTTAGCAATCATGCAACCCTTCAAGATAGAGCCAGATTGGTGTAGTGGTTAAGGCACCAGGCTAGAAATGGGAGACCTTGCATTCTAATCCCATCCTGGGCATGAAAGCAGCTGGATGACCTTGGGCCAGGCACTTTCTCTCAACCCTAGGAAGGAGGCAAATGCAAAAAAATGCCACCCTCTGGGATAGACTTCTTTAATGATGCTTTCAGTACCCCAGATACAGGTAGTCCTCGACTTACGACCACAATTGAGCCCAAAATGTATGTCGCTAAGTGAGACATATGTTAAGTGAGTGTTAGCCCATTTTATGATTTTTCTTGTCATATTTGCCAAGTGAATCTGGCTTCCCCATTGACTTGGCTTGTCAGAAGACTGAAAAGCTGATCACATGACCCAAGAACATTGCAACTGTCATAAATATGAAGCATCCATTTTAAATCAAGTGACCAGGGGGATGCTGCAACAGTCATAAGTGTGAAAAATGGTCATTAGTCACTATTTTCAGTGTACTTTTAATTTTGAACGGTCACTAAATGAATCACTGTAAATCATTGCCTTTCTATATATGCCAATAGGCTTGGTGTTTTAACTGACCCACTTTTTCACTGTATCTAACTGATAAAGGACCTACAGATGCAGAATTTCTGAAAATATGTATTTGAAAATATGAAAACCATCTACTTTAGTACATTTTAGTAGTTTTTCAATAAGCATTTCCTATCTTATTAGAAAACTGGACTCTAGGAATATTCAGTTCAAGGCAGACTTGACTGCTTTATTCCAAATTCAATAAAACATCTTTTCAAAGCAAAAAATATCAACCAAACTTTGTGTTTCAGTTTCAATTTCAATTTCTGAACTGAACCATTTTGAATAGACTAAGATGTTCTATACCATAGCCACCTAAGAAGATGAATGCTGGAAAATTCAGGATTAAAAAAGGGAGCAATTTCTTTCTAGAGACCCAATTTTTTGATTAAATGCATCAGGCTAGAAACCACAGCCAGGTGACTTTGAGGCAGTATGGGAAGAACGCAATGGCAAAAAATGTTATTGAGAAAATTGCATGGATCTGTCTAGGCTACTTCTAGGAGTCAAGATTGACTTGAATCAAATATATAAAATACACACACACACACACACACACACACACACTAAAGTACAGTGAAATCACACAAATATTCCTTGTCACAAGTAATGAGGGCCTACAAACTATGTGAATAAAATTTATGAGGAATAAAGTTGTAAGATTACTATACACAAATAATGTGTATAGTAAACAACGCTTCTAGAATCAAAGGTTTCTAACTGCCAAAATTGACCAATGATAGAAGACTACATACCTATTATATTTATTTTATCAGAAAGCTTCACAATGTATTTTTTATATATGCTGTTGCTCTTATTTTTTATTTCTGTCTTGCAGAACAAGGGAATAATATTATACTTACTTTTCATACACAAATTCATCATCTATGCAGAAATAGTGTGTACTTGTACTACCGCTTTTTGGTTTATGGAACAGAATGGCAAAATAAAGACGATCTGAAATTGAAAACAAAAACACCAAAATAGTATTTATAATGAACACAAAGACAATTGTAGAAAATGGGTTGATAGATTTATCTATTTCTTTTTAGCCAAGTTACAACAGCAAAAATAAAAACTTCCATTCAGAATTTGATGCTTTCAGAAAATTGGCAATATAAATATTAATAACTATTCAATATGGCATAGAGGATGAACTGTTAAATTTGGATATAAGAAATTCAAATTCATAACCTGAGTTGTCAAAAAGAACTCTTACCTAGCTCACTGAAACTACAATCCTTTTCTGTGCAACATTAAGGTAATTCCAATGAATCATGTGAAGGAACATTGTATTTATGGCCTACTTTTGAAAATTACTGGCATCACTTCTTAACACGTTACGAAGTGTTATGAAAGAAGAGTTTGGTCAATGGTTAAATCACCAGGTTAGAAACTTGTAAGTTTGTAAGTTTCTTTCATCAACAAAGCACTGTTTTGTTAATTATGCTATTGATGTTAGAGTATATGACTTCTAGTCCCGCCTTAGGCATGAAAGCCAGCTGGGTGAGCTTGGGCCAGTCACTCTCTCAGCCCAACCTACTTCACCGGATTGTTGTGGGGGAAATAGGAGGAACAAGTATTATGTTATTATATTAGATATGTTTGCTGTCTTGGTATTTATAAAAAATAATAAAGATGAGATAAATAAATCAATATCAACACATTGTTTTCCAGTCTTCGCAATTTCCATGTTGGAAATTTTTAGTGCTTCAAAGAATGACGAAAATCCACTGTTGGTAGCTACTGCATGTATAGACTGTCTCTTGCAGATATATTCATGTTGCTTACTCATACAACTAACTACAATGTAACTAAGTTAACATAGTCTCTAAGCAGAGTTGCAGAAGGGGCAGAGCCTTGCAAGTCTTCCTTCCCATGACTAAGATATTTTAAATTACTATCAGTGAATTAAATTACTATCAATTGTTACGATTTCTTAAACAGAGGAAAGTCTGGCAGGAAATACAGATTAAACAGTAGCGGTTAAGACCTAATTCATTTCTAATTGGTTGGAAAAGCTCTGAAATCTAACTGGGGAAAGAACATAAAAGATGTGAGATATTTTTAGAACTCTCTCTTAAAAGCAAAGAAACTTTTATAAATTAATTAATTAATTAATTTATTTATTTATTATTGCGATTTATATGCCGCCTTTCTCCGGAGGGACTCAAGGCGGCTTACAAAATGACAATTTCCAATACAAATCACAACAAGATAAAAAATTAAAATCAACTCCCCAATTAAAACAGTTTAAAATTATAACAGTGTACACCCAAATTGTACAAAAAACAAAACTGTGAACAAAGGTAAATTAATTTATTCTGAATAAAAAAGTTCAACAAACTGCTTCATGATTTGTTACATTATTTCCATGTAAATATGGTTTTGCTACATACAAGCATAAGACTATCTAAAATAAGTATTTATTGAAAAACACTTGAGTTTACATATCACAACATGTGGAAATCCTAACAAATTCAAAAATGTTGCCCACACTTTAATAAAAATGGCACCAAAAAAGTTGTATACGGGCGGGCAAGGAAGCCAGTAAGACACATCACCAACTGCTGTGGTGATTCGCAATTTTGGGGAGTTTTGTGGAACAGACTAATAGCCCTACAGATACAATCATCCCACTTAACTCCAAAGATTTAAAGGACTTAAGCTCCGACAAAGACATGGGAGACAGAAAAGTTCTTTGTTGTGCAACATACCTGCGGCACCTTGTTTTGGTGTTTTGTTTTAAACCGCTTACCCTACATCAAAGAAAGAACTTGAAACCCCGCACCGAGTGAGCAAAAGTTGGCCTCTCCCCCCACTTGGCGGAAAACTTCCGTCGGAATTTTAAAAGCACCAACAGGGGAAAGCCATTTTCCACCCCCGCATTTTCTTTAAAGCTCCGCTGTTTACTTACCTTTAACTAACTCCGCGCCGAAGGGCAAACGCTTGGCGGCGTTCATCTCCGTTTATCAACATTCAACCGAGAAACCAAGGACTGGGCGAGCAGCGGCACGGAGCTTGCTGGAAATGGCTGCTTGCGGAGATCGAAGCTGACTTTTGCAGCCGCGGTCAGAAAGTCCTAAATCTCTCCCTCCCTCCTCGGAGTAGTAACCGCAAAGTCCCTACTCTTGCTTCCCGGTGGGTGGGAGAGAAAGCAGCGTTTCCCCGCGCCAACTCGAACGGCGGGGCGAGGGGCGCTCTGAAAAAAGGCGCCACAAAATCCTCTTCCCCTAAACCTTCTGGGTTTATTGCAGCTCCCTCCTTCAACAGGCAGCCTGAGAGGGCCGCCAGTCCTTCCCGCGCGCTTTCTCGAGCTCCCCGTGTTACTGATTTGTTCGGCCCAAGGAGCAGTTCCCAAATGCCGGCCCGCCGCGCTTGCCTGCAAAGGAGCCTCAAGAGCGCGCGTCGGGCGTCCCAGCTCGCTTTTCCGAACGCGGCTCCAGCTCCTCCGCTTCTGCCAAAGGCGCCGACTAACACTTTCCCAACAATCATTAACGCGTCCCCTTCCTTCAGTCAAGGAGGCAGCTCTCGAAAGCTTCGCACCGAGAAGCGGCCATTGGCTGGCGAAGGAAGCAGAGCCCCTCCTTGCCAACCGCTGGCCACTTCGCACTGCAACCATGGGCCTTGGCCCAGGCTAGGAGCTCCCTGAAACCTCGGCCTGGCCTAGTTTCCTCGTGGGAGGAATGGAAGATTTTGGTCACTGCCTGGCCTCAGGTTTTTTTTCCCCCTCCCCCTGGCCGCTTTGTGTCTTTCTCGTGCCATTCTGGCAGAAAACTACACCCGCTCAACCGCAAACACGCTTAGCAACACTTGTAAAGGCGCTTGAAAAAGGATCACAAAAATGATCTTAACTCCCGCTGTGTGGAAGTGGTGCCGACCCACGCACCACAAGCACTTGCTGCATTTTTTTGGGGTTAGTCATACTAAGACACCAAGTTGATTTCAAACGTTGAACAAGCACTGGTACATCTGATATAAAAAAGCGCTAGATATTCTATTCAAAAATCACTTATTTTTCAGAGGCGTTTATAGGGGGAAAACAAATGGGGCAATTTGTTTGTTTACAACTCTGTAACAACTAACTAATCAAACCGGTAAATTATTGTTTGCATTTGAGATTACATCTGAGCAAGAACTGTTAGTAACCAACAATGGGCAGGCTCAAGCCCTATCTGCGGAATAAGGTCAATAATCATCCTAAACTTACAGGTAAAGTTGTAATTACATCACAAAGGGCTTTAAACTGTTCATATTAAGACCATAGTACAAAATAATTATTTGGCACTGCAGTGCAAATGTCATAGTTGTAAAGGATAGCTCATATTATGAGTTTATGTCGGCTGGCGACACCCAGGGGGAGGGCCTTCTCTGTGGGAGCCCCTGCCCTTTGGAATGAACTGCCCCCAGAAATGCGTAAGATCTCCGACCTCCGTATATTTCGCTGTGCCCTCAAAACCTTGTTGTTCCGCCAGGCCAGGCTATCAATGTAAAGATTAAAGTGACCAGTAAAGGGCAGCATAGTGTTAGCTTTTTAAAAATCTGTTTGTTGCCATCTGGTGGTCATCTGATTTTTTGCAGAAAAGTTTTCATTCATTTTGTGTAATAAAGTTAGTCCTTGATTTACAACCACAATTGAGCCAGTGGTGGGCTGCTGCCAGTTCAGGCAAACTGGTAGTTGCGACTGCCAGGTGGGCCCGCCCACTCACCCCGGCACTATACAATCCTATATCGCTGTGTTTTTGAAGGCGCACGCACACTCACATTTTCGGTGCTGGGCGAACCAATTATTAAACCGTTAGCAGCCCACCACTGAATTGAGCCCAAAATTTCTGTAGTTAAGTGAGAGATTTGTTAAGTGGGTTTTGCCCCATTTTACAACCTTTCTTGCCACAGTTAAGTGAATCACTGCAGTTGATAAGTTAGTAACTTGATTGTTAAATGAATCTGGTTTCCCCATTAACTTTGCTTGTGAGAAGGTTGCAAAAGGTGACATGACTCCATGACACAGCAATGGTCATAAATATGAACCAGTTGCCAAGCATCTGAATTTTGGTCCCATGTTCATGGGGATGCTGCAAAGGTCATAACTCTGAAAAAAAAGTCCTAAATCATATTTGTCAGTGCCATTGTAACTTTGAACGGTCACTAAACAAACTGTTGAAGTCAAAGATTACGTGTAATGGGAAAACTGGATGTGGTCCCATTTCCACAAAATAAAACTGTTTAAAATAATGCTTTTAAAATTCTGTATAAGTTTATCATGTACTTCTCATTATTTTAATAGTCTAGTAGGCAATAGTCCTTAAATACACAAAAATATTGTATATTTATTTTGTATGCCTAAGGCTCTCTTCTGTTTCAAACAAGAGATATGGTAATAAGTTAGTTGCAGCATACTTAAGATGCTAAGTGTAGAGTGTGAAAGAGTTTCAGGGTACAAATTAAAAAAAAAACACTCAGATTTTTAAAAATCTCTTAATATACCTGAAACAAACTCAGTAATTTTGTTGTTTAAAGTACAACATAACATTGCAGTTGAGCTCCAGAAAACTTCCAAGTTCTGCACTTCTCAGATATGTCATATTTCTTCAACAAGAACAAATATTGCCCCTCTCAGTAGTAAAATCTTGCTCCTCCCACTAAGGGCTAGGTTTGCATCCAGCTACAGCAAGGCATGAAGCACATGCTGCAAGGCACAGCTAGACACATTGGTTCCCCAAAGTGCCAACCAATCCAAGGAAGAAAAAAGTTAGAAGCTGTGTCATAGTTTAGGTGACTGTTACTTGTCTGTGCAAAGCCACTCTGAGTAAGCGTTGTCCTTTGACAGTTACATGAACAGTTGGATGAGCTTTGACACTACTAAATGAAAAGCTTTTGAATTTCACAGGGATGACAGCCAATATAGAATAGCATGAAATGTGATCACTATATCTTTGACCTCCTTTCTTTCAGAAAAAGAAAAGACCAAACTACTACTGCAGACTGAAAGAATACTGCATAATTTGAGGGGAATACTTGGCTTTCTTAAAAGGCAAGGTGTTAAAATACAATTATTCCTGAAAGACTTCTTAAAGATTAAGCTCATGCAGTCAAAGGTACCTATTGTGAATCTGGAAATTTTGTCCCAGAGGGCTAGTCAGTAGAATGAAATAATCCATAATAAGCATGGATATCTGCTTGTTCTTCACTGCCTAAATTGGACATCGATAGGGCACTCTATCTTAAAGCAAGGTACCATCCTAGTCTCTTCCATATTTTCAACTACCAGTATTTCTTAAATACTAACATCATTATTCTTGTTTCACAGCTTCAGTATGGTTTATATATACCGTAATAATTGTTCTAAATTGCATATCACATTCACAGCCAATGGTCAAGATGTATACAGTATTGTTTGACTTATTGACTTATTGACTAAACCAGTGACTGTTACATACTTAATGCTAAGTTTTGGTTTACATTGTACAATGACTAGACACTGTACATGTATCATGCAAAGGAAAAATCAATCAAACCTGTTATAGTTAATATTTGAACTGTGTTAAAGCTATAAATCAGTGGTTTAAATCAGAGGTGTCAAACCCAATCGCATCGCAGGCAGTATCATGACATATCAGGATGTTTTTGCCTTTGCGGAGCCAGGGTGGGTGCGGCCTGCATGGGCCGTATCCGGCCTGCGTTTGACAGGTCTGATTTAAATGCTTTAATAGCTATAACCATATATATATGTCAAATATAGGTAGACTTCTGAAAGCATAACAACTGTTCTGTTTAGAGACCATCTGAAGTTACAACTGCACTGTAACTTTATGATCAGTCCTCGCATTTATGACTATTGCAGTTATGGTTCTCATATTTACAACCATGCCCATGGTCATGTGATCTACATTCAGATGTTTGGCAACCAGTGGGCATTTAAAATCATAAGCTGCGGTCACATGATGATGTCTCACTTAATAACCCAGGGTGACTTGCTTAATATAACCAAATGCAAAATGATATAGTTTTTTTTTTTTTTAAAAAAAATTTGTTTATTTTTATATGCTGCCCTTCTCTGGAGACTCAGGGCGGCTTACAATGCGTTAAGCAATAGCCTTCATAATTTTGTATATTTTATACAAAGTCAGCTTATTGCCCCCACAAACCAGGTCCTCATTTTACCCACCTTAGAAAGGATGGAAAGCTGAGTCGACCTTGAGCCTGGTGAAAACTGAACTCGCAGTAATTGCAGGCAGCTGGATGTTAAATGCTGCCTTATAGCATTTAGTAAATGATAGTAAATCCATCATGGGCCTATGATACTTTGCTTAGCAATCATAGTGTTTAGCAACAGAGTCCCTGAACCCAATTGTGCTGGTTGCTAAGTGAGGATTATCTGTAATTAAAACATTGATGAAATCCTACCCAGAAGGCATATTTTATTTTCTTGTAATATGTTTACTTCTTTACTAAAATAGATTATTCAAGTTTAAAATTAACTTCTTTAAACTACTACACAAAAAGAGAGAGTGCTGTACCTTTCTAAATCAATTATCAATATTTGCAGAGTAATAACTGCAGTTAGAGTGTGTTTAATGTTTCATGGAAAAGCTTTGCAATAATCAAAACAGACAATGCAGAACAATTTCCTTGAATAATGGAATACTTTGTATTAAGTAATGGGAAATGTACATTTACAACATAACTTAGACTCAATATTGTGTACACTTAACAGTAAGCAAACAAGAGTTTATGGGACCTATTTCTGAATTAACAATCCATGGGATTACTTGTTTATATTTGTTTTCCTGAGGGCCAATATGGCTATTAGATGTTTTAAAAATTCTGCATTCATCAGAATGATACAAGATGATGTGGTCTTACAAAGAGTGCAGAGAAAAGCAACAAAGATGGTAACAGGTCTGGAGGCTAAATCATACAAAGAACAGCTAAGGGAACTAGGCATAATGAAGAGAAGGCCAGGGGAGACATGATAGCAGTCTTTCAATACTTGAATGGCTGTCATAGGGAAGAGGGAAGATTTATTCTCCCACTCTTATCTTGCCCTGATTTCTGTTAGAGCTATAAAATTTAGTGAAAACATTATTTATTTCAATACATAGTTGTATTTCAGATTGGGACAAATGGTATTAGTGCTCTGGTATAATAGCAGGCTTACTCTATTTGGATTTTCTGATAAAAGGTATCTTTTGTGCCAAGTTCTAACAATGTAGTTCTCTAATGTAACAGGCCAACTAAGAAACAGTCCAAATCTATAATTCCCCTCATTCTGAGTACCTTACTTTGCTCCAGAAACTGACCCCAGCTTGTTTTATCTACCTCATCTACTTATACCCTAGTGATTTTGGTTGCTTAATCTGAAGTAGATCATGAATTTAGGCCCAATATGGTGTAGTTGTTAAGGTTCTGGGCTAGAAATCAGGTGAGTTCTAGGGCTTTCTTAGGCATGAAAGCCAGCTGGGTGACTTTGGGCCAGTCATTTTCTCAGTCCAACCCACTTCACAGAATTGCTGTTGTGGAGAAAATAGAAGGCAGCAGTATTAGGTATGTAAAGGGCAGCATAAAATCTAAACAACAACAACAAACTATTCAACAGTATGGAAAAAGGCTTGAAATTCTAAAAAAAAAAAAAAAGGCAGTGCAAGGCCAAAAATAATTTGAAGTATATAGTTTAGTTAATACTTATTATTTAATCAATT